ATTTTGTTGGGGAGTCCTAGGAGCAGAAAAGTTATGTAATATTCCATTTTCCTCACAATAATTCTCAAACTTTTCATTTTGAAACTCACCACCATGGTCACTTCTTAAAACTTTAATTCTTAGGTCTTTCTCATTTTGAATTTGTTTAACAAACTTTCTAAAGACCTTAAAAGCTTCACTTTTCGTAGTTAAGAAAAATGTCCAAGTGTACCTAGAGTAATCATCAACAATTACAAGTCCATAATAATTTCCACCAAAGCTTTTTATCCTAGAAGGTCCAAATAAATCTAAATGTAATAATTCTAGGGGTTTTGAAGTGGAAATCACATTCTTTGATTTAAAAGATGATTTTACTTGTTTACCCTTTTGGCATGCATCACACAATCTATCTTTTTCAAATTTTAACTTAGGCAATCCAATAACTAAGTCTTTTGAGATCAATTTGTTCAAATGATGCATATTTATATGAGCCAGCTCTTTTATGCCATAACCAAGGGTTTTCTTCCTTAGCAACTAAACATGTTATACTAGACTCATGTAAACAATCCAAATCAATCAAATATATATTATTATGCCTAATGCCTTTTAATTCTACTTTTTCGAATCTATTAAATGTATGGTGCAAAATTTGCTTTCAAAAGTTACCTTGAATCCTTTGTCACACAATTGGCTTATGCTAAGAAGGTTATGCTTTAGTCCATCAACAAGAAGCACATCCTTAATCTCCAATGTGTTTGCACCACCTATGTTTCCAATTCCGAGAATCTTTCCTTTGTTGTTATCCCCATAAGTCACATATCCTTGTTCTTTAGCTTTGAAACTTACAAATTTCGTTTTATCTCCAAGTCATATGTTTTGAGCATCCACTATCAAGATACCACATAGACTTCTTTGATTTGGAAGTTTCCTACAAAACAAGAACATAGTAAACTTAGGTCCCCATAACTTTTGGGTCCTTGGGGTTAGAGACATAACAATCTATTTAAATACTGCAAAACTTTCTCATAAAACTTTTCAAGTTATTTTAACTGATAAAAAATAAGTTTTAATCGATTAAAACGCTGTGTAGAAAATTTCTAAGTTGTTTTAATCGATTGAAACGAGATTTAATCGATTAAAAGAGTTCTGATCGGTCATAACTAAATTCTGATCGATCATAACTGATTCTGATCGGTCATAATTGGATTCTGATCGATCATCCTGACCCTTTAAGTGATTTTAATCGATTGAAACGTGTTTTAATCGATTGAAAAAGTTCTGATCGCTTATAATTAAAATCTGATCGATCACATTTGATTCTGATTGGTCATAATTGGATTCTGATCGATCATCCTGACCCTTTAAGTGATTTTAATCGATTGAAACGTGTTTTAATCGATTGAAAAAAATTCTGACCGCTCATAATTAAAATTTGATCGATCACATTTGATTCTGATCGATCATATTTGTATTCTGATCGATCATAATGAGTTCTAAATGGTTTTAATCGATTAAAAACAAGTTGTATCGATTAAAATACTGTAAAAACACTTCTTTGAACATTCTAAGTGATTTTAATCGGTTCTTTCAAAACTATATCAGTTAAAAACATGTTTAAGAAATCTTTTGTAAAAATACTTTGTTTTTAGTTGTTTAAAACGATTTTAGAGGCATTTCGCAAAAGCTTTAAGTGAAGAACCTTCATGCAGCAAAAAAGATAAAATGATTTTACCTAAGCATTCTGTTTAAAACATACTAAATGATCCATTTTCTTTGAATAAATAAAAGAGACAAACAATTCATTCAACTATAGGAACCCAAATATATTTTTCTTTAGGAACACCAAAATGTTTGATTTTACATCTATTTGAGGTATGACCTTGTTTCATACAATAAAAGCATGCATTTGAAGTAGTTTTAGAACAAGATACATTATTAACATGACATGCTCTAGTTCCCTTTTCTACCCATACTCTTTTCTTTTTAGTTTTACTCTTTTTCAAAGGAACTCTTTGATTTACATTATTTTGAGCAATTCCCATTTCATGCTTCTTAAGATCATCAATTTCTTTCTCGGCTTTGTCAAGCAAATGGTTAAGAATATCTATGTCATATTCATGCTCTTTACAATTTGCACAAGCTAAGTCCTTATTCTCATCTAAGCATACAATTTTCGTATTAGCTACCTCCTTTTCTTCTAAACATGCAATTTTCAATTTTAAGGACTCATTTTCCTTTTCGGATCTTCTTAGATTTTTCTTTACAACTTTAAATTCGTTTTTCATATTCATAAATGCAGTAAATAACTCATTATAAGCATTTTGCAATTCATCATGGTCATTTTCTTCACTAGAGGATGAATCGGAATCACTAACCTCAAAATTCGAAGAAATGTTGTCATTTGCCATTAAGCAAATGTTTGCTTCTATTTCTGAGTCGCTTGATTCTGAATTTGAATCACTGTCATCCCAAGCAATATATGCTTTCTTCTTGAATTGCTTTTTGCCCTTGTGTTCATCATTTTTCTTGTTTGGGCATTCGGTCTTCATATGCCTTGCTTCACCACAACCATAGCATTTTATATTAACGGAAGAATTTTCTTTTACCTTTCCCTTACCTTTGAAAGGATGTCTTCCTTTTGCTTTCATCAATTTGGTGAACTTCTTTATAAAAAGACTCATCTCTTCTTCATCATTTTCGGAGTCTTCTTCTTCTTCTTTCTTATTTTTGCTTTTTGAAATCTCGGTCTTGAAAGCTAGGTTCTTCTTTTGATATTGACCCTCTTCCTCATTTAGCCTTCCAAGGTCAAGCTCATGCTCCCTTAGCTTTCCAAATAACGCTGCCATAGATATAGTGGCAAGATTTTGTGACTCCGAGATGACCGTCACCTTAGGTTGCCATTTCCTATCCAGATATTTCAAAATTTTAACATTTAATTCATCAACGTCAAATACTTTACCTAATCCGGTGAGATGATTCACAATATGAGTGAAACGCTTTTGAATGTCGAAAATCGTTTCGCCGGGTTGCATCCGGAACATCTCGTATTCTTGGATTAGGGAGTTTTTACGCGCTCTTTTGACGTCGTCAGTTCCTTCGTGGGTTACTCTAAGCATTTCCCACATTTCCTGTGCACTTTTACAAATAGAAATTCTGTAGAACTCATCAAGGGTTAGAGCAGATGAAATAATATTTCTAGCCCTATCATCAAATTGTGCTTTTCGACTTTCTTCGGCAGTCCATCTATCAAAAGGTTTAAGAACGTCAACACCGTTCTCTGTAATTTTAGGAACAAATGGACCGTTTAAAATTGCGTCCCAAACGCCTCTATCAACAGACTCTAAAAATATTTGCATACGTACCTTCCAGAAAGGATAATTTTGACCCGCAAAAAGTGGGGGTCTGTTGATAGATGCACCTTCGGCAAAAGTTTGATTTTTTCCGGCCATTTTCAAAAATTTGAATGACTATCAAAGCAAGCTCTGATACCACTTGTTAGAATCGCGCAGCGGAATGTTCGCATGGTCGGACAAAAACTAAGAGGGGGGGTGAATTGGTTTCTTAATAAAAATTAGGTTTTCAAAATTTTCCCCAAATTTTACCGATTAAAAACTGCGTAAATGTAAATAGAGAAGAGTAGAGAAGATTACACAGTAGGTTTATACTTGGTTCGGATCAAAAGACCCTACGTCCGAGTTGCTAATCACTCAAAAGAGGATTAACGCTCGTCACTAAGAACAAATTGTTACAAACAGATTACAAATGAACAGGATAAAGATCGAATACACCTCTCTTGAAATCCACAAGAGATGATGAACAACTTTCCTCGGAGACGGCACAACACACAATCCACTAAGAACTCCACTTAGTGATTTTTATCGCTTCTAGCCCACACCAGGTTCAGAAAGCCCCCTTTCCTTGCAACAAACAGTTCTCTGGCACTCACAACACTTAACTTTTGTATGGAAAAGGTTGTTCTATTTTTTCTGAGTGCCAAAGGAGAGTTTAAGTAGGGAAATTAGGGTTTAGAAAAAGGGGATTTCGAAACTAGGGTTAATTTGAAATTTAAAATGAAAAACAGACTGAAATAATCGATTAAATGGAGTTATAATAGATTAAAACAGAGCCAAAAAAACAGAACCCAAAACCTCTATGTTTTAATCGATTATTTGAAGTTTTAATCGATTATTTGACCTAATAATCGATTATTTTGATGTTTTAATCGATTAAAACAGTGAGTATATATCGAAAATGGTTTTTTCATTGTTTTAATCGATTATTTCCCTATATAATCGATTAAAGCTGAGCCTGGATGATATATTGGGGCTTTTTGAAGCTTCTAAGTTACGGACTATGTACCAGCTATCTTAGATTCTATAATTACATACTCAATCAAACTAAAACAGAGTTATTACAATACAGAAATCATCAATCTTCAATCTTCAATACTCTAAGTCTTTAAGCTCTTGGATCATCATCAAAATCAACATTCTTCATGATCATTATTTGCAACATCAAGTCCTTGAATGTTCAACACAAATTAGTTGTCACTTTTATAAGGTGATATTGAAATTAATCTGATTATCTTTTTATTTAATTTACCTTTTTTACGTTTTGTTCTTAAGTATAAATAAATTAGTGTATTTGTAATTTGTGCTTTTATACTATATTACTTTGGCTAAGTTTTCACTTTTTTTTGTTTAAAACTTAATTATTTTAAAATTATTGTTGTCTTTCAAATTTAATATTTAAATACTAAAATCATATTTTACTGAAGATTAAAATGTTTTTTTTTTTAATTTAAGTGACTAAAAAAATATCTCAGGACAAAAAAACCCAAAATTATAAATTTAACATAATTTTCTTTTTATCCGTGCCACTGTGTAGTGTTTTTCTTCAACTAGATTCGTGTTCACCTAAACACAGTAACATTCAAAATCGCGAGTCATAACCCACTTTTCATTTTCTCAGACAACGCAAAACAAGGTCCACGCTTCTCTCACTCTCTTCCATTCCTTTCCATGACTCGCCTCAGGCGACTCGGCACTGCCGTAGGAGCGGCTGTGGCCACTGCATACGGCGGCGCCATCCTCCTCTCGCCGACGATATCCTCCAGCGACCATGGCACCGGGGGATCGCAGATCGCCACCGTCCGGGAGAAAATCCATGATCCCTTCGCTACCGTGCCTTCAAGAGAGGTGCAGCGGTCGGCGCTGATCGGCGCCGGTGCCACGAGCCCTCTCGACGTTCTCGTGATCGGCGGCGGTGCCACCGGCTCCGGCGTGGCGCTCGACGCCGTCACCCGAGGGCTCCGTGTTGGTCTCGTCGAAAGAGAGGATTTCTCTTCCGGAACGTCCTCTCGCTCCACCAAGCTCATTCATGGAGGTAGAAGTGCACATGTTCGATTATGTGTCCTTTCATCTTTAATAAATGATTAAAAATGTACTATATCTATTGGATATACGACAACTTAAGTAGTAGAAAGTGGTTAGACTTAATGACTCAAAAGAGTAATGTGATTAGGTTTTATATTCTTAGGAACTGAGAGTCCAAAAAGCTTTCTGTTAATAGAAGGGTAAATAGTCTTTGCACTAAAAGTGTTTTTATATTATTCTTTAACAATAAAAAGTTCTTATACTTTAACTGAATCACAAACTGCCACTAAAATAAACTAATTATAGTGACGATTTTTAACTTAATTTCTGTAATGCATGTTCAGTGGAAGTTATTTATTACTGAAAATATCATCGTGCGTATATTATTTAATTGATTTTAAGGATCAACGAAAATTCTGCTATGTTTTGTCCAGAAAGGAATTAGTGGCAGAGTGGGGAATTCAAGAATCTGAAAGGGAGATGCAAGAACAGGAAAAGAGTGAGGAAGAATTGAGGAACTTCAGTATAGTGTAAGTTGCATAATGATGAGGAGCTCCAATGGATGGGGCAGGTTGTGTGCAATGGAAAATAGATATGAGAAGGAAGGGTCTCACGTGGCTAATGACTTTGGGCGATATGTTTGGTTGGGTGAACAGGTGGGAATGATACTTCCAGGTAAGTAAAGTTGTGAAGAAGAAAGACTACAAGTTCCAAGTGGTGTTGGTGGCACTGGAAGGCAGATATTTTAGTTGGTTCCAATGGTTGGAGGTTGGTTTGTCCTATCTATCTTAGGAAGGGTCAAAACTATAGTAATCTGAAGGTTTCAACGATCGACTGTTGGGGATGAAACAAATATCCAAATATCAATTGTAGAAGAAATTTAGGAGAAATTTGTATTGTGTCATATTCCTGTCCCCTGAAGTGCACTGGCATGAGTACCTTAGGTAATTACTTGACATGGATTGATAGAAGAAATTAGGGCAGAATTAAGTTATACTTTATAAAATAGTTACTGGAGAAGATGGATCATGCAGGAATCAATAAGAAAAAATGATTATTAAAATAAGAAAGAGGATATTTGGACAATTGGAATATTTGGCTGGTTAGTTAGAATGGGTAGAAGATAGCGTATGAATCACTGGAGGGGAATAAGGGTGAGGTTTCAGACTTGGAGTAGAGATTAGGAAGGAAAGCCCAGGTTTCTCAAATAATTGTGTGCAAGGGTAAAAGAGGAGGGATATAAAAAGAACTGATGTATCAAATTTTTTTATTTATATTTGTATCTCTTTTCTTATTCTTATTCCTACTTTTATCTTGGCACTTTTTATCATTATCATTATTTTACATGAATATTCCTAACCCTTGGATAAATATATCATGCTTATAAGTGTAGCAAAAATTGTGATAATCTGGTAGGCCAAACAATTTGTTTTGATAATTAATATTAATGTGTTTATAAAGGGTATTCCATAAAGTTACTATTTTTAAATTGCTTTTTGTATTCTTTCAAAGTATATGAAAGAACAATAACAAAGCTAAAAATCTACGACTGTCTCATACTTTTGGGATTTGGAATTTACAGGCAAAAATCAAATAAGAGACCCAGTTTCCATGATTGTCAGGGTTGTGAAGTTTGCTTTGATTTAGGTTCTCAAATAAGATTGATAAGAATCAATCTGCATATTAACACTGTAGGTTGTTGTTATTGACTGCCAGAAATTTTCAGTGCTACTGGGAAATGCTATCGTCAATGTATGTTTACTTATGCATAAGTCGTAATTCCTTGTTGCTTTAACGTTTCAGTGTTTGTGTAAACTCTTAGGTGTTCGTTACCTAGAGAAAGCAGTCTTTCATCTTGACTATGGCCAACTAAAGTTAGTATTCCATGCACTTGAGGAGCGTAAACAGGTTATTGACAATGCACCACACCTATGCCATGCTTTGCCTTGCATGACACCATGTTTTGACTGGTTTGAAGTACTGTACTACTGGATTGGCTTGAAAATGTACGATTTGGTCGCAGGAGCACGACTCTTGCACTTATCAAGATATTATTCTGCAAAAGAGTCTGTTGAACTCTTTCCCACTCTGGCAAAGGAGGGAAAAGGTAGAAGTCTGAGGGGCACAGTTGTTTATTATGATGGGCAGATGAATGATGCGCGTCTTAATGTTGGATTGGCTTGCACAGCAGCATTAGCTGGTGCTGCTGTGCTGAATCATGCTGAAGTTGTATCTTTACTGAAGGATGATGCTGGTGAACGTATAATTGGTGCTCGAATTAGGGACAATTTAACTGGTAATACTTTCTTTTATTTCTATGTGTTACTGTAGACATTCATGGTTTACATTTTTTACTATTTTCGGCTGTCAGAAATGGTAAGTTGCCTAAATCTGAGTAAATAAGGGAACAAACACAATCTGAAGGACGAAATAGCACCATAACACTTTTCCCATGTTTGACTTTAAAAATGGTCATTGGACAACGCAAAAGAAAGGATGGAGTACAGGACAAGATCTAAATTTTTTATTACGCACCAAAACATGCGACAACCTTTTGTTCAGCACAATGTTATGAAAAAATCAAAATTACTTTTTCCCCTATGTTGAAAACCCGCACTTTCACTCCCACACCAAAACACTGTCAGTTATTTGATTCTTCAAATAAATAAGAATTTGATAGGATTGAAACAGTGAGCAGTGATTGCAGCGGAGGAGAAAGGGAGAAAAAACAGAAATTGAGGAAGAGAGTAACACCGGAAGAGAGAAAGAGAAGATACAGAAAGTTGGAACCCAACGGTGGGAATCAATTGCATTCAGATATGAGAAAATGATTACAATTGTTTTGTGCATGTGCTATAACTTGCAATTCGTATTTATAGGAATTGGCAACTAGGTATAACAAAAGAAACAACTAACTAACAGAGTTATAACAGAATTAATCAGCTCAGTATACATCACATCAATGGTGTAATAAATTCATATTTGATTGATATTTCATATTTTCATTGTTCAAAAAATCATGTGTGTATTAGGGATTTTTTGCTGTGTGCCGATATGGTTACATCATAAAGAGTTAAAATAGGAAAGGATTTACTGGAAAAAAAGGGTTTATTTTATAAAAACACAAAAGTAATTTGATTTGATAATTACTTTTAAGAAATTTAAAACATTTAATATGATGTATTAAATGTATTCACAAACTGTCTTTGGGCAGACAAAAGGCGACATTATTTAGAGCGTAAAAATAATTGAATGAGAATACTAGAATGACTATAATACCATTTCAAAACTTAAGAATATCAAGACGATGTCTTCGTGCCTTTTCATAATGCACATGAAATAACACAGTACAAAATTGCTTATCGACCACCAAATAGCAGACATAACAAAAACTGCATCATGACTCTGCTACTTATACTGTGCAGTTCTGCTCATTTCCTCCCTGCATGTCCATCAAATGTGCTCGAAGAATAATGTCTTTAACAGTTCAATAGTTTTTAATTATTTCCGTTCCTGATTTTGCATGCTGTAGGCAAAGAGTTTGATACGTACGCAAAAGTAATTGTGAATGCTGCTGGGCCTTTCTGTGATTCTGTAAGGAAAATGGCTGACAAAAATGTACGAGAAATGATTTCTCCAAGCAGTGGTGTGCATATTATTCTCCCTGATTATTATTCTCCAGACGGAATGGGTTTGATTGTTCCCAAAACTAAGGATGGACGCGTTGTTTTCATGCTACCATGGTTGGGACGAACAGTTGCTGGAACTACGGATTCCAACACTAGCATTACCTTTCTTCCAGAACCACATGAAGATGAAATACAATTTATATTGGATGCCATCTCTGATTACCTTAACGTTAAAGTATGATATTCCTGCCAAAAATACAGGCAATTTTTAAGCTCATTAATGTTCCTCTTTATTTCTGATGTTCAATGCAGAAATTAAATGATCCCATTCTTATTACATGTTTGGAAATGTTTTGGATAATCCTAGACAGAAGAAAAAAAATAGTAAATTGAATCATATGTCTGTTAGCTCCATCGCTATAGAATTCAATCTTTCCATTTGTGGGCATTCCCTCTTCTTTTAAATTAAAGGCCCACCAATCTCTGATTAAAAACAAGGAAGATGATCGCTGTCACTCATTCTAGATATCCTTTTTCTTTATCCCTTTCTCTTCTAACATAAAATAATGCCTTGAAAATTTAGGTCCGTCGCACTGATGTTCTTTCTGCCTGGAGTGGCATTCGTCCATTAGCCATGGATCCATCAGCTAAAAATACCGAGAGTATCTCTAGGGATCATGTTGTCTTTGAGGATCACCCTGGTTTGGTCACCATTACTGGTGGCAAGTGGACTACGTATAGGAGGTAATTATTTAATGCATCAAGCTGAAAGTTGTTCAGATGTTGTTTCTCCAGTTACGCATTGTATTAATTATGTTAACTATTCAGTTAGTCCATTTAGTGTTAAATTTTTTTCAACTTCTGCACCATTTGTTGTTGCCTTTCCTTCTTGTTGTTCCCTTTTAGCATGCAATGTTTCATTTGCATATAATATATTCTGATTCCAATGTGTTTCAGCATGGCAGAAGATGCAGTCAATGCAGCTATAAAATCTGGGAAGTTGACCCCTACCAATGGATGTATTACCAACAGTCTCAGGATTGTTGGTGGTGAAGGGTGGGATCCTGCATCTTTTACCATTCTTTCTCAACAGTATGTGCGCATGAAGGTAACTTACAAGGGTAAAGTTGTTCCTGGTGTGATGGACACTGCTGCAGCAAAGCACTTGTCTCATGCATATGGAACATTGGCTGAACGTGTTGCTGCCATTGCTCAGGTTAGCTTGTGTATATTTACTAGCGTGTATAGTAACAGTATTAGCACAAGAAATTTTGAAAATGTATTGTCAAATGATTAATTTTATTGAAAATGTTGTTTTTGATACAGCCTAGTGAAATCAATTGATCCATGTGGCTACTCACGTGATGGCATATGGCTTTATTGTTTGTTGTAAACCATGAACGTCAATGGATATGAAATGTTAGTTGTTAATTCTTGACATTTCACTTTTATTTTTATTGGCAAAAGTTAGTTGTTAATATGTTAGTTTTTGTTAGCAGAGGGTTTTAAACCCACAAACTATACCTCCCTCCCTTCCACTTTTACCACCAAACCAACTTTATATTGCCTCATATTTTACTTAATACAAAAATTATACTAAAAATCTTATGAGGGTATTCACACAAAATATAATACCATAAAATAATAAATATTCACCATTACAACTATAATTGTTAGATACAACTATAATTGTTAGATATATTATTTGATTATGAGATTGTGAGAGGTGATATGATTATGTTAGAGATACGATTTTATTACATTAAAAGAAGATTAAAGGAATATATTATATGAATTGATAGGGAAATATCTTTCCAAATGTTTTCCATTATCAAATATTGATTTGGTTCCTTGTTATTGTATCTTTTCTTAATTAAAAATAAGTTTAATCACTTGTTTTCAAAACACACAACAACAATCCTTTCAATATGGTGGTACCATTCTTTATGACCTATTTTATCACTAATAAGCTGTTAGGCCATGACATTTTCCCTAGATGTACTAACCTGGACTTTGTCTGTGACTTTCTATCTTGAAAATCCTTTGTTAGCAATTTTGCTCTTTGGCACCTGTTGTGCCTTCCAAGTATTTTTTGCTCTTCAGCAGCTAACATGCTCTTTGAACATTTTTTGTCCTACACAACTTCCTCACCAACAATTGTCGTGCACTTTGGCAACAGTCATGTTCTCTAAGCATCTTTTTGCTCTCTAACAACTTCCATGCCCTCGGAACATTTTTTGTATTCCAGCAGTAATCATGTTCTTTGAACATATTTTACTCTCTAGGAGCCACTATGCCATCCAAGCACTTTTCTCTTTGGCAGCCATCGCATCCTCCAATCTCTAACACGACCCTGCAATTGGAGCTGCCCTTCTCTAGCAACCACCACACTGCCTGACAATAGTTGCCATATGTTGCCAGCTCCTCAGCATGTTATCTTCATACACCTCCATCAAATTGATGTTTTGTCATTATTACCTTCTTCAGATCTAGCAATAAGCTGGCTGCCATTTTCATTAAGTCTGTAAAGGAGCCATGTTGATAACATATTATACTACAAGCTTGGCTCACATGACCTATATATTCTAGTTTGAGGAGGATTATTAGAGATATGATTTTGTTCCTTATTGTTGTATCTCTTCTTCATTATTCATTATAAATAAGAGCATTCATGTGTGTACAAAACACACAATAACAAACAATCCTTTGATATGCTGAAAGCACCCAAGATATGCTGAAAGTGGAAAGATATCAATTTGAGAAGGTATGCTGTCAAATTGGTTGCAGAAGTCATTTGTGGTTAAGTGCAGTGGCATACTGAAATTATGTCAAACTGTTGAACATAGTTTTGACCTTACTGGTTTTTTAGAATATAATATGATTAATTACATGGTAAATTCGTTTCAACACCTCATGCTCCTATTCTAGTTTGACAGATCAAAATCCAATAGAATGGTGATAATTTTTCTATCTGAAGTGTGTTTATGCAGTTTATACAACAGTTGGTTAGTTTAATGGTTCCATAAATGCTAAGGTTTTTATATATATATATATATATATATATATATATATATATATATATATATATATTTCTTGTGCAGACTGAAAATTTGGGTAAGCGACTTGCCCATGGTTACCCTTTTTTGGAGGCGGAGGTGGCCTACTGTGCACGTCATGAGTATTGTGAATCTGCAATTGATTTCATTTCAAGGAGGTCTCGTCTAGCTTTCCTTGACACTGATGCAGCAGGACGTGCATTACCTCGTGTGATTCAAATATTGACATCTGAGCACAAATGGGATAAGACAAGGCAGAAACAAGAGATGCAGAAGGCTAAAGAATTTTTGGAGACTTTTAAATCCTCCAAAAATGCTCAATTCTATGACGGCAAGCATAACTAGTAAGTACTGCTATTCATCTGCCCATGAATTACATAGAAACTTGGCTTCAATGACATTTTAGCTCCCATAATGTACACCTCTCCCAGTTCTAGTCCCTAGAAAATTTTCTGGTTGGTTTTGATTCTTGTTATTATTATTATTTTTATTAGTATTATTATTATTTTCCAGTTTTAGTCCTTATGTGCTACTGTTTAGTCCCTATAAATTTGTAAACTTGATATAGATTCCACTTATATTGAAAGGTTTTCATTTTAGTTCATGTTATTGAGGAAACATAACATCTGTTTTCCAATTTGTTAACCTGGTCACACCAATGAATAAGAGTAGGATCTAAAATTGAAAAAATAAAATTATACTGACCAAAATGGACAAGAATCTTTTCTGAGCTAAAGCTGAATTAGGTGTATATTATGGGAAATAAGAAGTTACTTACTCTTAAAAATTTTGTATGTGTTAATTTTAGAAGTTCAGTTCAAAAGGGATGAATAATTTATGATCGCATATCTTGTTTTAGGCACTGGACTTGAAATGAGGAGCCACTTTGCAAACATGGTATTATTGACTAGAGTTTCCGTTGTCAATAAAAGATTGCAGTTACTTCAGTAGCTTAATACATCTCAGAAGTTAATTATTTAGTGAATTTGTCAAAGCTGCATGGCGCAACGCATTCAAATTTAAAAGGTTGTCTGGGCTTGAATTTCTTGTTTTTTCTTACGAGAAATGCTAGCATCACATTCTCTGACACACTCTTTTAAAGATTATCTTCTATTGGTTGAAATTTATTAAAAATTATAAAAATTGTAGGTTTACCTTCTTATTTTATCCTTATTATTTTCAATAAATTTCAACCAGAGGAGGAATGTATTCTAAAGAGAAATTGTGATAATGTTGCTAACATTTATCTCTCCAAAATAATTGTTCTATGCCATTTGATTTGGAGGGTTGTGGCTGTTGGTGTGGAGTAGAAGTGACTGGTAAAAAGGTAAAGAGAGACTCACTTCCTTTTAAGAGATCTTTGTTTCAAATAACTCTTTCGGGAAAATATTGACCAGTCTATTATGTATTGTTTTAGACTTTTGTTTGTTGTAAATATTTGGTGGATATTCAAAAATAAGATGAAATGTAAAGAGGCTTGACTTCAAATTACATTAGGACTGAGACTTTGTTTTATTTTTTATTTAGTGAATGATTTTAGTCCATGATGGCATCTTGCTGTATTCATGTGGACATTCATACTTCAAATTGGGTTCCAAAGAAGTACGATCTGTATAGTACGTGCTGGAATGCTTCTGGATAGTATGTTTTGAACAGTGCGTTCTGGAATTTTTTGGATGAATATAGAACTATTGTTTTTGGATCCAAAAATATTAGAGAGTAGTCAATCCAGAGTATAAAAATTATTAGAAACTTACCTCGCGCAAGAAAGCTAAGAATTTGCAACCCACTTACCATATGGAGGCTTTATTTGGTGACCCTTTTGGTTGGTATGTGGCTGCTGTTGTAACTCTTTTTAGCATGGAGGGCAAGTGAAATGGTGCTTTGAAATCTATAGATTTTGTGGAGGGTTCGTACATTTGTTGGAAGAAACTGTTGAGACAACACTTGAAGAGGAAAAATGTGGAGAAAAGAGAAAATAGTGAAGTGTTTGAGAACAAGCTGGGTATGCAATTGGGAAGAAAGAGATTTCAACTGAGATAGCTTGCCTCTAAGAATAGAGTAGGGAAAGAATTGCCACGACTGAAACATTATTCCACAACATATGATTTTTTATATGATATGGATTGAATAATCCGAAACTTGAAAAAAAAAAATTTCCGATTAACTGATTTAGAATTTATCCAAATTCACCGATTCAGAATTATAGATTATTTTTAGATTGTTTTAATTGTAAACTTAATATATATATATATATATATATATATATATATATATATATATATATATATATATATATATATATATATTTTTTATTTTTTTTTTTTGGATCCATCAATTCAAAATACTCTAGAATACGTTTCTAGGCTACCAATTTTGCTAAACCCAGATAATACTGTATTTCCTAAAATACAACTGTGCAGGAAGAAATTGTGATGAGAAATGGTTGTTGCATGTTATGAAGACATTTCAAGTAGGGTTGACAATTATGTACGTGTATATACATTTCAACAACAACTGTATATAAAATAATATTAAATTTATAATTATATATAAAATAAATAAATAATTTTAAAAAAATATATTAACAACCGTATATATACATTCGAACTATAACTACATATAAAATAATATTAAATTTATAATTACATATAAAATAAATAAATAACATAAAAAAGTGTACACATCTGAACCAATAATTATATATAAAATAATATTAAATGTACAATTATATATAAAATAAATAAATAACATAAAAAAAATTATGGAAGTGTTTAGTCAGGTTAGCTAAAATTTTTCTAAAAAAAGTTTGGGATTAATTTTTTTTAGTTTTGTTAAAAAGGTATTGAGAAAGATTTAACAATAAAATATTTGGTTATATTATTTTTTATTTGCTACATGTTAATAGATAACACGTTATATTTTGAGAAATAATAAATAAATTATTAATCATTCAGAAAAGAAAATAACTGTGTTTAATTTGATGGAATTTTGTATATCTGTATAATCAAAGAAATAAATAGTTTTTTTAATAGATTAGATATAAAGATTGATAAATAATAAGTTTTGCAACCTTTAAATACCATAATTTGATACCATTCAACGGTGGCTGCTATACGAAATAAGTAATCTGGGGCAAAATTTCTGAACAAAAATTTCTAACTTTTTTCATTAATTAATTCTAAAATAACTGATTAGGGGCACATTGCTGGGTATATCAAACAGGAATCTCCAACTCTGCAGGGTATATCAAGCAGGAATCTCCAACTCTGCTGGGTATATCAAGCAGGAATCTCCAACTCTGCGACCTGTTAACAACCACCACATTACAAAGAAATGTCACACTATGCTTATTTATGAAGATGTCTTGGTTAAATTACAAGTACACTTCGAAACACACCTGGCCACACCTTCAAGAAATTAAAATTTTATTGAAGGACAAAATCATTTGGAGATGGCATCAAAATCCTGCTTGATTCTTCAGAGGATGCTCAGCAGGTACCAGATTAAATAATACTCAGGCTGGACAAGGATTCTTGAGGAAAGCTGTTAAAATCCAACTCGGTGAATTCTTAACATTCATTTCTTGGCACCAGAAGAGCATAAATACCGCAGCATATATTCGTTGGAAGAACATGTATCTGCTAGATCCTGATGAATTCTAGTGATTGCTTTCTGCAAAGATTTTAATGACGGTAACAGATTGCGAGAGTTCTGCTGAATAGAATTCCCATGGGCCTTGCAGAGCTCCTGTCAAATCATACCAAAAATAAAGATTATTTTATAGAACTAGTATGACCTTCGAAAACTTAAGAAAAGACTAGATCTGAGCAAGTAAAGAATACCTGACACCATCTAAGTATAAATTCCAAATGTGGGCAGTTTTCTAAAAGATCTGCAAGTGCTTCCACTAATCGTTGGATATATTTGTAAGGGATTGATGTGGCAACTGCTGGAATATCTGCTGGACTAACCGAAAATATACAATTTTTAATGAAAGAATCCTCATTCAAGAGAAGGCTAAGAATCAAGGCTTTACTTGTTTGATTTTCACGAAGAGCTTCTTCAACAGCCTGTTCAGAAATGCAAGCTCAAGTTACTAACGACATCAATACAGGAAACAGTGCAATGAAATTAAAATGGAAAAACGGATCTAGGAATTTGTTATCTTCACTTGTATCTGGTGCAAAAATTTTACCATTTTTAATAAATTGTTGAAAAATAAAATTATACTCTTCTTGAGTTTTATGTTGACTGTCATGAATAAAAAGAACAATGATGTGGAAAAATCCACTCTAAGAGGAAAACTGCATCCTCTTCTTACAAGTATATTATAACTACCACCATAACAACTCAAACACAAATTATTGGAGGACAAGTAATTGTTTAGTAGTTTTTAAAGTAGGTGCACTCTATAACTCATTTCTTACAATAGAAAATAGTTTCTGGAATAATCTTACATTCTTTGAACTAAAAATAGGTGTACTCTAACTCATTTCTTACAACAGAAAATAGTTTCTGGAATAATCTTATATTCTTTGAAGTAAACAGCGCTAGTTCTTTCAATGAAGTTAAATTACCTCTGGCGTAACATTTATGTCAAGGTCAGTTGGATCAAATATAAAAGATTCGTCAACAGAATAAACCAAAACTCCTTCAGTTGTTGCCGCAACAAAACTACGCCCTGTAGGTGCAATTCTCAGGGACTTTGTCTGAATAATAGGCCTTCCACAGTTAGGCATAGATCCTGGCAAGTCTAATCCTAGTTTCCCTCGGGTTTGTTTGTCAACACCTTCTTCAACGTCATTGTTGTCATCATCAATCAAATCTAGTGGGCCAGCATCTGTCATATTTTTTGAGTTTAAAATGTCAAGCACTCCATCTAAAGAGAGATTGTGAGTTATTTGGAATCGTCGAAGTAAAACCTGAACACAAAAGAGATTCCAATTAATAAAGAGAGATGTACTACGATATGTAAACAAGTAGATAGTATAGTCCACTTTAAATATGCATCCACTTTGAATACCCCGTAATTTATATACACACAGACAAAGGATACAAATAATAAGACCAGTATAATTGCAGGCATAAATGGACAGAATGGGGCACAGATGGTCGAAGACTTCAAGAGTAACATATTTTAACCATAGATATAAGAGAATAGAAACAAAAGGCTTTCATGACACTTCACAACCCGATGTACGCCCTGCAGGTGAAATTCCCAACCAGCAAGATAATATTTTTCTTATATATCCTAGAGACCAAATGAAGTTCCTCATCATCTCTATCTTGACTCATACCATTCGGATTAGAAAAAATGAGAAAACTGACAGAATACAGGACAAGATTGATTTATAGAATAAGCATCCTTGTACTTGGAGATTCTGAAAAGAAGTAGCCCTAGGATTGAAACCTAGAGAAAACAGGGTGGTTTGATGTTAGAAATGCACTTATGAAAACTAAGAGTGAAAATAAACCTGCAAAAGAATCAATTTGTTGGGGAAATGCCTGGTTAAAACTCAAAGGGAGGGTGGTATCACAAAGATTTATTATACTAACACAAGAATGAATCAAATTTGTGAACTAAGCAGCCTTTCTCTACAAGAACTTGACAGCCTTAAACTTATAGGTGCACTGAGGCTCAAAAGTCCTCACTCTGCAGCAGATAATCTACATCACCTACAGAAGGTTGTAAAATGATATGTATCTTCAATTTTCAATCTATCCATTTACTAAAGGGCAACAGTACACATTGACCCCAGACAGCAATTAAGCTTCAATGTTTAGACAAAAAGTTATGATAAAAGAGAATGCTTTAACATTATATATATTGTGTGTTGTGTGTGAGTATCATTATAATACAAAAGTTTGCAAAATATTTCTTGCTTTTTTGTAGTTTATTAATTATCTAATTGCCCCACATCCAAAACATATTTGTTTAACCAATGATGTGTTGGACTAAACTGAAGAACAAAAACGCATGGATAATATGTCTAACATTAACATGCGCCATGAATCAAGAGAATATTAGAGAACTCTGTTTTGTATTGCAACCCTAAACTAATTCACACCCCCTCTTGGTTTTTGTCCGACCACGCGAACATTCCGCTGCGCGATTCTAACAAGTGGTATCAGAGCTTGCTTTGATAGTCATTCAAATTTTCGAAAATGACCGGACAAAATCAAACTTTTGCCGAAGGTGCGTCTATCAACAGACCCCCACTTTTTGCGGGTCAAAATTATCCTTTCTGGAAGGTACGTATGCAAATATTTTTAGAGTCTGTTGATAGAGACGTTTGGGATGCTATTTTAAACGGTCCATTTGTTCCTAAAATTACTGAGAACGGTGTTGACGTTCTTAAACCTTTTTCTAGATGGACTGTAGAAGAAAACAGAAAAGCACAATTTGACGTTAGGGCTAGAAATATTATTTCATCTGCTCTAACCCTTGACGAGTTTTATAGAATTTCTATTTGTAAAAGTGCACAGGAAATGTGGGAAATGCTTAGAGTGACCCACGAAGGAACTGACGACGTTAAAAGAGCACGCAAAAATTCTCTAATCCAAGAATACGAGATGTTCCGGATGCAACAAGGCGAAACGATCTTTGACGTACAAAAACGTTTCACTCATATCATGAACCATCTCACCGGACTAGGTAAAATCTTTGACGTTGATGAGTTAAATGTTAAAATTTTGAAATCTTTGGATAGGAAATGGCAACCTAAGGTGACGGCCATCTCGGAGTCACAAAATCTTGCCACTATGTCTATGGCGGCGCTCTTTGGAAAACTTAGAGAACATGAGTTAGAGCTTGGAAGGTTAAACGAAGAAGAAGACCAATATCAAAAGAAGAATATAGCCTTCAAAACCGAAATTTCCAAAGGTAAAAATAAAAAGGAAGAAGAAGAAGACTCGGAAAATGAAGAAGAAGAGCTGAGTCTTATGATAAAGAAGTTCACCAAAATTCATGAAAGCAAAAGGAAGACATCCCTTCAAAGGTAAAGGAAAGGTAAGGGAAAATTCTTCCGTAAATATAAAATGCTATGGTTGTGGTGAAGCAGGACATGTAAAGACCGAATGTCCAAATAAGAAGAACGATGAAGTTAAAGGCAAAAAGCACTTCAAGAAGAAAGCCTATATAGCTTGGGACAACAGTGACTCAAGTTCGGAATCAAGTGACTCGGAAATAGAAGCAAACATTTGCTTAATGGCAAATGACAACATATCATCCGATTTTGAAGTAAGTGATTCTGACACATCTTCTAGTGATGAGGATAATAACTATGATGAATTGCAAAATGCTTATAATGAATTGTTTAGTGCTTTTAAGAACTTGAAGAATGAATATAAAGTTGTAAAGAAGAATTTAAGTAGATCCGAAAAGGAAATTGACTCTTTAAAAATGAAAATTACATGTTTAGAAGAAAAAGAGGTATTAGACACGAAAATTGTATGTTTAGATGAGGATAAGAATTTAACATGTGAAACTTGTAAAGAGCATGAATATGACATAAATATCCTAAATCATCTACTTGATAAAGCCGAAAAGGAAATAAGTGATCTTAAGAAGGATAAAACTGTTTTTGCTCAAAATAATGTAAATCATCAAGTTTCTATGAAAAAGTCTAAAACTAAAAAGAAAAGAGTATGGGTAGAAAAAGGAACTAGAGCATCTATGGTTAGAAATGCATCATTTTCAAATGCCACATCAAAAGCATGTTTTTATTGCATGAAACAAGGACACACGTCAAATAGATGTAAAATTAAACATTTTGGTGTACCTAAAGGTAAATACATTTGGGTTCCTATAGTTAAATAGATTGTTATGTCTCTAACCCCAAGGACCCAAAAGTTGTGGGGACCTAAGTTTACTATATTCTTGTTTTGTAGGAAACTTCCAAATCAAAGAAGTCTATGTGGTATCTTGATAGCGGATGCTCAAAACATATGACCGGAGATAAATCTAAATTTGTGAGTTTCAAAGCTAAGGAACAAGGATATGTAACTTATGGGGACAACAACAAAGGGAAGATCCTTGGAATTGGAAACATAGGCGGTGCAAACACTTTGGGGATCAAGGATGTGCTACTTGTTGATGGACTTAAGCATAATCTCCTTAGTATAAGTCAATTATGTGACAAAGGCTTCAAGGTAATTTTTGAAAGTAAATTTTGCACCATACACTTGATTGATTCCGAAAATGTAGCATTGAAAGGCATTAGGCATAACACCATATATTTGATTGATTTGGATTGTTTACATAAGTCTAGCATAACATGTTTAGTTGCTAAGGAAGAGAACCCTTGGTTATGGCATAAGAGAGCGACTCATATAAATATGCATCACTTGAATAAATTGATATCAAAAGACTTAGTAATTGGTTTGTCTAAGTTAAAATTTGAAAAAGATAGATTGTGTGATGCATGTCAAAAGGGTAAACAAGTAAAATCATCATTTAAATCAAAGAATGTTATTTCCACTTCAAAACCCCTAGAATTATTACATTTAGATTTATTTGGACCTTCTAGGATAAAAAGCTTTGGTGGAAATTATTATGAACTTGTGATTGTTGATGATTACCCTAGATATACATGGACATTTTTCCTTACTACGAAAAGTGAAGCTTTTAAGGTCTTTAGAAAATTTGCAAAACAAATTCAAAATGAGAAAGACTTAAAAATTAAAGTTTTAAGAAGTGACCATGGTGATGAGTTTCAAAATGAAAAGTTTGAAAATTATTGTGAAGAAAATGAAATTTTACATAACTTTTCTGCTCCTATGACTCCCCAACAAAATGGTGTAGTTGAAAGAAAAAATAGGTCATTAGAGGAACTTGCTAGAACTATGTTAAATGAATCTAATGTTCCTAAATATTTTTGGGCTGATGCGGTTAGTACTGCATGTTATGTTTTAAATAGAATGCTCATTAGGTCAATTATTAAATCTACTCCCTATGAATTGTTTAATGGTAGAAAACCTAATGTTGCTCATTTGAAAATTTTTTGTTGTAGTGCTTTGTGTTGAATAATGATAAGGACAACTTAGGAAAATTTGACTCTAAAGCTGATGAGGGCATTTTCTTAGGTTATTCATTAACTAGCAAGGCTTATAGGGTGTTTAATAAAAGAACTTTGAATATAGAAGAATCTATACATGTTACCTTTGATGAGATTGTAGACTTTGGGAGAAATCCTCTTGAGTCAAATAAAGAAATTGCAGGTGATGATGAATATATAAGAGAGACTCTTGATGAATTATATTTGGAAGAAAATGAGCCTTCTCAAACGCCTGAATTAGCAAAAGAATGGCAATCACCTAGAGGACTCTCAATGGACAATATCATAGGTGACATCTCAAAAGGGGTAAGAACTAGAAATATGACTAATTTCTGTAGCTTTTGTGTCACATATTGAACCCAAAAACGTTGAGGAAGTACTTAAAGATGATCAATGGTGCATAGCCATGCAAGAAGAACTTGACCAATTTGAAAGAAATCAAGTCTGGGAATTAATCCCAAGGGAAGAATAATATCAAGTTATTGGAACCAAATGGGTGTTTAGAAATAAACTTGATGAAGATGGGAACATAACAAAGAATAAAACCAGACTTGTTGCAAAAGGCTATTGTCAGGAGAAAGGTATAGACTATGATGAAACTTATGCTCCTGTGGCCAGGTTAGAGGCTATACGTCTACTTCTTGCTTATGCATCTTTAATGAAATTTAAATTATATCAAATGGATGTTAAAAGTGCATTTTTGAATGGTTTTATTAAAGAAGAAGTTTATGTGGAGCAACCCCCTGGTTTTGAAGATTTTAGTTTTCCTAATCATGTTTTTAAATTAAAAAAATCTTTATACGGGTTGAAACAAGCTCCTAGATCTTGGTATGAAAGGTTGAGTAGTTTCCTAACATCAAATGATTTTTCTTGAGGAAAAATTGATTCTACACTGTTTATAAAGAAAGTTAAAGAACATATCTTATTGGTCCAGGTGTATGTTGATGATATTATTTTTGGATCAACTGATAATGCAGAGAGAGTTTGAAATGTCTATGATGGGAGAATTGACATTCTTCCTTGGACTACAAATCACTGTTATACTTAACTGCAAGTAAACCTGATATTATGCATTATGTCTGTGTGTGTGCTAGATTTCAGGCTTGTCCTAAAGAATCTCATCTAATTGCAAGTGAAACATATTTTAAAATACTTAAAAGGAACTACTCGGTTTTGGTTTGTGGTATCCGTCCGATGCTTGTATGAGTTTAATAGGATATTCGATGCTCGATTATGGTGGATGTAAAATTGATAGAAAAAGTACTAGTGGGACATGTCATTTGTTAGGTTCATCCTTAATATCCCGACATTCTAAGAAATAGGCATGTGTTGCTTTATCTACCACCGAAGTTCGAATATATTGCAAATTGGTAGTTGTTGTGCTCAAATTTTGTGGATGAAACAACAGTTAGAAGACTATAGTATCTTTTTAAATGACATTTCGTTGATGTGTGATAATACGAGTGCAATAAATCTTACTAAGAATCCAAGAATGCACTCTAGGATTAAACATATAGAAATAAGACATCACTTTTTGAGAGATCATATCAGCAAAGAAAACTGTAAAATAGAGTATGTAGATACCAAACGTCAATTAGCAGATATTTTTACTAAGCCTCTACCTAAGGATAGATTCTATGATCTTAGAAGAGACTTAGGGATATTAGAAATAGCTTAAATTCTGCTTAATTTGACTATTTTTGGATGGTTGAAATGTTATAATTCATTTTGTAGGATGTTCATAGGTTATCATGTGTTAAAACACTCAAAACAGGGCATTCCTCTCTGGAATAATCGATTAATTGGAGTAATAATCGATTATTTGCATCCAAAACACTTAAAACAGGGTATTCCTCTCTGGAATAATCGATTAATTTGTCCATTAATCGATTAAAACCAGTAATAATCGATTAAACGGGTTTGGAAGTGATTTAATCGATTAATTTGAATTTTAATCGATTAAATCCGACCAAATTTGCTTCCTGGCTGTTGCCAACGGATATTTTGACTATTATTCCCTTCCATATGAACGTTGGAGATGCTTGGTTATAAATAGGGACCTTCATTTCACTTCTATCTCTTGAAATCAAGCTATCTTGCCTTATTCTAGCAATCTTGTCATCTTCTCACTACACTTAGCTTTCTAAATCTTCTTGTTATTCCTCTAATCTTTCAATGACCTCATCTTCTCGTGCTAAGATCCCTATTAGAAGAAGATCTGCACCCTCATCTCGACCCCGTCCTAATTCTGTAGAAGGATGGATTTCTGATACAGATGGCCAACAAGAATTTCTGACCTACTGGAAGGAACGGGCTATTATTTCTCCCAAGTTTCTTATTGGTGAGCAATTCATCAATAGGGGATTCAATTTTCCCAACCTTCTTGAAATTCAAGGAGTTCTTCCCTTCATCCAAATGCAAGGTACTTATTATCCTGACCTTATTAGGGTATTTTACTCTAGATTTAAATTTAGAGATCAAATTACTACCTCTAGAGTAAAAGGCGTCACAATTATTTTTGACGATGATATTTGGGAAAACGTCGCTCACTTTCCAATTAGAGAATATGCTATTAACATTTATGGTGAGTTAGATGATTTTGACAGGTTCTTAGCTTACCGTTCTTTTTTGAGAAATCCCTCCATGGAGATTGAGCGTCTCCTTCATGTTGGACCTTTAAAGAAGGAGGAACGCATGATTCTCCATCTAATTGTTTGGATCCTATGTCCTCGAGCTACAAATCATGCCCAATGTTCTTCCATTGATCTTCGTATTATTCATGCATTAATGAATAATGAGTCGTTAGATTGGGGCGTTTTTGTCACAATGACCATGTTAAAAGCAAAACGTCATCCCACATTCAAAATTCCTTATGCTTTACTTGTCTCTCGTATTCTTGAATATAAAGGAGTGAATGTTGAAGGTGAACAAGCAGTTAGAACAAATAACTTGAACCGCATGTTGGACAACACATTGATTCAACTCCAAATGGTGCGAGTCAATGATGTTTATGTTCACAAAGATGACGTTCCTAATCAAGGTGATGCTAATGAAGATTCTGATGAAGATATGCCTCCAGCCTATCGAGTTTCCTCTCGACCAAATCCAAAGTGTTGGAACTTCCTCTACTCATCATGAAACCCGACAATCCATGGAAGACATGTTATCTGACATGAATCAGAGGATGCAGTCATTCTTCACTCTTTCTGGAGTACGGCATGAGAAAATAATTCGTCGTATATCTGATGTAGATGATAAAGTGTGCCATTTAGAAAATAGATTTGATGCACACTTTCATAGTGATGATAGTGAAGAATTTTAAATTTGTTGTTTATTTTCTCTTCTTGTGATGTAATGTATTGACATTTCTGAAATAAAATGTGATGTTTTGTTATTGCTTTGATTGAGGGGGAGTTTTCCCTACATTATGCATATTTTGAGGGGGAGCTCTTATGTTTGTAATAGATGAATTATTTTTTATTCTAATCAAAATAGGGGGAGAAAATATTTAAAGCCTAATTTGATTACTTTTAAATATTATTAGGTATGTTTAATGTGTTTGTTAGTATGACAGATAAAACAAGTTATTACAAGGCTTTAAAAGATAATTTTGATCATCATCAAAAAGGGGGAGATTGTTGAACATTCAAGGACTTGTTGTTGCACTTGATGAACATGAAGATTGTTGATTTTGATGATGATTCAAGAACACAAAGACTTAGAGTGTTGAAGACTTGTTTTGTATTGTAATAACTCTGTTTCAATTAGATTGAGTCTGTAATATTAGAGTTTAAGATAGCCGGTACATAGTCTGCACCTTAGAAGCTTCAAAAAACTCAAATTTATCATCCAGACTCGGCTTTAATCGATTAAATAGGTAAATAATCGATTAAAATAGTGAGAAAAATCATTTTCTGTAACAACTCACCGGTTTAATCGATTAAACCAACTTTTAATTGATTATCAGGCGGTTTAATCGATTAAATCACCTTTTAATCGATTAAAACAGAGATGTTTGCATTCTGTTGATATTTGGCTCTGTTTTAATCGATTAACACTTCTTTTAATCGATTATTTCAGTCAGATTTTGATTTTTAACTTCAAATCAAACCTATTTTCAAAAACCCTATTTCCAAGAACCCTAGTTTCGAAATCCCCAATTCTAAAACCCTAATTTCTCTACTTAAATTCTTCTATGGCACTAAAAAAAATAGATCAACCTTTTTCATACAAAAATTAAGTGGTGTGAGTGTCAGAGAACTGTTTATTGCAAGAAAAAGGGACTTTCTGAACCTGGTGTGGGCTAGAAGCGATAAGAATCACTAAGTGGAGTTCTTAGTGGATTGTGTGTTGTGCTGTCTCTGGGGAAAGCTGTTCTTCATCTCTTGTGGATTTCAAGAGAGGTGTTATCTTTATTTTATCTCTTCCATTGTAACTTGTTTGTAATAACTTTGTTTATAGTGACAGCGTTAATCCTCTGTTTGAGTGATTAACAACTGGACGTAGGGTCTTTTGATCTCCCCCTCTTGGTTTCTCTAATATTACAGACTCAATCTAATTGAAACAGAGTTATTACAATACAAAACAAGTGTTCAACACTCTAAGTCTTTGTGTTCTTGAATCATCATCAAAATCAACAATCTTCATGTCCATCAAGTGCAACATCAAGTCCTTGAATGTTCAACAATCTCCCCTTTTTTTATGATGATCAAAATTATCTTTTAAAACTTTGTAATAACCTGTTTTATCTGTCATACTAACAAACACATTAAACATACCAGAGAATATTTAAATGCAATTCATAAGAGGCTTTAACTATTTCTCCCCCTATTTTGATTATAATAAAAAATAACTCTGCAATAACAGTCATAAGAGTTCCCCCTCAAAATATGCATAAGTTGGAGATAACTCCCCCTCAATCAAAGCATTAAAGAAACATCATATTTTATTGCAGAAACAATCATTCATTACAATAACAAGAGAGAATAACAAAAAAGAAAATAATCAACAAAATTTAAAATTCTTCACTATCATCATCATTAAAGTGTGCATGAAATCTATTTTCTAAACGGCACACTTTATCATCTACATCAGATATACGGCGAATTATTTCCTCATGCCGTACTCCAGAAAGGGTGAAGAATGATTGCATCCTCTGATTCATGTCAGATAACATGTCTTTCATGGATTGTCGGATTTCATGATGAGTAGAGGAAGTTCCAACACTATGGATTTGGTCATCGGGAAACTCAGCAGCTGGAGGCATATCTTCATCAGAATCTTCATTAGCATCACCTTGATTAGGAACATCATCTTTGTGAACATAAATATCATTGACTCACACCATTTAGAGTTGAATCAATGTGCTGTCCAGCATGCGGTTCAGGTTATTTGTTCTAACTGTTTGTTCACCTTCAACATTCACTCCTTTATATTCAAGAATACGAGAGACAAGGCATATGAAATTTTGAATGTGGGATGACGTTTTACTTTTAACATGGTCATTGTGACAAAAACGCCCCAATCTAACGGCTCATTATTCATTATGGCATGAATAATGCGAAGATCAATGGAAGAACATTGGGCATGATTTGTGGCTCAAGGACATAGAATCCAGACAATTAGATGTAGAATCATGCGTTTTTCCTTTTTTAAAGGTCCAGCATGAAGGAGACGCTCAATCTCCATGGAGGGATTTCGCAGAAAAGAACGGTAAGCTAAGAACCTGTCAAAATCATCTAGCTCACCATAAATGTTAATAGCATCTTCTCTAATTGGAAAGTGAGCGACGTTTTCCCAAATATGATCGTCAAGAATAATTGTGACGCCTTTTACTCTAGAAGTAGCAATTTGATCTCTAAATTTAAACCTAGAGTAGAATACCCTAACAAGGTCAGGATAATACGTACCTTGCATTTGAATGAAGGGAAGAACTCCTTGAATTTCAAGAAGATTGGGAAAATTGAATCCCCTATTGATGAATTGCTCACCAATAAGAAACTTGGGAGAAATAATAGCCCGTTCCTTCCAGTAGGTCAGAAATTCTTGTTGGTCATCTGTATCAGAAATCCATCCTTCTATGGAATTAGGACGGGGTCGAGATGAGGGTGCAGATCTTCTTCTAGTAGGGATCATAGCACGAGAAGATGAGGCCATTGAAAGATTAGAGGAATAACAAGAAGATTTAGAAAGCTAAGTGTAGTGAGAAGAGAGCAAGATAGCTAGAATAAGGCAAGATAGCTTGATTTCAAGAAATAGAAGTGAGTAGAAGTGAAATGAAGGTCCCTATTTATAACCAAGCATCTCCAACGTTCATATGGAAGGAAATAATGGTCAAAATATCCGTTGGCAACGGCTAGGAAGCAAACTTGGTCGGATTTAATCGATTAAAATTCAAATTAATCGATTAAATCACTTGCAGACCTGTTTAATCGATTATTTTAGGCTGTTAATCGATTATTACTGGTTTTAATCGATTAATAGACGAATTAATCGATTATTCCAAAGAGGAATACCCTATTTTAAGTGTTTTGGATGCAAATAATCGATTATTACTCCAATTAATCGATTATTCCAAAGAGGAATATCATGTTTTAAGTGTTTTAAAACATGATAACCTATGAACATCCTACAAAATTTTAACATTACAACCATCCTAAAATAGTCAAATTAAACAGAATTTAAACTATTTCTAATATCCCTAAGTCTCTTCTAAGATCATAAAATCTATCCTTGGATAGAGGCTTAGTAAAAATATCTGCTAATTGATGTTTGGTATCTACATACTCTATTTTACAGTTTTCTTTGCTAATATGATCTCTTAAAAAGTGATGTCTTATTTCTATATATTTAATCCTAGAGTGCATTACTGGATTCTTAGTAAGATTTATTGCACTCGTATTATCACACATGAACGAAATGTCATTTAAAAAGATACTGTAGACTGTTGTTTCATCCACAAAATTTAAGCACAACAACTACCATGTCTAGTCCCCTATGATAATCACATGCCGTCACCTTCGCCGATCCCTGCATAAACCCATCCTTCCTCAATAACTCCCACTTTCCTCTACTCAGATAACCCTCATCACCATCCTCAACATCAATTTTCTTCCTCTTCTTCACACCATCATTCTTAATAACCTCCAAATTCCCCTCCACGTCCCTGTCCGGCGTCCCTGGCGAGGGCGGCTCCGAACCTTCACCCTCACCACTATTATCAGATGTAAAACCCCAGCTAAACAAATAACAATCCCTAGTAACCGTATAAGCCTTACAAACCCTGTTAGTTTTCGAATTCACACCAAAGAACGAACCTACAACCGAATCCCTATGCCCTAGGAGCAAAAAAGGTTTTTTCTTAACACTGCTATTCAATTTCTTCAAGCACAAGATTCTCGCGGTTAAGTCCTTGGACCCGACGATCAGGTACTTCGAGTCGGGGCTCCAATCGAGGGTAGTTATTTTCCCGTCGAAGTCAGCGAAGGTGCGCACGAGCTCGAAGGGGAAGTACTAGCGGTGGAAGGATGGGGAGCGCCAGATCTGGACTAGCTTGCCGGCGCCGACAGCGATGAGGGAGCCATCGGGGCTGAATTCGACGGCGGCGACGCGGTGCTTGAAGGAGATGTGGTGGAGGACGGCGCGGCGGCGGAGGTTGATGAAGAGGCAGCGGTTGCGGTCGTCAATAGCGAGGAGGAAAGTGGCGTTGGGAGAAACGGCAATGCGGGAGACGTTGGAGGAAGACTGGATGGGGAGGGTGGAACTTTCAGATTTGAGGAGGTCGGTGACGGCGACACGGTTACCGACGGCAGAGAGTAGCAGGGTGTTGCTTGAAATGACAGCGTTGCCCCCTCGGTAGGGGGCTCCCAAGAGGTTCTGGAACCTGAAGTTCATCGCTTTGTTTTGGTGGTGGTGGTGGTGATGATGGGAGAGTAGAACGGGTGCGCTGCATTAGGTCACCGTGGCGTCTGCGCGGGAATGATGTTGATGAGTTTAACGTGAAACAGTAGCATTTAACAGGTTAACTCTTTTTTCCAAGAAAAAAATGTAATATAAACGGATGTGTAAATTAAATTTTGCAATATTATTTAATTCATTTTTTTTATAATTTTTTGCCCTTCTTTATCTATTTTTATTATGTTATAATATTATTTAATTCAAATTTTTATATATATTTTTTAAGTCATTCTTTTATCTATTTTATCTTATGAGTATTATCAATATAACATTCTTGATATCAAAAAATTATTAAAAGAAAAAACTCCTATATTAAGATGAATATATGATATAATAAGTATTTAAATGTTAATAGTAAAAAATTATTTTTAAATGTACATGATAAAAGTATTTTAAAATTATGCATATTTTTATTATAAAAATATTTTGTTTTGTTTAATAATATTAACTATAATATAATTATAATAAATAATTTTTTATAATAATATCATTTTTTTCTCATGTAATTATAATCATATTAAAATAATATTTAATCAAATTTTAAAGTTATTAGAATAAAACTTAAAATAAATCCTAAAGATTTATAAATAAAGATTCTCTTTGATTTTTATAAATGAAGATTCTCTTTAACTAACCTCAATTCTCAATTTCGTCTAAATAATTAAAATAATAATAATTAACAAAATAATTTTAAGCTTTAAATCAAATTTTATTAATAAATAAATAAATAATAAGTAATAAATATCTTTTCCAACTTCTCACTCTTCTCTTCAACCGTCATACACTCATTATTTTTTTCAAATATTTTCCTTTCTCCCGAATTTCTCCATGCCCACTATCCACTTCCCCTTTTCCAGATATTCTCCATTTTTTTTTCATTCTCCCTTGACTACAAGACAATGGACAGAACACGAATAAAAAGAGAAAAACAAATAGATATAGATATGATAAAACTAAATTTATTGATTATTATATACAATTCAATTAAGATAATACATCGAAACATGATTTTTTTTAATTTTTCTTTTTAATGATTCGGTAAGTTTTTTTTTTACTTCGATTCATAATTTTACATTTTTCTCATAAATATTTATTTTCATTTTTATTGTATTATGCATATAATGTGATAAAAAAAATTATAATTGAAAAAAAAATTAATATTTTAAAAAGAAAATTGGTCTGTATTTATATTCAGTTTATCATTTATTTAAGTAATTTCTTTTAGAAATTATCCGCATTTTTTTCTTTTATGCTAGTAATACCATATCTTTTTTCATTTAATTTTTATTTGATTAAAAAAATCAGAATTTATTAGAAAACTAAATTCAAATATTTTTTAATAAATATACAATAAATCTTAAAATGTGAACTATTGATTATTGATTCCAAAAGTAAAAGAGCATTAGTAAGATATGGTTTATTTTTTTCTTTTTAAATTTTTTATTTTATTTCCTCTTTTTTATTTTATCAGATCTATTTTTTAAGTCTTTGGATTACAATTAAAACAATAATAATTGAGGTTGAGATTCAAAGAAAAATATAAACATGGATATATCAAATTTTTATTAACTTCAATATATTCAAAGAAGTTATCGAAAAAAGTAATTTTATCTAAAATAACTTAATCCAATATATGTATAGATCAACTTACATCAAAATAATAATTAGATTCATTTGTTCAATTCCCCAAGTGCATTTCTTCCAATGTGGTACACATTATTAATAGACCTTTCAAGTGTTTTTACTATTACAACATACAACAGAAAATACAAAAAAGAAATCTTATAACTCAAACTTGCAAATGATCCAAGTTCTAATGGTCAAGCTCAATAATCTTCACAACTGAGGAATCACCAACTTTCTGGCAAACAACAACTCGATCATGTGGCTTTATGATACCAAAAGCCTTGCCATGGTCTAAAGCAACCTTCAAAATTGATTCATTTGTTCCACTTTTAGACTCGGCCTGTTCCCAAAAGACATGCTTTCATGTTAACAAGTGAATGACCACAAATATACCTTAGCAATACCATATATAAACTTCACTTTTACAGTTTTGTAATGGCTAAACCCAAAATACATGGAATAAGGAATATCCAAATCCAGACTAGAATGTCACCCTATCAGAATAGTCCTACAGTGGTGAAGGAAACCAAAACACAGACGTTGGCATTATACTAAGTTTCATTCCGGAAATAACAATAATTGAGATTTAGGGTGTAAAAGGTAGTAATTTGTAAATCAGTGATTAGATGTTGAGAACTTGGAATACTTGCAGTTGGACTAGTATTTTACTTGCTGTTCTGAGTTAGGATTAAGTTAGTTTTGATAATAGAATTTCTTTTAATTGATTTGCATAATATAAGGCACATTCTGTTTTAATATTTTGACTATTAGACATTATAGATATAGAATAAGAATTTCTGAGGGCTTTCCCATTCCCCATTTTTCATCACTAAATCAATTGACGTTCAAAAAATTCTTACTGGATGTCGTGGATCTGCCAGCATAGGGAAAAGACCTCTCACAAGAAGTGATTGCCTTGCCTGCCATAGAATCAAAAAGGGAAACAGCAAAAACACATTAGTTTCAAAACAGAATGTCATAATAAAAAAATTACTAAGCAAAATTTTCTTTAAGCAAGTGAGTAGTATTAATAAATAAACCGAAACATGTAGTGCATCTAATGCTAGTGTCTACATAATCCACAAATACATCAAAATGGATAGAAGAAAACATTCATGATAGAACAGTGAAATAGAAGGAGCGCAATCAATGCTAGAGTCTGTATAATGCTATAAGAAAAGACTGATAGCAAACACATGCTGAAAAAAAGACCAAACAAGCAGAAAAGTATCATAAACATTTGATTCTTCGCCCCAGAATTAAAAGCTAACCTTCTCAGGTGGAAGATCTATCCCCAAATTTCCACGTGAGAGGATGATACCATCCGCTTCTCGCAATATCTCATCAAAATGTGTCAATCCCTATTAGAATTTATAGACCAAAGATGCACTTCAAAATCAAGATAAAGTACACACACCAACAATCTAGAACTACAGCTTTTATCTGTGTCTGTTTGAGGTCACCTAATTTAGAGAGAAAGGCACAGGCCTGCCAAAAAACAAATAGTGAATTTTAGTTAACAACATTGCACAAGTACAACAAAAGAAATTTAGAAGTTAAAAGAAGTCAATTACATCAGATAAATAAGTAAATGACTCTCCCTTCATCTGTACTTTGAATTTACCTTACAGGCCCCTATTCTTTTGAAAACATAGCCAAAACAGCGTAGTATTTAACAAATAAAGGGATAAGTGCATAACTAAAATCTACATTGTTGTTATGCCAACAAATTTGTTAAAAAAATGGTTGATCATATATAAGATTGAATGGTCTTCCTAGTCCTTTAAAGTATATTTTTTTTAGTTAGTCCATCAATGATAATAAATAAATATATATCCTAAAAGTAACCTTCATCTTTCAAATTTACCTTTTCTTTCAAATAAGTCTCTATATGTTATCATTAAAATACAATTTAATCCTTACACATATGAACTCATAACATATATGGAATAAATTGCATTTTAACGATAATATGTAGGGACTTGAATGGAAAATGTTCGAGAAATTGAAGCTAGTTTCAAGAACTTTATATTAATTTATTTAAATTTTAGGATAAATTGAAATTTCTACCTATATATAATTTTCATCAATCAAGTGTCATTCGGACCATTTACTTTTAGCTTACATATGTTGGGTTTTGTGTAGTTGAATCTTCAATTCAAATGTTTGGAAATTAAAATGAACATTCCATTCAGCTTCCTGAGTCTAGAGAAGGCTAGGATTTGTTAGATGCCAAACAGAATTTTGGAGTGACCGATTTAGTTGCAACATTTTCCATTTTATAAGCTTTGCACATGCTTTCTGTCAAAAAGTTCACTTGGTTTAACTCAATCTTATAAAATCGACTTGTAAATTCAACTTATATATTATAATTTGATATATTATAACCATTATGTGATCGCTAACACACTCTCACACCGAGGATTCGACATCTCGAGAGTTTAAGACTCAATATTTATGAGTGGAATGATAACAACTAGATGGCAGGTGGCACAATAGTCCAAAAGTCTTGCTATGATAGGCTTTAATATCATATTAAAAAGTGGATTTGGCCTAATTCAACCCTATAAAACAAGCTTATAAGTTGAGGTTTGCACTCCATTTATATATTTAATTTAGCTATATATCTTAGTCGATGTTGATCCATCAAAACTTTCATACTAGAGAAGTGTTTGTAGTAAACAATTTACGTGGGAAAACTCAAAAATACATTAGCAATTAGATAACACGTATTATCAATAACCCTTACATGGCGAACATCTTCGGCGTGCCTGGTGTATGATAATGAGAGGAAATCTATATTGTTTTGAACACCCCACGTGCTTATTACCTGTTAGTGAGTGAAATGACAAGATTAGCATAACTATAAGAAACTAACAAATTAACGATAATGTGTTTCTACATTCCAAAATGTAGTAACTTTTATCATGATAGTCTCACTTTTCAAATATCATTCCCAAACACACAACTTTGTGCGAACTTCACAAACTAATTCTTTCAGAAGTGATTCTATCAAAGCCTGAACAAAACCAACCCTGATTATTTTGGATTGTTTAATAAGTAAAACTTTCCATATTCACAAATTAACATAAGTAAGTCTTTTTTTGAAAAGAAAAATGAGTATAAAGCACAGCTAAAATCAAGCTATAATTTCAACAAAAGTAATTCCAATTTCATCCCTAAATATTCTCATGAATAAAGATAAAAAACTGCAAACTACATTCTCAAGCACAAAAATAGAACAGATACTTGACCATACAGTGTGCATCTCATTACATTATGCACACAAAATTCTTATAGTTACCTCCTTATCCTTATTGGCTAGAGTGGGAAGAACAATACGAATTTGAGAGACATGTAAAGTATACAGTGACCCAGCAAGAGTAGCAGAATTTCTTATGACACAAGTGACATCATCACCATTCACTTCACTGACCTGCATTATGAGATAAAACTAATTCAGTGATGATGATGAGTTAAAAATGGCTTTGAGTATAAGCGGTATTTTAATTTCAGCAGAATCTGCATTCCATATCTTAAAATGCTTCCTTGGAAAAGCTAATTGCAAATAAGAAGCAAGAATGTGGCTCTACTATTATCCAAGGCAAAACAGACCTTTTTTCCCATTTTTAGAGTCCTCAGATATCCAGTTGAGATGTCAGGGTTGGGCCTGTAGCTCAGAAGATTATATATAGCATATGGCTAAAACCAGAGTCAAAGCACTCCTCACCCACAACCAGCCAAAAGCCAAAAAAGGAAGAACTTTCCCCTAATCATGATTGGGCTAGCAGACCCGATGCTATGGAAGTTGTGGGTATTTTGTTGAAATGGTATAGCTTTACCTTACTCTTTTCTGTTTATTACAGTCATTAATATGGATTAAGAGATCCAGAAAAAAGAAAAATGATAACAGATATTAAGAGGGAGAAAAGTGTCAAGAAATTTTGTTTCATACCTTGTTTGATTTTATCATCCCCATAATAGGACAAACCCATTTATAAGTATTAATGATAATTGATTCTCATTTACAATATTAATCATAGATTAATACTAACTTCTAATCTGTACAGCCTGATCTAGGGATTCTAAATATATACAACTGATAAATTGATTCTTAAAATATATTAGGAAACAAACAAAAGCAGGTTTCTTTGTTAACAAAAAAAGGGAATTGGAATTAAATATGGCATTGCCTGTTAGAATCCAAACTGTCAATAGGTACATTAAACAAGAATGAGAAAGCATGATAATAATTACCCAGTAGTCCTCACCCTTTTCAAAAAATAAAATTTTAAATATGAAATACTTACAATATTATAATAACTTTCCCTTGATATTTGTTAGATACAAAACCAATCAAGGCCCTCGTCTACAAAAGCAATCAAAGTTGATCCTCGTCATATTATTAGTCTTATTATTATCCTAATGGGTTTGTACTGGTTGAACTATTACATGACCTGATTAATAGTATAGTCAAAGATAGGAGTATTAGTATAGTAATACATCACATCTGGAAACAGATTTTATTATTATAATAATAAAAACATACCAACCTATTATCATGTGAAAACTTTGGAGAACTTTTTCACTCTGAAAATGAGAGGTTAATGATGAATTAATTGATTCCATTGCATTAACTAGGACAATTTGTACAACATATATAAAAGAAAGCATATTTTTTATAATTCAGAAGAGAGAATTGTAATAACCTAACCTAACTTATAAAGTCTCAGACATTGTTTTATCACACTAAATTACCAGGATTTGAACCGTATTATGGTGATCTGAACTTGCTTTTACTCATAAAAAAAACTTAATCGAAAAAAGTTTAACTATTCAGAGCCTTGCAGAGATGTTTAGTCACAATATCTTAGTAAATTGGTCATATGCAGGTACATGAATGAACACTGAGAACCTTTTCTCCAACAAAAATTATATTCAACCCCGTGTGTTTTGTCTTAGGTGTAAAACTGGATTATCTACTTCTTCTCTGTCCCTTCTTTCTCATGTTGTCCTTCACCTCCTAGGTCTACTTATCTTAAGCACATATGTTCTAAAATTCAATATTGTCCAGTCTTGTCTTAAGAACCACCTTAGTCCTTGTTGTTGCAGAACCATCTACGATAAAGTCAGGTTTATCCTCTCCACTTTTTTGGAGGCAAGCTATGAATGCTGAGTATGATGCTCTATTGGCTAATAAAACATGGTATCTCACCTCTCTTCCACCAGGCCAAACTGCTACTGGATGTATATGGGTGTTTTGAATTAAAAGAAAATCTGCATGGTACTATTAACAGATACATGGCTCATCTATTGGCTAAGGGTCTCAATCAGAATTTTGGTGGTGACTTTTCACATACTTTCTCTCCAGCAGTAAAGATTATTACTATTAAGCTTGTTCTAATCTTAGCTCTTACAAATAAATGATCTATTCAACAGGTTTATGTCAACAATACACTTTTAAATCAATTAGTACATGTTTACATGACCCAACCACCGGACTTTGAGTCAGAAGACTCTGATACAATATTACAATATAATTTTTGGAGAGAAGATAGATCTTATTATTACTATAATATTCAGTTGAATACACATTTATCATAGACACTCAATGAAGATTACATGGCAAGAGTACTGTGTTGACTTATCACTTATGCGATAGCCAACAAAATTGTTATAACAAACTAAAAAGATGTTGTAACTAACTGAAAACAGTTACAGAGATAATATCACCTATGACAAAGATTATCTACTAGTAAATCAATTAATTATTAAGTTTCCAGCCAATATACTTTTCAAAATATTTCTGATGTCAATATACTTCTTTATTGTAGCATTTCATCAAATACTTATTGGACATTGTTGAATATAGAAGAAATAGAGTTTGAGATTAATCTCCCTTGTATATAAATCACACATAGGGTAGTCTATTTATAGTAGAGAGATACAACTAAAAGAGTAACTGAAAGTAACAGAATAAACAGAAGATATTGTTTGATATTATGGTTAATATCTAACAATTTCTTAACAATATTAAATAATATCTAAACAATATCCAACACTCCCCCTCAAGCTGGAGCATACAAATCGTATGTGCCAAGCTTGTTACAAATATAATCAATTCTAGGACCCCGTAAAGATTTAGTAAAAATATCTGCTAACTAATCACTTGAGTTAACAAACTCAGTCTTCATGTCTCTAGACATAATCTTTTCTCGAATGAAATGACAGTCAATCTCAATGTGTTTGGTCCTCTCATGAAAGACAGGATTAGAACTAATATGAAGAGCAGCCTCGATTGTCACACACAAGTGACATTTGAGTGACATCTCCAAATTGTAACTCTCTAAGCAATTGCTTGAGCCAAACAAGTTCACAAGCAGCTGAGGCCATAACTCTATATTCTGCTTCTGCACTAGATCTTGCCACAACACTTTGTTTCTTACTTTTCCATGAGACCAAGTTACCACCAATGGAGACACAATATCCAGATGTAGATCTTCTATCCGAAGGAGATCCTGCCCAATCAGCATTTGAGTAGCAAACAACTCTTGTATGGTTATTAGAATCATATAACAATCCTTTTCCAGGAGATCCTTTAATATACTTTAAGATACGAATGACTGCATTCCAATGATCTTCACATGGGGAATTAAGAAATTGGCTTACCACACTGACTGCAAAGGAAATGTCAGGACGAGTAACCGTAAGATAATTCAATTTTCCAACCAATCTTCTATATCGCTTCAGAATCAGTATAAGCTCCCCCGATTTGGTAAAAGTTTAGTATTGGGATCCATGGGCGTATCAACAGTACTTTGAATTCATCAACCCAGTTTCCTCTAAAATATCCATGGCATACTTCCTCTGAGATATAACAATACCATCATTGGACTGTGCCACCTCAATACCCAAGAAATATCTAAGTTTGTCAAGATCTTTGGTCTGGAAATGGTGACAGAGATGTTGTTTCAACTGAGAGATGACATGGTTGTCACTACCTGTAAGAACGATGTCATCAACATATACTATCAAGTAAACACATCCAGCACTTGAGTGTCGATAAAAGACAGAGTGATCTGCTTCACACCGAGTCATACCAAATTGTTGAACAACCTTGCTAAACTTTCCAAACCAGGCCCTAGGAGACTGTTTTAGGCCATATAAGGATTTGCGAAGACGACATACCATCCTAGAAGACTCCCCCTGAGCAACAAACCTAGGAGGTTGCTCCATATAGATTTCTTCTTGCAAATCACCATTGAGGAAAGCATTTTTAACATCTAGTTGATAAAGAGGTCATTGTTGAAGAGCGGCCATGACGATAAATAAACGAACAGAAGTCATCTTTGCCACAGGGGAAAAGGTATCTCCATAATCCAACCCAAAAATTTGAGTATAACCTTTGGCCACAAAACGAGCTTTGAGGCGATCAATAGTACCATCAGGTCCAACTTTGATAGCAAACACCCACCTGCAACCAACAACAGATTTCCCAGACGGTAACGAGACCAATTCCCAAGTTCCACTATTATGAAGAGCACTTAGTTCATCTAACATGGCCTAACGCCAACCAGGATGAGCTAAAGCTTCACGGACATTTTTTGGAATGGTCACAGAAGAAAGAGAGGAAAGACATGTATAAAAAGGTAATGACAGTCGATGATAACTCAAATCAATATAATGAGGAGAGGGATTACGTGTAGAACGGATACCTTTTCGGAGGGCAATAGGAAGGTCAGACTCAGGTGTCACATCCGGGAGACAGAGTAGTTGGCACTTGAGTAGAGTCACATGGTGGTGGTTGTGATTGGTTTCGGCAACTATAAACCTGGAGAGGCAGCGAAGAAGAAGCTGACTGCGGAGTAGAATCTAATGGTGAAGAAGACACAGTTAGAGGGTCACAAACAACAGGAACATTAAATGTACTAGGAGTGTTGACAAGATTGGATGGAGACAGAGGTGAAGATTGACTTTTAAAATAAAAAGAGAACTCATCAAAGGTGACATCTGCAAACACAAAATAACAGTTAAGAGAAGGAGAAAAACATTTGTATCCTTTTTGTGATCTTGTAAACCCTAAGAAAACACATTTATATGATCTAGGAGAAAGCTTGTCAAGACTATAACTAAAATTATGAACAAAACATGTAGACCCAAAAACTTTTAGAGGTAAGGGATGAAGTGGTTCATGAGGGAATAAAATGGAATAAGGTATTTTATTATCTAGAACCGAAGATGGCATGCGATTAACAAGATAACATGCAGTAAGAAGAGCATCACCCCAAAAATTCTGAGGAACCTCTCCATGAATTAAAAGAGTGCGAGTTGTTTTAATAAGATGTCTATTTTTACGTTCAGCTACACCATTTTGTTGAGGTATATAAGCACAAGAAGTTTGATGCAAAATACCATGAGAAGTCATGAATTGTTTAAAAGAATGAGAAAGATATTCACGACCATTATCACTGCGCAAAACTCTAATAGAAACACCGAACTGAGTTTGAATTTCATTGAAAAAAGTTTGAAAGATATGAAATAATTCAGAACGATTTTTCATAAAAAATAACCAAGTGCATCTGGAATAATCATCAATGAAAGTAACAAAGTATTGAAAACCTAAAGTAGACTTAACGCGGCTAGGTCCCCAAATGTCAGAGTGAACCACGGCAAAAGGGGACGAAGCACCACGTGTGACACTACGAGGAAAGGAAGTACGACTATGCTTGCCTAATTGACACGACTCACATGCCAAACTAGACAATTTAGATAAGACAGGGACAAGTTGTTGTAACTTGGCAAGACTTGGATGACCTAACTGAGCATGGAGAAGAGAGGGAGACTCTATAACTGCACCAACATGTGTAAAAGGACGAAGATGATAAAGACCATGAGACTCACATCCTGTGCCAATCACCTGTTTCGAACTCCGGTCCTGTAAACACACAGAATTGTTGGTAAAAGAAACAACACAATCAAAAGAACGAGTTAAACGACTGATGATGGATAACAGGTTAAAAGGAGACCCAGGGACAAAAAAAACATTATCAATGGTTAAAGAAGGGAAAAGTTTAACAGTTCCAACACCATGAGATGATACTCTAGAGCCATCAGCTAGTGTAACAAAAGGTAAAGGATCAGGAGAGGATAAAGAGGAGAACAAAGATTTGTTACCAGTAATATGATCAGTGGCTCCTGAATCAAAAACCTAAGGATCAGAAGAAGATTGGGTCAGACTAACAAAAGATGTACCTGTGTGTGCGACAGACACAGTGGAACTAGAAGACTGTTGATCCTTATATCATTTGAGAAATTTGTTGAACATATCAGGTGTGTCTGATGAAATAGAAGAAGGAGGATCCTTAGCAGATAAAGGTGGGGAAAGATCAGTCTGAGCAACTGCAGTAGATCGAGTAGGACGACCATGTAATGCATAACACTTGTCAATCTTGTGACCTAGTTTGCCACAATGTTCACACTCATGTAATGCATAACACTGGTCAATCTTGTGACCTAGCTTGCCACAATGTTCACACTTAGGACGCCCTTTTCCCTGTTTGCGAGGGCGAATTCGATCATCACGGTGAGATACCAATGCAGAAGAATCATTAACAGAAGCAGGTGTGTCAGAGTTGGGTTTTGCTGGTATACGCAATAGAGTGGAGCAGGTCGATGTCAAGGTGGGGACAACCGGAGAACCCAAAATCTGATCACGAATATGTGAATATTGATCAGCAAGTCCGTGTAATGCCCCTAGCATGAAGAACTTTGATCGTTGTCCTATCTCGGTGGCAGGGTCGGGGGAAGGAGGCAATAACTCATTGAACTCATGAAAAAGAGCATAAATTTTGCCCATAGAATCTTGATGTTTAGAGACAATAACATATACAAATTTAGAACAGACATCATAGAGACGTTGAGTATCATTGGTGTATAATTACTTGGCATGTTCCCAGATTTTGGCACATGTTTCGTAGGAACGAAAAATTTGTTTTAATGAAGGATCAAGAGTACCCTTGAGAACCACGTATAATTGAGCATCAATGGTGCCCCAACGGTATTCCTCACTAGGAGTGAGAGTAGGTGTTTTCGGGGCAAGATGATCAAGATACTTCTGACTCTTAAGCCATAATCTGACGTCTAATGACCATGTGGCATAATTAAGGTCAGTTAACTTGTCAGTGGATAAGTGCACATTAACATAGTTAGTGTAGATGGAAGGATCAGACGCAGTACTGACAGAATTGGAAGTACTAAAAGGAGCGCAAGAACTCATAAAGGGCGGAGGCGATAGTGACAGCGGCGTGAACCAGTACACCAGGTAAGTTCCCAGGAAAGAGAGGTGGGTCACTAATGGACACGCTTAAATACCAAGTCTTTCCTTGTCAGAACTTTCCTAGACATGCACTTTCACACTACCAAATAACCGACAGCGATAGCGGCGGTGGTGGCGGCTTCAATAGTGGTCAAAGGCGAAAAAAAAATCAAAATAACCTTAAGCTCTAGATACCATGTTGAATATAGAAGAAATAGAGTTTGAGATTAATCTCCCTTGTATATAAATCACACATAGGGTAATCTATTTATAGTAGAGAGATACAACTAAAAGAGTAACTCGAAAGTAACAGAATAAACGAAGATATTGTTTGATATTATGGTTAATATCTAACAATATCTTAACAATATTAAATAATATCTAAACAATATCTAACAGACATTAATATAGTATCACAACTCAAGTAACCCTAAATACTGAAGAACACTTTCATTGCAAACTCAATCAAAGATAAACACAAAAGAAAACAACAATGGAAACTCAATCAAAGATAAATACAAAAGAAAGCAACAATGGAGTAGCACGAACACTACCACAAGAGTCGCTCGAGCGAGAGACAGTGATGTTCAACGAGACAGAGGTCGATCGAGTCGGAGGTCTAGAGAGGAAGACAAGCGAGAGAAAGGAACGAGGTCGAGCGAGAGGAAGCGACTCTGAACATATATCTTACTTCTTACAAATTCATCCCTCCATTTTGATAATATTGCATCTCTAACTCTTATAATTTACTAATGAAACCCTAATTTTCAATCAATTTACGTTTTTCTCCAGTTGTTAAACGGACATTTTTTTCCCTGGTTGTCAAAGTGTCGTTTTCGACTACGAATTGTCCTGTGTATTTCATTACAATTCTTTGTCCTCAAACGAACCACCATGACTACATCTACAATTTCAGTTCTGATCATTCTAATTTATGTAAAATAGATGCCTATTGTAATTCGTTACAACTATAAAATCATTTGTATTAATTATAGACTAAATATGATTTTAATAAGATTTTTTATACTAGAATTATATTTAATAATATTTATTTATTTTAAAATTAATTAAAAGACTAATTTTTTAAAAATATTTAAATACTACTTTATTGATTTTTTTAATATAAAGGCTAAAATTCATTTTCACAAAAAGGCTCTTGTGTCTTGCATTCCCATAATTTTTCTTGCACCCATAATTAAATTAAATTTCATTTTATTCTTAAGAAAACTTGATTATTTTTTTTGAAAAACATGTTCAGGGAAATATTTTCTGAAATACATTTCTATAATTGATTTTTTGGAAATGCATTCAAGACTCATTAATCTAAAATACATTTCCAGAAAATTAATTTTAAAAATATATTTTAAAGACTTTTTTACTAAAATAATATTATTATATTATATATATACATAACAGAACCTCTGATGAAATTATTTACTTAATCTGAACCTCTCATAAAATTATTTACTTAATTGAACATCTTTTACTCGTTGTACTTGGAATTAGGTTTCTCGTAAACCGATTTCCAACTTTAAACTTACCACTTTTTTTAAATAAAAAAATTAAGTAAAATATATAATTAAAAATAATATTACAAATAAAATTTTAATTTTAAAATTTAAATAATATTTATATAAAAATAATAAAAATAATATATTATTTAAATATATATTAAATTATTTTTAAATAATTATTAAAAATATTAAATAATAAATTTTTATTATATTTTTTTATATATTTTTTTTATTTTTGAATAGGAAATTTAAAATTTATATATTTTTTATTATATGAATTATTTAAGTTATAATTTTAGAAAAATATAGAATAAATAAAAATTTAATTTAGGTAATAGATTAAAAAATTAAATATTATATTATAAAAATTTATGTAATAGTTTTTATTTGATAAATTATAAATATTATATTAAAAAATTCATGCTAAAATTAATTTTTTTAAGTAATAAAGTAAAAATATTATTTAATTAGTTAAAAATTATTATTATTAATATAAAATAAACTTAAAAATAAAAAATAATAAAAATTAACAGAATTTAATGTATAATATTAAAAATAACATAATCATTGATAATAAAAATTGAAAAATAAAATTATTGACAATAATGTTAAGAAAATTTTAATCTAAAAAATGGTGTCCAGTTCCACAACGAGGACGACGCCTATTACGTTTTGGATTTCGTCGGTGTGGTTGTTCTTGAATTTCAGGAGAAATTTGTGAATGGTTTTCTTCTTCATAAACCTCTATTATTTTCACTCTATAAAAATCTTTCTACCTTTATTATTTTTCTTTAATATCATGTTTTATTTATTTTACTACTAATAACTTATTTTTAATTTTACTTTTAATATTTTATATATTAAATTTATCAATTTTTTTCTAAAGTTATAACTTAAATAATTCATATAATAAAAAAATATATAAATTTTAAATTTCCTATTCAAACATAACAAAAATATATAAAAAATATAATAAAAAAATATTATTTAATATTTTTAATAATTATTTAAATAATTTAATATATATTTAAATAATATATTATTTTTTATATAAATATTATTTAAATTTTAAAATTAAAATTTTATTTTTAATATTATTTTTATTATTTTTAATTATATAGTTTATTTAATTTTTTATTTAAAAAAAAGTGGTAAGTTTAAAGTTTGAATTCGGTTTATGAGAAACCAAATTCTAAGTACAAGAGTAAAAGAGGTTCAGTTAAGTAAATAATTTCATGAGAGGTTCGATTAAGTAAATAATTTCATCGGAGGTTCTTTACATATATATATAATATAATAATATTATTTTAGTAAAAAAGTCGCACTTTCTAAAATATATTTTCAAAATTGATTTTTCAAAAATATATTTTGTTCCATAATACATTTTCACGATTGATTTTCCGAAAATGCATTCCAGGTTCATTAATTCTGAATGCATTTTTACAGAAAATTATTTTCGAAATATATTTCAGAATGCATTTTCCATAATGTATTTTGGGAATTAATTTTTCAAAAATTCATTCTGGATTCATCTTTTTGGAATTGATTTCTAGAAATGCATCTCACCCTCCATAACAAGTATTCTAAATTGGGTGTTCCACAATGCGTTTCGGAAAAGTCAATTCGAAAATACATTCCGGATTGAGTGTTCTGAAATTCAACTTCATTTTCGCGAAACAGTTTCAAAGACCAATTTGGATCTGTTTATGCAATTTGAGTGCTAGAACATGTAGTTCATATATAACATTAACAATTATTTGCCTTTAATTGTTAGAAAAGGTCTTTAATGGAGTTGATAGCAAAAAAAAAATCAAATAACTAAGGGACGAAGGTGTAAAAATTGTATACATAGAAGAAGAAATTAAGATAAAAACAAAATTATAAGAAGGATATTTTAGATATTTGAATTTGAAATATGGAGGTGTATGAAAAAATTATAGGGTGCATGAAACAATAGTCTCGCAAAAAATATAATGGTTAAAACTATTAGGAAAGTAGGCCCAAAATTGTTAAGGATAGTGAGGTAATTGCGAATGTTAGAGCGGAGTGGTGAAGTGTTTTCTGCTAGAAGGAGGTGTGATCTAAATTGTTAGACAGGCTGGAATTCATAATTGAATAGGGGAGTGAATAGAATTTCTGTTATTAAGCCTGGCTCTTGGTTTCTTTTCCTCTTCTTTAATAGCTTCTGTTATTATTTTCCTGGTTGCAGGTATCAAAACATATTTAACCTTGTTTAAAAAGTTATAACTTCTATGGTTCTGGACCAAAAGTGAAGAAAGGGAAACAGAATACCAATATCAAACTTCGAAATCTTTCTCTAACAAAACGTGAAAATTACAGTGAAGGTCTATTGAGCAATCTTGAATAATAATAAAGTCACGTTAGTCCCATCAATTAACGAACTTAGCTCAATGTTTGGATGATAAGTTTTGTCCTTCACTCAGACTACATCAAAAAATACATTTTTGAAACAAACACACGTAATAATGCAAAAATTTTCTGATGGGATTCTTCATGTCCAGCAAGATTTCCCAATTCCAAACGTAGGACACCTATCATCCCTTCCACTCAAAGCTCCCGGTCCAAATTTAAAACTCAAAGGAATGGATCTTCGATCTCATGAGCCGCTGAGAGGAATGAAGATAAGAAAATGATGCTTAAACACCTTTAATATTCAATCTTCAACCATGTTTGATGAATGATGCAGATCCTGCAGGGTCTGAGGCAATTCCTGACCACATTGTTCGAGAACTGTAATGAGGGGTGCAGCAAGTTCTGTATCTCTTTTAGTTAAGAAACTGTGCAATACACCATTGACACTTTGGCGAGCCATCTTTGTCAAAATATGCACATAAGTGTCAATGGAGGGTACAAAACTAGGTAGGACAACTACATCATATGTCCCTATATCTGTGGTAGGGATATGCTCCAGTTCAATCACAGAAACCACTGCTCTGCTGTCTGAATCCATACTGTATTAAAATAAATAAAAAAATAAAAAAACAGACCATAAGCTCCTATTGAAACTTAAATAAAAAGACTAATCAGCTTGTCCTGCCTCCGATCAATCCAAAACTCATTTTACCAAAAAAAAAAGGGCATCTTCTGATAGAAGGGACTGAAAATCACTTATAAAAGGGAGCTCAGTTTCGAACAACAGAGTGATATCCTCTGGAGAGCACGGTAATACTAACATTTTAGATGGGGGAAAAAGACAAAAAAAAAAATCATAGAGAATGCAATAAGTGGTAATGGCTACCCACTTTACACCAAAGCTCTCTTCCTCTCCCAAAACCTCGTATACCCTGCCTAAAAACATTCAGATCTCTTCTTGCCAGAATCCTCTCTATATTATTCACACACTGCCAGGTATCCTGTTTTGTAATGCTCAGGCTACACTGGTCACCTTGGGTGCACAAGTGAATTTCTTTTTTTCCCTCTCAATCCTAAACTAACCCTTGCTCACGAAGGGTACATTTTAGCTTCAGACTTTAGTGCTAAACAAAAGTCCCTCTATGTACATCCATGTATTCAATAAGAATCTAGTAAGAATCAAAGATACTTATTGAACACATGGACCATTGTTAACTATTAGAAGAAATATTTGTCTTTCTAGAAGTAGAAGCAGAAGCAATAATGGTGCCCAAAATACGTACAAAGAGCATTTGATGCTTTACCTATCATTCAAACTTGCTGCATCAGAATCAAGAGAAATGGAACAACCCTTGGATTTGAGAATCTTGAGCAATTTATGGCACTTTACATCTTTCCTTAAAATATATAGCATGTTAGAACTCTGAGTTCGGCTGCTCTGAAATCGATCCAGGACTTTGATGCTCTGCAAGAATTAGGAATACTCGTGTAATGAGTGCTTTTGAACATATTCATCTTAAAAATGCATGACTACATCCAAACATTTTTCAGGGCTGCATTGACTGAAAATTAAATAAAACCTAATTTAGGAATCTACACCAATAAAACTTATGTGTGGAAAATGGGAAGAGAATAATATGCAGTTATGAATGGAAGATCTGAAAAATAAATAAATAGATAATATATATATATATATATATATATATATATATATGGTGCTTTTAAACATATGCATCTTAAAAATGCATGACTACATCCAAACATTTTTCAGAGCTGCATTGACTGAAAATTAAATAAAACCTGATTTAGGAATCTACACCAATAAAACTTATGTGTGGAAAATGGAAAGAGAATAATATGCAGTTATGAATGGAAGATCTGAAAAAAATAAAAAAATAATATATATATATATATATATTATTTGACAATTTTGAACATAGAAGAACAATGATGAACACATACTAGTCGAAGTTGCTTAAAACAAACTAACCAAAAATATTTCTAATGGGGTTAAATCCATTTAAAAGTAATTGTTAGTTTCACTAGATCGATAATATTAAACTTACCAAGTACAACTAAAAGCTAGTAACAAAAAAATATAGCCTAACAATTTAACATATCATGAAATTTCTAGAAATTACAACAATTACCATCCACTAGGTGAGGTTATGTATATGAATAAAATACAATTAGGCTCTATTGAGCACCAAATTGGCTCTAAACCATTTGGAGCAAGGACATTTAATGGTTTCTCTAAAAGCCTTTCTGGTGTTCCACCTTTATCCATTGGACAATCATCCATTTAATCTACGTTTTCTCACTAGGACTCATGGTGGTCTTCTCACATGACCGAAACTACCTTATACAAGTTTATCAACTCCTAATAGGTGCTAATCAAAATTTCTCTCGTAAATTCGTAATCATATTTATCTTTGCAACTTTCTGTGTTAAAGATATGATTTGAACTATATTATGATGTGAGGGGACAAGATGTTCAATGAAGAACTCCGCAAGAGGTTGGAAAAGATTGAGATTGAGAAGACAAATACTTGAAGACAATATCACCACTTGGTTGAAACAACTTGTACCTTCTTGGTTTCTAGGGTGATAGATACACTCTTATAGCATGTTATTTAATCAATAGCATCCTCTGTATGTCTTTTTTTTTTTTTTGAAGATCATGCCCCTCACCCATCGTATACACGCAATTGATGTTTCTTTGGTTAGACATGTTTTCTCTATGATCTCACTCAAGGAAAAAACACTTTCTACCAAGTTTGTCAACTGTCCCTTACTGTATACTTTCATCTTTAGAAAGGATGTTGTTTCTTTTGTCCTCAATTGGAATAGTATCTTGTTTCCACTGATTTTACCTTCTCCAAGATCACCCTGTTTTTCTCCCGTTTCACTACTAACAATGGTTCTCTGGATGTTCCTGTCATTGTTCTAACACCAATCGTGACCTCCACCCCCACCCTTTCTACTTACCTACAAATATATTAAGATTTTTGATCTCATTATGAGGACATCATTTTCCCACAACAAAAATAACCTATGCTTGTCAGTTTCATGCCATGGTCATTATCAGCTATTGCTAGACATTAAATATACCGTCTTTCATGATGACATACAAAATGAAGTGTATATGAATTAGCCAAGAATAGTCTCCTTGTGCCTGATTAGAACGTTTTAGCTCTATCTTGTTAAAATTTGGCATGACTCATTATGAGGTTGATCACTTGGCGTTTTCCTCCACTCTCTGATCTTTACAATTACCTTTGTCTATGTTGATGAAAATAGCCATTATTGGCAACAACTCAAAAAGTATCTACTACCTTAAATCTCTCCGCTGATAGTTTTAGACAAAAGACTTGGGACTACTAATACGTCCTTGAGAACTAAAGTTGTCCAATCCTCATTTGACATTACCATTTCTCAAGAAGTATGCTTAGGATATTCGTATGCTTGATTGTCACCCTGATGATACTTCATGGAATCCCAACATGATGCTTTTTTAGGGCTAGGGGGAGCCACTAAAGGACTTGGGAATATATTATTGTTTGGTGGACAGACTTAATTTGTGGCTAATCAATTTCTGAAGACAAACACAAGATCACCATCATATAGGAGGTCCACTTCAGGATAGTGTTCTTATTGGAAAACCTAATCTCATGGAGGAGCAAGAAGCACGCAGTCTTTAGATCTAGTGTTGAAATTAAGTACTTTTTATGACCACAGATTTTGCAAGATTACATGGTTTAGGCAACTTCTTCAGCATCTAAAATTTGGAAACACTCAAGATATTAGATTGACTTATATACATATATGTGAACACCAATTCACAATCAGTTTGTACCTCTAGAAAGGAGAATATAATCATCCAGGCTTGTAGATGATTAAAACAGAGTAATAACTACATAACAAATAGTGTAATGGAGTCTATGACTTCAACCCCTGATGCATAGATCAACTAACATTTAATGCAAGTGTAGCCTCATAGAGAAAGATAAGTATATCCTGTTTTAAGTCAAATAATTTGATCCTGTATGGAAGAGTTGTAAAAATATGTAAGTTGATATATTATACATTATCATACTATTAAATCTGCATTGGTGATAAAAGTCCCCGGTACTAGGTACAATACATAAATTTATGAAATACAATTCATCAGCACATACCCATAAACTTACCTTACTGACTTTATCTTCTTCTGAGGCACACACTTTAACAGTCTGGATAATGCATGAACTTAGGCTGGTAATTGAATTATTGAGGGAGAGTCTACAGATTGATCCTGTCAGAATATACTGAACCAGTGGGACAGATACGTGGCTGAGGCAATCGTTGAAAACCACCATATGGGGAGTGCCAGAAATACTCCTCTTGATGGATTTTATTGTATCAGTGTGGCCAGCACTACATATTGCATTAAGCCCATCAATAACCTATTAATATCAAAACAGTAATCAACCAACCTGAGATAAATAGAATAAAATCTTAAGAAATGATAGGAACTAAGGTACCATAAGATTTGTTTGAATGTTTAAAAATCTTGACCGAATACTACAACTTTTTCATATATAAAAAAAGGTCTTCTAAAATCGTTTGAAATCCCAATTGAATACACCCCAAATTATTTATCTGCCATAGATTTTTAAAAACAATTAAGACATCAGATTTTTGTTTGAGACGACAGATCCAAGTAAAACAAGTACATGCATCTATTAAGTTATATGATATAGAAAACCAGAGTTGGATTTCACGGGGTTGGTCCCATAACACATGGATTTTATCCTATAGATGCCATGATCTTTTGCATCCCATAATGCAAGGTAGCATTTCTGGCAAGATAAACTATTAGAGCTAGGAAAGTAACAACTAATCCTGTTGCTCCCAAGCAAGAGACTCTTTGCAGGCACAATCTGCGTCATGATCTTCATCGATTTAAATCAGTGTCAGAATCACTGGATTTCACCAGAAAATTATGTTGTCTATGACCTTTAATAATCAGTTTGAAATGTGACATCATAACGATATTTTTGGTGTTAAGATTCTCAAAAATGGAGAAAGAGAAGGTAATTGGAGCATTGTATGAGCTCGCCACTGCAGAAGAGTCAAAGGAGGGAATAGATCAAAGCAGCAGCGCAAAAATAGGGTTGGGAGAATAATCAAATAACATTTAGGGTTCAAACCCTGCTTTGGATGCCATGGTAGAATTTACATAATTGAAATTTAATTGTATTATTGATTCCAGTAAAAGGTAATTACAATCAGTTAAAAGTCCCCCTATTTATAGGTGGCAGAGACTGATTATGGACCAGCTAATAAGCTGGAGCTGGTCCCAAACCACTTAAAAACATACAAACAGAGAAAAAGAAAATATAAAATGGAAGCATAAGAGATGCTATTCTATTACTGTTATCTAATAAAACCGACAATAGGATGACAGAAGAGAGGAATGAAAATGGAAATTAGAATGTGTACACCATCTGAAATGCATTTGCAAATGCAAATTCCGGTTTAATATACATGAAATTTCAACCTCACGGTTGCTTGCTGTCAAAATTGTTTAACAAATGTGGAAACACTTATAGAAATGGAACTTGGAAAGAAGAATTACCAGCATCGAAACACCAGAAATATCAATTGCCTTCACAGAAACAAGCTCCAAAAGCCTCTCAGGAGTAGAAACAAGAAACTCAGGCTCGCAAGTTTTCAGACTGTTTTAAACGATACAAATAACAATAAGATGGATATCATAAAAATTTAAGAAAACATTTAATAATTAAGTATGTACATGCACACGCCCATTGTATATGCAAACAATTATCTTTTCCTGTATCTCCTTCTAACTGCCTACTCATTCCATAAACAAAGACATGTTTCTCCTTGTAATGTCACTTGCAAATCAAAGGATCTTACACAAGTAAATTAATTAATTAATTTGAACTGCAGTAATTCAATGACTTCTCCTAAATCAGTTAAGTACCTAAAGTAATTGAGTCAATCCCATGCAACAGAGGTGGGTACTTAGACTTAAAATTACCCCAAAAACACTTTAGATATCTTACAAAACAAGGGACTATCAAATATGATTTACTTGCCAATAAACTTGAATAAATGAGAAGTAGCATGCCTTACCAAACAAAATTGATAAATACAAAAAGATTCCCTATTTTCGAAGTATAGCATGCCTTTTCATCACACCCACATCAATATTATGCTATGAAAACAATGAAGTTTCAACAATTACCCTTGAATTTGATGATCTATCGAAGCACCTGGATGAATACTCACTGTATGTATTCCAACAGATTTCAAAGGCTTGCAAACTGTTCGAACCTATGCATCAATTTTGAAATTTTAGAATCCAAGCTATAAAAAACAGGAGATGAAGAAAATGGCAACAATATGGACTTCTATTAAATAGAAAACAAAAGGTCATATTTAACTGTATGAACTGTCGTGGTGACGTTTAGACTAAATCACTAAATGACGAAGTGCATGGATCTTTTCCATTATTGAGAATTTAATTGTTTATAGAAAATGAAATCCAATATCACTCAATATATAATCTTAAATTTACAAGAATCAAAACCAAAATCTCTGAAAACAAGGTCAAGCTTCAAATTAAAACAACACTAAATATAACATCAAATTTAAAGACCAAATGACCTGTGGGGTCCCATGACTCAATTTCCTCGAGAGTTAACGGGGTGGAGGGGAGACAAGTTAAGTATACGAGTCAATATAGTGATTTTTATCAAAGAAGGAAAAATACACCAAAAAGATCAGCAAAGAAATTGTAAGCATGTGGAGGAAATTTAACTAACCTGGACAGCTTTCTTTTGGGAAGGAACAAGGAATAAAAGAAAAGGGCCAGAAAAGGACAAGCCTTCTTTCTCCTTTCTGACAAATGTATCAGCTGCACCAGAAACCGTCCATGCAATTTGCTCAGTGGTAGCAGAGGTTCCACTGGTCTCCATCAGATCTTTTCCAGTAGAATAACACTTTAAAAACTCTAATCCCCATGGATTCAGAAAGAAAGAATTTCCCTCTCCATCGGTGTAGGCATCACCATGTCGCAATGCATTTTCAATTGAACTTAGACACCAAAAGGCAAACTTAGAAGGGAACTCTGAAATGTCACAATCAGGCCTTTTGGCACTGGGATGATGAGTCATCTCAGTCACCTCAAATATTTTCCTTTCTGAGTTAATGATACATTTCTGACTCAGATTATTGTTGGCTTTGACAGGCTCATTTTCACTTTGTAAATCATTCAATTCCTGTGCAATATTCCTCCCACCATTTGCACCTTTCTTTCCATTTGCACTCTTCTCATTAACAGTAACCATCTCATCTATTGGCTTTGATTTTGAATGTGTTTTCTTTTTAGGAACTTTTGTCTTAGGTTCCTCTTTCCCGCCTCGATCGTTGAATGGATCATCAGGAGTAGGTAGACTAAAGCACATCCCCTTTAATATCAAGAAAAAATCACTTTCACAAATTCTTATTTTACTCAAGTCAAGAAGAAATCACGATAAATACAATTTTCTACAGTTCTAATCGCCTATATTACTTACCTACTCTAATAACCTAAGTTGTTCATTAGAATTAGGGAAAATTAGAAATTTTCATCCACTTAAACAACACTAACTAGCAAAATTGTACTTCTGCTCCCAAAAAATTATGGGTGTTGAGGGGCTATAAGGATACAATCCACATTAGATTATCATTATTTTCTTCTTCAAGTATTAGTTAATTTGTAGACGTTCTCTCATTGAACTTCTGCAAAGTCAAATTTTTAACTTATACATAAGTTGGTTTTTACACATGGACAAAATTATCATTTTATTATCTTCTTCTAGAAAAATTGAATGTCGTGTATTTCATGCATGTCAGATCTGATTTTGGTTGTTTCAAATAAAAATTGAATCCATCCACTTTTCAAACTTTTGAAACAATAACACACCAAATGTCACGTGTTCGAGCTAGCATAACTTACGTTAAATACAAACATGAGTTCTAAACAAAGACAGAAACAATAAAACCATCGTAAACCATAGTTGTCATTTTCCAGAAAACAAAGAATCACAGACTATGAATACATTGCAATCATGTAAAACCAGACAGTAAAAAAATAATAAGCGAAAATGAGGAAACTGAGAACACGGTTTAGGAAAATTAAGAGAGAAAAAATAAGACATTTTGCAATGAGAATGATAAAAACAAGAAAAGAAACTTAATCCCCAAAACCGAAAATTAAATAAACTAACATTTTACAAAAGAAAAGGAGTGAGGTTATATACCTGGCACATGCGGCGTTTGCCGGCCTTACGGCGCTTCTTGGCGGCGATAACGGCGGCTACCTTGGCGGAGACTGAGGAAGAGCTACTATTGTTCTTCTTTCGAAGTTTTTTGTTCTTCTTTCGAAGCAAAGCGTCATCACCCTTCGCCATTGCTACTGACAGTGGAGAAGGATGAAGGGTATGTGCGGTGCGGCTAGTTATATATATGCTTCTTCTATGGCGGCGTTTAACTTTCGATTCCTCGATTACTAGCGTTTCACAAGCGCATTTGACTCTGCGCCGTATTGAAATTGAACCAAACCTGTTTTTGTGAAATAAAAAGGTTAATTCAATACATGTTTTTACGACTTTATTGAATATTTTACAATTTATGTATTCAACCAAATATTTTACAATTTATGTATTCAACCAAATGTTTTTTTTTATGATTAGGTTTGTTTACTCTTAAACTAATTTCATCTTTTAATCTAATAACGACGGCTACTCGTTTCTACAATAAAATATTAATAGTATATTATTATATTTTCTTTAAAATAACACTAATAATATATTATCATTATAATAAATTGTTTTATTAGTTTTAAATTATTTCCAAAACCAAGTAAGAAGGATGTATGACTTAAATGAATTTTAAACAACAAAAATTAGAGTTATGAAATTCTAAAAAAAATATTTTCACATATTATTCTACTACAAATATCCTAAATAAATATAATGTAAACAATATTAAAGTAAAAGAGAAAGAATAAAAATAAAAACATGTTTATATTAATTTGCCTTTTGGGTTTACCTGATAAATGAAAGAATAAAAAATAAAAATAAAATAGAAGTTCACTTTAAATTTTCACAACAACTCTGTCTATTAATGAAAGAATAAAAAATAAAAATAAAATAGAAGTTCACTTTAAATTTTCACAACAACTCTGTCTATTCTCTTCTGTTTATATTGATTATTAATTAAGGAAGATAATTGTTATTAGAGTAAAGTTTTTAACAGTATGTTTGTATCCAGACGCGAGAAATGGAAGAAGAGTGATTTATAAGAAAAAAATTCGAGATAAAAAAATTAAAAGAATTTACTATTGAAGTTTCTTTTTTGCATACGAAAAAATGACGAGAGAGTTAATAATAACGAGGTATAATTGATTATTTTTCAATTTTGTAATAAAATATTATTTTTATATTTTAATTATTATATTAATAATAAATAATTTTATTTAAATAAATAAAATAATATTAAAATATATATATATATATATATATATATATATATATAAATTAAATATTATACTTGTTTACTTTTGATATTATATATGGAAAAAAAATAAAAAATAATTTATATATTAAAATTGATTATATATATATATATATATATATATATTAATTATGATACGATTTAATTATAATTTTATATATATTGAAATTAAAACACTTGTGAAAATATTTTTTTTATCTTTTTATTTTAAAATTTAATAAAAAAAAATTAGAACTACAAAAATTTTAATCATTTTATTGATTTTAATAAAAAATTATTAATATTACATTTAAATATAGAAAATATTAAAATTATATTTAACTGTTTTATGAATTTTATTAAAATAAAAATTTATAAATAAATATTAAATTTTTTAAGTATAAGAAAAAAATTTCTTTTTAAAATTATATTATGAATTTAAAATATCATATTTATCAAAATCGATAAATATAAAAAACAAAATAAAACTTTAAGATTAATATAATAATCACTCAAATTAAATTTGGTCATGTTTAATTTAAAAATAAATATAATTTTATTAATTAATTTTATCTCTAATTTATATTTAATTTATCTATTCCACCTCAAAAGTAATTTAGTTATTATTCTAAAAATATAATTATCTTATATTCAATTACAATAAATTTACTGAAATCTCTTCAAATTCATTATCTTTCCCTGAATTTAAACAATGTCATAAATGATCTCAAATTCCCTTCCTCAAATCCTCACCAAACTCCAAACACAAACGAAATGTATTCAACCATTATCAAATTTTATTAAACATATTTAAGAAACCTTAACCTTTGTTGGTGATATGTGATAAACATTATGCATTATTTTTTTCTTCTTTTTTTTATAGTCCATATTCCTTGTAGGTCTTGGATAAAATTTTATCTGCAAAAAATTAATGGAGTGTGTCTTTTGATGTTGATTTTTTTTTTTTATAAACGTTTTATAAAAGCTTGAGCCCCAAGTCTTCTTGTTAATGATCCTTTGCCTTTATTAGAAACATTTTCTTGCACAAATGAATAAAACTATATTTATTGTGTAACAAAAGTTTTAATGCTTATTAAAAGCATTGAGTTATTGTTGAAAGAGTATAGGCAAAACAAAAATATTGTTTAACAATCTAAACAACTATAATAAATAATCAAAATGAAAGAATATATTAAAAAAAATTGTTTAACAAATCAAATAACTAATAGCCCGGAAAAAAAATACTATATGATATTATATAGTGTTTTTTTAGTTGTCTATTAATAATTTCGGTCGAGAAATAATCATCACTTCATACAAAACCTCTTCAAATAAAGATATATGATATATTTGTTAAGCATGGTGAATAAATAGAAAAATATTTTAATTTTATTTAAAATGATTATCTAAATTTTGTTTAAATTAACTAAAAATTTTAAACAAGAAAATGGGTTATTTGAGGTGGAATTTAACAATGATGTTATCTATATTTCATGTGCATGCATGAAATCTCAGGATATATTTTGCAAAAGTCAAAGGATTAAATAAAAAGGAGGAAGAGGGTAAAGTATAGATAAATTTTTCCCTCTTCAACAATATATGGAGATAAATTTGAATGCTTTGAGTGTTTATTCTAAAGATACTTATTTATATAATAACTTATATATATATATATATATATATATATATATATATATATTCTTAATTTTTTAAAATAAATTTAATATCTTTGTTTGGTATATCATTATTAGTACTTTTGAATATATATTTATTATGATTGTATGAAAAATTATTTTTCTTTTCATACTTAAACCTCACAATTTCAACTAAGTATAACACCATTTACCTTGCAAGTTTTGCAATAAGAAGTTTTTGATAATTATTAAAGTCTAGGCTTGGTTTAGTCTACTTTCATCCTTATTTATGATAATAATTTAATATAAATTTCATTAAACAAATATAATTATATTTTGAAGTTTTATGAATAACAATATATTTTTGACGTTATTATCAAAATGTATTTATGATAATTTAATATAAATTTCAACGAAAAGTAAAAACATGATTATGATTTTCAATACAATTTTTTTATCAAATTTTGCTTATTATTAATTTATAATAATTATAAAATAATTTATTAATTTCCCTAAATCGATTTTTTTTCTAATAATATGAACTTACTATTAAAATTGTAGGAAGTTTAATAAATCATCGTTTATAGCTATTACAAATAAATTTTTATATCCATTTAGATATTGGGAATACATTAATCGAATCAATCAAACTTTGAGGTTTGAAACCATACATAGATTCGTATGACATGGTGTTTCATAAATAAATTTAGTTACATTGTAATTAAAATTTGAATTTCTTTCTACACGTATTGACAAATATTTTTTTTAATAATATCATTATCAAGGACAAAAATAACATTTTATAAAATTCAAATACTGATTAATTAAAAAAAATTAAATTAATTTGTAAGAATAATTTTTATAAATAATTTACGATTTTTTTATTTTCATTTTACATTAAAAGTTAAACATAAACTATATGCATTATAAAATTTTAACCACAAGATCAATAGGAAAAGAATATATATTTCAAGGATATATGTTTTTAAAATAAATAACAAAAAAATCATAGTGTATTTAAGAAAAAAATATTATTTGAGTAAAAATATAAAAAGTGTAATAAAATTCTACCTCAACTTAGAAATATGTTAATATTATAATATATAGACGATTATAATTATTTATCGTCTTATGAAGTAAAATTATATATATATTATATACCATCAAAAATATTAAATATAATTTAAAATCAATATTATAATAAATATAGTTATTTTTTTATTACTGTTCTGAGTATATGAAAAGTAACAACATTGTTACGACAATGACTAATACATATTCCAATTTTGAAACTATGATTAAAGATTGAAGGATAAATCTAGGCTTGAAAATCAAAATGGTTGATTTGCAGCATATTGGTTTCTCATAAGGCCACTAAAACTAGGGCGAGCCACAGAAGCTGCATTGGTGGCATCAAAGGGATGAACCTGGTTATGTTCAAAACTAAACCCTAAACCTCTACGATATACATTTTGAGGGGTTTCAAGGGCTATGCCCCCAGGGTTGGTCACCCCAAATCTTTGCCCAGAAATGGAGGCGTTGTGCAACCCTTGGTTGCCATAACCTGGTGCAAAATGTGGCCATGGCACGGTTGACATCTGAGCCATGGTGGGGTGCATGTTAGCCTCATAGTAAAGAGGTATAGAACCACAAAAAGGATGTTGATGATGAGTCATGGTTGCTGAGTATGGATACATATGAACACCAAGTCCAAAAGTTCCCATGTCAAATTCTCTGTCCATTCTTGAGAGCACTCTTTCACGTCTGTGAGCATTTTGATGGCCCCCTAAAGCTTGAGAGCTTGGAAACTTCTTGTCACAGAACTTGCATGGGAATTGACGCTGTTGCTTAGGTATGACCAGTTGATGGTTTGTGTTCTCCATAGGTTTTGGAGAAGAAAGTGAATCCATGTGGTTTTTCAAAGTTCTGCAGAGGGACATGGATGAGGATTCTCCAACCATTTTGTTTTGGCCAAGACTCATAGATAGTAACAGCTCTGAATCCACAACATCAGTTGAAGATGCTTCCTCGATCTTACGTTTGAGCTTTCTACTCTCATCACCTTTAGCAAAAAACTCGTCTGACATTATTTTGATGAACACCCTCTTAAGAAGATGATGATGTTTTGTTAAGAACTTCTTTGGTGTGATGTGATTTTGAAGAAGGGGTATTTATTAAGAGACTCTTGAATGTTGCATATCGTGTAAAAGGAAGTGTTTTTGGGGTATGCATAACATAACTCTGCATACTAACAAAATTAATTGTAAGAGAAAATAACAGAATTCAAAAAGCTTTAAAAGTCAAACTTTAAGATACATGATTAAAAATTCTTTTAATATATAGTGTTAATTACACTCTATTATCTTTTTCTTCTCTATAAAATTACACTTTAATAAAAATAATGTAATCAATTTTATATTTAAATTTTATTAGTCAACTTAAATGATAATTAATTATAGGTTTATTTTAATACATGTCTTTAAATCAATTTATTGCATTTGTAGTGATTTCTCCATACATTCATTAAATTATATTTTGACTAGAAAAATAATACAAGTTTAATATTATTTTACTTTAAGGTAGTCTGAAATCTCATTGACTAAAAAATATATATATGAATAGTTGAAAACTAATAAATCCATTAATTTAAAAAGAATGTATAACAAACAACCTAAAAATTTGTCAATAATTCAAACTTGACTTTTTCTCCCTAATCTTTGTAGTAATAATTAATTGGTATATTAAATATTCCTTTTAATTTGGAATTTGGGGAAGAAATAAATTAAATATATCAATAATTTTAAATTAACTAAGAATTGACCTTTATGGTTTAGGAGATGTGATCCATATATAGGGATATAAAAAAAGTACTCGTACCCATAAATATTTGTGCTTAAATTTTATAATAGATAGAAGTTGAATAGTTAAATGACTACCTGTGAATAAAATTTGAATTCGTTCTATTAGTTAAGAGTGTATAAATAGAACATTTCATTAAGATAATATTTTCTTAATCTTATATATTTTAAAAATAAATTGTCCTCGTTTACTTAAAATCTTAAATCCGTCACTCTTATTCATTTCCGTAAATTTAATTAAATATAGTTTTGAATTTGCATATTTTTTGTTTAATATGATTGTGTTGAATATTTGAATAATTTTATCTTTTTTTTTCACTTTTAAAATTTAAAAATATATTAAAATAGTTAAAAACTATGGTTACAATGTTTTTAAAATATTTATCTTATACTTTTATATATTAATAAATATTTGCAAAAAACTTGTTTTATTGAAAATCTGACAAGTGCATGTTTAACATAGTCTAATCATACCCGAAATGGATTGGTTGGTTCGAATCTGTCTAAAGAAAAAAAAAATCTCTACTTTTAAAAAATTGAAATTCAATTGAAATCGGTAAATCAAATCTAACCAGTTTTTGACATTTTTTTTAAGAATTTTTTTTATATAAATATAATATTTTTTAACTTTTTTTATCTTAAATAAATTATATCAATTTTAATTATTACCTCGAATTATTATTTGTGATTATTATTAAAAATACAGTAATAATTAATCTATTATTTTTTTACTCTCACACCCAAAATCATTTTTCATCATAAGTTTTGAGTTTATAATGGTGCGATGTATTAGGTGAAGCAACAGACACAACCATGTATAAATGAATGAAATTTAAATTTTATTAAATTATTATAATTATTTTTTAAAATTTAAAATATATTATAAATTAAAAGTTAAGTCACCGTAATCTAATTTAAATTCATAAATTAAGTAAATCAGATTTATTTTCACTCATGTTCTAATATAAAATTTTAATTTGTCGTAGTTTTATTTTTAAATATATATATATATATATATATATATATATATATATATATAAACTATCAATCAATTTATTATTTTAATATGGAAAGATAACCTTTGTTTGTTAAACATGTAAGAAAATAGGGACTTTGGTGATTGTTAAACTTGACATTTTTTTTTGTTTAATTACAAATGAAGTTATATTTAAAAAATTAAATTTTATTTGAATAATAATATGAAACATCTAATTAAAATAAAAAATATTTCATTATTTATTTACTAGTATTAAGACAGAAAAAATATAAAAAATATATTGGGCTGCATGTGCAGGACTGAAGAAGGGGTCCCGCACAAGCGTTGTTTTCGTGGCTGGTCTTTTCCCTTTCTTTTCTTTTCCTAGTCATGTCATTTTATGCTCTCTCTGTCACTCACTTGCACAGATTCTCTCAGCTCTTCGCTCTCCCTCCGCCAATTCGAGCACTTCACTCTTCACCAAAATGCAGTCCAGTCCGTTGCTCCTCGAGGAACCCATCAGAATGGCTTCCATCCTCGAACCATCCAAGGCTGTCAGTATCTCCTCTCTCTCTCTCTCTCTCTCTCTCTTTCTCTCTTCAATTCTGTTAATTTCCCGGTAATTTCAGTTTTCAAGCTCTGTGAAGGGAAAAAAACGAAATAATTGCCGTTTGTTTGGTGTGCTTGTTGTTTCGAAGTGATGCTTCGTTTGCTTGGTAATGATTAATTTAGCAGATCGGAAACGAGTTTGTTAATGTTTTTTGTGATGCATGTGTAAATCTTTGTAATATTTGAAAAATTGAACATTTTTGTAATTAAAAAGTGATGTCGGACAATGAAAATGAAAATGTAAAATGAAAGCATGAGCAAACGGTCTTTAATTTTTTAAGGAAGGAAAATTTCCGATAATGGTTTTGTTTGGGCCTGTTCGTTTCTGTTCTCTGATTTTGATTTTGATTTTGAAAACTGTTTTTTGTGAAACAATGTTCAATAGTCAATTTCTAATTAAATAGATAATTGATTTTTGAAAACTGAAAACGAAGATGTTTAAAGCATTTTCAGAGTTTTTGTCTTGTGTGCATCTTCATTTTAGAATTCGAATTTTAAATTTAGCAGATCGAAGAAGAGTTCTTTCATGGTCGGAGTAGAGTTCGAATTCAGTGTCAGTGAGATTTTATGCAACGGTGTCGATTGGGAAATTCACTTTGAACCCTTTTTTTATTTTGCAACCTTATATGGTGCTGTGCTAGCTCGAGATGAGGGGAAGGTGTGTATTGTGCTTTTAAAATTTCGCAAAATTGGAAAAAAAAATTTCATTTATGTATTTAGCTTCTATCATTGAACTCTTGATATGGTTGGATATATATATATATATATATATATATATATATATATATATATATATATATATATATTTTTTTTTTTTTTTTCACATTTTAATTTTCTTTTGGAATAAAAGTTATAAAAAAAGGGCCAATTAAAAGTAGTAACAGAACAACGGGGCAGGTACTAAGGAAGTACTAAAAACTTGCTGACAAGATTGTGAACTATATTAGCTTTCATTTTGCTCTCTAGGTTTGAGGTTGGAGCTGGTGGGTTATGTCTTTGTTTTTTCAGATTTTTTTTTTTTTTTAATATTGTGTTGAAGTGTGAAACTGAAAAACATGTTAGCCTATTATAGAGAATTTTTGCTCATTGACAATTTGAATTTTGATGGAGTGGAACTTGAAATGCACTCTGCAGAGTTTCTTTCCAGCTATGACGAAGATTGTTGGCACTCTTGGCCCAAAGTCACGCTCAGTTGACGTTATTTCTCAATGTCTTTTGGCAGGAATGTCTGGTATTTTTCCAATGCAACCTTTGATTGCTGGTGATCTTTATTGAACAATTGACTGTAAAAGTTTGTTGTATAATTGTATGGTAGATAAGGGACTATTTTTTTATTTTGTTTCTGTTGCTATTGTTGTAAAAACTTAAAATTTGGATAGCTCTGTCTTATGAAATCAACTATTTTAGAATTTGTAGGCCTTGTATTTTCAAAAACTATAACTATGGCTCTGGAAAGAATCTAGTAGTATTATTTTTTTCTTCTTTATGGTTTGCAGCTTCCTTTTTGTGTCTACTGTGACTGTTGACAAGCTTGAGTTTTCAATTGTTTGTGACTTGTCTGATTCTTCTTTTCTTACGATGTGCCAGTGGCAAGGTTTGATTTTTCATGGGGTGATCCAGAATACCACCAAGAGACGTTGGAAAATTTAAGAGCTGCTATCAAAAGTACCAAGAAACTGTGTGCGGTAAACTTGTTGCATTTTTTGTGTTTGTTTATTTAAATGTTTCGTAAACACTCAAAATCTAATGGGCTATCTTCCTGGCTATCTCTTCTAATGTGGACCCTCTCTACTGGAGGTCTACTAACGCACTAAAGCATAAAAGAGAACACTACAACACCTGAAAATAGCTAATCCAATAGCTAATAAAATGTAGAAAATAGATGCTCCAATGTATAATAGAATTGTGAACATGAAGTTAGCTAAGTTAACAACTTATTAACATTATTAGCTTTTGAGGGTCAGTTCCCTAAGTACTTTGGTTGCATAAATTATTAGCTATGTGATAAATATAACTGATCAATCTTCTAACAAGTGCCAAATATGCTAATAAATGCAGTCTAGCAATGCAACATGTACCACTGTGATACATAGAGTGTACTTGATGCAAACTCCGTGAAAAATTCATCTGTAAGAGAATTAACTTCTTTTTGTGTTTGCTATTTGATGGTTGATGCACAACACAAAACAGTTTACTGGATTAACCAATATAAATTTTATTTATATAGGTACTGGACAAAACAATATAAATTTTACTATAATACCCTTTCCATTGTACAATATTTGTTTTACATATAAAAAGAACAAGGTAATTTTTTAACATTTATGACTACTTTACCATCTCCACCATGAAAAACCTGAAGGAAAATTTATCAACCTTTATGAGTTCCGATCAAGAGGTTTTTGGTTGAAAATTAAATTTGAGGAGAAAAAGGAAAAACTAGGAATAACGAGAGCTAGTTATGACAATTTCGTTGTTAACCCATGCTGGATGAAAATAACTGTTCATCATGTATATTCTTAGATGTCAACAGGGTACTTGCACTTGGTGGAGCAGTTTAAGAGGCTTGGTCAGGGAGAGAAAACCATGGGATTGCGGGGAAGATAATTACATTTGAAAGAGAAAACAGTGGTTATTTCTAAGTTTTCAGGAGTGTTATGCATGGGACAAAAATTTGTCCCCTATTTTAATGAGTAACAATTTTTTTGTCCTGTCCTTTACATTTCCTTTTGTGCTATCGTTACACTATTTTTTTATTCAAAACTTGGAACCAGTATTTTTAATTTTTTTTTGAAGTATTTTTGTTTTCTGCTGTACTTTATATTTTAACAAATCAAATGGACCCTTAGTGATTCAATTTTACTTAGTTGTAAAACATAATAGGTCTACACTCTGCAGGAAAATCATCAAAATCCCTTAAAAGAACGCTTTAATTACAATTGCACAACTTGTATTTTTATTTTTCTTCTCTGACACATTCTTCAATATTTTGGCGTATAATATTTGTGTAAGCTATCATGCTTCAATACTTACTTTTAACTGTTATAAACTTTTATGGCATAATGTTGACTTTTGTCCATTAGAGTCTTGAAGCCTTGTAAACATTCATTCTGTTTATCTATCTCTAATGTAAAAGTTTGGACAAGGAAACTAAGATTACCGTGATCCTTACTCCTTGCATATCTTGCATATGAAATGCATATGGTATATCATAAAAGGAACTGATATTTATTCCTCAAGTTTATGCTTCAATATGCTTTTGAAATGTGCAAATACTATCTGAAGGTTAATTTATGTAAAAGTAAATATGCATTCTTGTCTAACTCCAGGTTATGCTAGACACTGTCGGTCCAGAACTGCAAGTTGTCAACAAAACTGAGCTCGCAATTTCCCTTCAGGCTGACACATTGGTTGTCTTAACTCCTGATCAGAATAAAGAGGCTTCTTCAAATCTTTTGCCTTTAAATTTTAGTGGGCTTTCAAAGGTCAGTAATGGTATACCTCTAAGTTTTAACAAAGTTTTTTGAAGGTGGAAGTGGTATTCTATTTATGTTGAGTAATGGGTATATCTTGTTTAGCTTTGGGTATATGTTTATAGTAATAGTAGTCATGTGCTTGTTTGTCTTGTTGCACATCTGGATTTTTTCCAGCTGTTTACTTGTGGTATCTTGATCTTTCTTCCATATTATACCTTGTGAGAGGCTACCTGGTTACTTGGAGAAGCAAGAGGCAGATTGTGATAGCTAGAAGCAATGCTGAAGCAGAATTTAGGCTTTGGCGACTGGTATATATGGAGGCCATTGTTGCAATGAATGGTGTAGGAACTAGGAATTTCTTTAAATATACTATTAAATTATTGAATGATAATAAGTTGGTATTATTATCATTGCTATGAATCTAGCTTATCATTACAATAAAAAATTTAGAGATTGATCACCACCACTTTAGAAAGAAAAAGTTGATGATGGGGAGTTCTCTGTAGTCGCTTTTGGTATTGCTAGTTTCTGTTCATCTTTCCGCTAATCCAGTCAAGCACATTTATTCTCTTGATGCCTTGGACTCATTTTCATGCAAATTCTATTTTCAGTTTTCTCACTTCATAATAATAAAAAAAACTAATGGATCTTGGTACTAGAGGCTCCTCCTCTAAGCAATGAATTTTTTTTCCTTTGGATAGGTTTATTTGGAAATGAACTGCTCCCTCTGAGGTCAAATTCTTTGTATAAGCAGGATTAATACGGATGATCTACTTCAAATTCATAGACCTATAACACCTTTATATCTTGATTGTGAAATGTGCAGCTCAAGTTCTGAAACTAGTTCTCATGTGTCTATTGCTCATAAGTTTTCCTTTTACAGATTATCTGTTTGTTTTTTTTGTTGAAGATTGGGCTTTCACAAGGATCTCAAGCAGTCACTATGCTTTAATTTTTGAGGATTTGGCTCCAGCAAAGATATTAAAAGGCTTTAGTGCTGTTCTCATATTTAGTCATCTGTTATCTGTAATTTTTGGTTGCTGCATGTGCATTTGGGATCAAATATTCACCTCACATCTTTGTTAGGCGTTTAGAGACATTGGAGTGTTATGTTACATGTCAATCTTAGTTCTTGAGCATTTCTTATCCTCTTTATCTCATACCTCACTTTTTCGATCTCAATTATTCTTATATATATAAAAAGTGAAGGGGTTGCAAGAGTTGAACACCCTCTCTCTGGTGGTGGCTGATTATTAAAAAGGGGTATACACTAGGAAATATGAGCGTAACACAGTAGATCACAACCCAATTAACTGATGATATGTAGTGGTTCACACAATTCACACATGATGTGCAGTTATAGGGCAGAGGGGGACGTAGAGAAGAATTGGACTGAAATTGAGGAGACCCCATGAGTTGTTTGTGTTTCTTCTTTTCCATCTCCCATTCACAATGAACAGACAGATGCGAATATACTGAATAGCATTCTTTCTGATATCAATTCCTGTTCTCTGTAACTACTTTGTTTGGAACACACTCCCTGGCATTCCAACACATAACAGACATTTTGGTTAAGACACTTCTGAGACCTAATTGTGGAAACCCTAGATTCGAACTAGGCATGACTGACTTATACCATCCAGCTTGGAGGGGAAATTTTAGATAATGGTTCTGGTTTAGAAGGAATTACAATGCATAATTTTGATGAGTAGCTCTTACATCTGATCTTTCACTTAGTTGTTTGTTTGATTCAACTTATTTTGGTGAGGGCATTGCATATTTTGTTGGCTTTCTAAGAGAACTTTTGAAACATAAGTGATTATTCGCCTAAAATTAATTTCCACGGAGCATGTGTTGAGTCCTGCTAGCTGTAGCTTTCTTTGTCTATTTTGTAAGCAATTTCTTTTATACCAAATTACTTCTAGGTGTGTAAGGTAGAGTTTTTTTCTCCTTTCCTTTTAGGTTCCTAGATTAGGATACAACCTCTCCTATTTATTTGCTACTTTGTAATTGTTGCTTATAAAACAGAAATATTATACAGTTTTACTCTGAAATCTACATTAACACCTTTATGCATTGTGTCACCAAAATCCATATTTTCTTGATGTACATGTTGAGTCCTTGATGGTCGTGGAAAATATTATGATCTATGGTTTAGATTATATTTGTTGAAAAATTACAAAAAAGGCTGGGTATTTGGATATCAAGAGGCAGCATATTATTGCTACTGTAGTAAAATGTATAAGGAAACTGAATAGGGGAAAAACCTGCATTATTTTTTAATGGCTGATGTTTCCTCTATAATACTGTATTTATAAAATTTGCAAGGACTTGTGAGATGTGCTCATAATTTTCATATTGATTTAAAAAGACCATATGAGGGGAAGGAACGAATATGAAACTAGTTTTCTCCTGACATGTAAGAGAGAAAATTAATATTATAACTGGAGCGAATTCTGAATGTATAGCAGCACTTTCTTTTGTCTCTTTCTCATTCCCAGACAGGTTGTTTAATGTTTCCCTATAGATCCCAATAACAGAGAGGTTGCAGGGTAGATTTAAATAGCGGCATAGTCTGTAAGTCTGTAACTAATGATTTATTTTGTGTTACTTTAAGAGTCTATAAGAGACATGCTGTGTAATATAATATGTTATTCATGTTTTTGTAATAGTAATTAAGGAATTATCACAGTTCTAGTAGCTCTAGTCTTTTCCATTAAACTTTAAAATTCTTATATAATATCATTTTGTGGTTTTACAAATTTTGCTTCTTATTTTCATATGGTACTAAGACTGTCTGTACCTTGTAGTTTTTGCTTGACAGGAATCTACAATTTTGCAGGCTGTGAAGAAGGGTGATACTATTTTTATTGGTCAATACCTGTTTACTGGAAGTGAAACAACCTCAGTGTGGCTAGAGGTAATGCAGTCGTGGATAGATTAGTTCTATCTTCAATTCTTCCGAGAATAATTTTTGCTCACTATTTAAATAATTTTGAAATTATAGGATTTAGATAGGGAAAGTTGAAAGAGAGATAGGGAACTTTAGATAACATGATAATAGGTTGATATGTTTTTATAATTATAATAATAAAATCTGTTTCCAGATGTGATGTATTACTATACTAATACTCCTATCTTTGACTATACTATTAATCAGGTCATGCAATAGTTCAACCAGTACAAACCCATTAGTATAATAATAAGACTAATAATATGATGAGTATCAACTTTGATTGCTTTTGTAGACGAGGGCCTTGATTGGTTTTGTATCTAACAAATATCAAGGGAAAGTTATTATAATATAGTAAGTATTTCATATTTAAAATTTTATTTTTTGAAAAGGGTGAGGACTACTGGGTAATTATTATCATGCTTTCTCATTCTTGTTTAATGTACCTATTGACATTTTGGATTCTAACAGGCAATGCCATAGTTAATTCCAGTTCCCTTTTTGTTAACAAAGGAACCTGCTTTTGTTTGTTTCCTAATATATTTTAGAAATACGAATCAATTTATCAGTTGTATATATTTAGAATCCCTAGATCAGGCTGTACAGATTAGAAGTTAGTATTAATCTATGATTAATATTGTAAATGAGAATCAATTATCATTAATACTTATAAATGGGTTTGTCCTATTATGGGGATAATAAAATCAAACAAGGTATGAAAACAAAATTTCTTGACACTTTCTCCCTCTTAATATCTGTTGTCATTCTTCTTTTTCTTGATCTCTTAATCCATATTAATGACTGTAATAAACAGAAAAGAGTAAGGTAAAGCTATACCATTTCAACAAAATACCCACAAGTTCCGTAGCATCGGGTCTGCTAGCCCAATCATGATTAGGGGAAAGTTCTTCCTTTTTTGGCTGGTTGTGGGTGAGGAGTGCTTTGACTCTGGTTTTAGCCATATGCTATAATCTTCTGAGCTACAGGCCCAATCTTGACATCTAAACTGGATATCTGAGGACTCTAAAAATGGGAAAAAATGTCTGTTTTGCCTTGGATAATAGTAGAGCCACATTCTTGCTTCTTATTTGCACTTAGCTTTTCCAAGGAAGCGTTTTAAGATATGGAATGCAGATTCTGCTGAAATTAAAATACTGCTTATACTCAAAGCCATTTTTAACTCATCATCATCACTCAATTAGTTTTATTTCATAATGCAGGTAAGTGAAGTGAATGGTGATGATGTCACTTGTGTCATAAAAAATTCTGCTACTCTTGCTGGGTCACTGTATACTTTACATGTCTCTCAAATTCGTATTGATCTTCCCACACTAGCCAATAAGGATAAGGAGGTAACTATAAGAACTTTGTGTGCATAATGTAATGAGATGCACACTGTATGGTCAAGTATCTGTTCTATTTTTGTGCTTGAGAATGTAGTTTGCAGTTTTATCTTTATTCATGAGAATATTTAGGGATGAAATGGGAATTACTTTTGTTGAAATTATAGCTTGATTTTAGCTGTGCTTTATACTCATTTTTCTTTTCAAAAAAAGACTTACTTTTGTTAATTTGTGAATATGGAAAGTTTTACTTATTGAACAATCCAAAATAATCAGGGTTGGTTTTGTTCAGGCTTTGATAGAATTACTTTTGAAAGGATTACTTTTGAAAAGTGAGTTTTAGAGCAATGATTTTGTCTGGATGGTAAAGTAGAATCACCTTAGAAGTGTAAATATAGGTATCTTTTTATAAATTTAGTAGGTCCCGCACCGTGAATCAATTTTCTTCCTTTTGGAAAAAAGAAATCAGTTGTTTCAAAATCAATTCATATTCCACAGTATTGATTTTCTTCACCTTGTAAATTAAACAGCTTGATTTACTGTTGAAATCAATTTTGTATTGGCAAAACAATTAAATGTGTAAACAGCTCATGTGATAAATTATGTTGTCTGCACCAACTACCAGATTATGATGATAAAAGTTACTACATTTTGGAGTGTAGAAACACATTATCGTTAATTTGTTAGTTTCTTATAGTTATGCTAATCTTGTCATTTCACTCACTAACAGGTAATAAGCACGTGGGGTGTTCAAAACAATGTAGACTTCCTCTCATTATCATACACCAGGCATGCCGAAGATGTTCGCCATGTAAGGGTTATTGATAATACGTTTTATCTAATTGCTAATGTATTTTTGAGTCTTCCCACATAAATTGTTTACTACAAACACTTCTCTAGTATGAAAGTTTTGATGGATCCGACATCGACTAGAGATATATAGCTAAATTAAATATATAAATGGAGTGCAAACCTCAACTTATAAGCTTGTTTTATAGGGTTGAATTAGGCCCAAGTCCACTTTTTAATATGATATTAGAGCCTATCATAGCAAGATTTTTGGACTATTGTGCCACCTGCCATCTAGTTGTTATCATACCACTCATAAATATTGAGTCTTAAGCTCTCGAGATGTCGATTCCTCGGTGTGAGAGTGTGTTAGAGATCACACAATGGTTATAATACATCAAATTATAATATATAAGTGGAGTTCAAACCTCAACTTATAGGAGTCTTTTAATGATAATATATAGAGACTTGTTTGAAATAAGAGGCAAATTTAAAAGATGAAGGTTACTTTTAGGATATATATTTATTTATTATCATTGATGGACTAACTAGAAAAAATTTACTTTAAAGGACTAGGAAGACCATTCAGTCTTATATATGATCAACCATTTTTTTAACAAATTTGTTGGCATAACAACAATGTAGATTTTAGTTATGCACTTATCCCTTTATTTTTTAAATACTACGCTGTTTTGGCTATGTTTTCAAAATAATAGGGGCCTGTATAGTAAATTCAAAGTACAGATGAAGGGAGAGTCATTTACTTATTTATCTGATGTAATTGACTTCTTTTAACTTCTAAATTTCTTATGTTGTACTTGTGCAATGTTGTTAACTAAAATTCACTATTTGTTGTTTGGCAGGCCCGTGCCTTTCTCTCTAAATTAGGTGACCTCAAACAGACACAGATATTTGCAAAGATTGAAAATATAGAGGTGAGAAACTTCAAAATGTTTTAGAAACTTATTACAAGTAAAAGCTGTAGTTCTAGATTGTTGGTGTGTGTACTTTATCTTGATTTTGAAGTGCATCTTTGGTCTATAAATTCTAATAGGGATTGACACATTTTGATGAGATATTGCGAGAAGCGGATGGTATCATCCTCTCACGTGGAAATTTGGGGATAGATCTTCCACCTGAGAAGGTTAGCTTTTAATTCTGGGCCGATGAATCAAATGTTTATATGATACTTTTCTGCTTGTTTGGTCTTTTTTTTCAGCATGTGTTTGCTATGGCTTTCGATAGCAGTCTTTTCTTATAGCATAGTATTGAACTTGTTGACAAGTCCCTAAAGGACCACACATCCCAATTTATACTCATCAAAACTTATGACCTGCATGCTATAATAATTCTTTCAAATCTTGCATATATCCATATGGATGTGGCAGGCGTTTTTATTCCAAAAGGCAGCTATTTACAAATGTAACATGGCTGGAAAACCTGCTGTTGTCACACGTGTTGTGGACACTATGACTGATAACCTAAGACCTACTCGTGCAGAAGCAACTGATGTTGCCAATGCAGTGCTGGATGGTATGTTTTATTTTCTTGATATAGTTCCTTTTTGTTATATTGTGAGTCAAATTTTGATTTTGATGTACTTACGCATTATATAGACTCTAGCATTGATTGCGCTCCTTCTATTTCACTGTTCTATCATCTTGAATGTTTTCTTTTATCCATTTTGATGTATTTGTGAATTATGTAGACACTAGCATTAGATGCACTACATGTTTCTGTTTATTTATTAATACTTCCTTTTTTATGATGTTTATAAATGGTTGTATCTTCTCTAATTTTTTTTCCCCATTTTGATGGTTTAGGTAGTGATGCTATTGTTCTTGGGGCAGAGACTTTGCGTGGATTATATCCTGTAGAGACTATTTCCACTGTTGGAAAAATTTGTGCTGAGGTAGGAACTAGAATGTATTTTTTAACAATGGACTAAGTTAAGGCCCCAAACACATTGACAGTCTGAATACTTTCTAAGGTGCTGGCAGGCATTCTCTTAACGAAATGCTCTTTGCAGGCAGAGAAAGTTTATAATCAAGATATATATTTCAAGAAGGCTGTCAAATTTGTGGGAGAGCCAATGACTCATTTGGAATCAATAGCTTCCTCTGCGGTACTCCTGTCATTTTACTAAATTTTATATAGGGTAGTTTTAATTTTTTTACCTCACTGCCATTACACTACTCACTTGCTTAAAGAAAATTTTGCTTAGTAAAATACATATTTGGGAATAATTTCCTTGCGTCAACATGCAGGTTCGAGCAGCCATCAAGGTTAAGGCTTCTGTTATTATTTGCTTTACTTCATCTGGAAGGGCTGCAAGGTTTAATTTAATTTCTCTTTTTCATAACTCGCATTTTATTATTTTAAAATTTTTCTCATGCTTTGGTCATGAATCATGAGTTATCTATTGTTGTGTAAATTTGTAGGTTGATTGCCAAGTACCGTCCGACCATGCCCGTGATATCTGTCGTCATTCCTCAACTAAAGACAAATCAACTACGATGGACTTTCACTGGAGCTTTTGAGGTATTTAATCGATAACTGGACATGAGTTGTTTCATGGAATATTCACATGAATCCTGAGGCTAGCCTTCTGTTTTAAGTCAGAGTCAGCATGATTCGGTTCCTTGAGTCAGCTCACACTTTTTGGGCATTGGGATATTTTTTTTTTTAAAACTTGGTGCTTTGTATATAATATTCTGTAATGGAGCTTGATAAAGAAAACCAATTGAAGTACTGACTAATGTTATTCAATTTTTTTTTTTTTTTCAATTGTATCAGCTTCTTCTACCATTGATAACATTAGTTTTATGCACACTGGAATAATGATTTTATAAGTTATCAACTCTCGTGTGTTTTATGTTCTCTTTGGCTTTTGTGCATTATTTAACTTCTCTTTGAAGCATTGTGGCGGACCTTCGTTTTGGTTTATCCACTAATCACACAAGCAAAGCCTCGTGGGTAGTCCTTAGCACTTTCAAACGTTGCTTGTTTGTATTCGTTTCCATGAAAGAGGCGGTCATTTTCAAATGTAAGATTTGATAGGGAAAATGGAGAAAAAAAAAATGCTATTGTTGTGTGATTTTAATCTTGATTTAAACTTTTTTTTTTTCATTTTTTTACTTGTATTATGACATTCTGTTTTGAAACTAATGTGTTTTTGCTGTTTCCTTTTTTTATTCTATGGCAGGCAAGGCAATCACTTATTGTGAGAGGTCTTTTCCCTATGCTGGCAGATCCGCGACATCCAGTAAGAATTTTTTGAACGTCAGTTGATTTAGTGATGAAAAATGGGGAATGGGAAAGCCCTCAGAAATTCTTATTCTATATCTATAATGTCTAATAGTCAAAATATTAAAACAGAATGTGCCTTATATTATGCAAATCAATTAAAAGAAATTATATTATCAAAACTAACTTAATCCTAATTCAGAACAGCAAGTAAAATAAGTATTCCAAGTTCTCAACATCTAATCACTGATTTACAAATTACTACCTTTTACACCCTAAATCTCAATTATTGTTATTTCCGGAATGAAACTTAGTATAATGCCAACGTCTGTGTTTTGGTTTCCTTCACCACTGTAGGACTATTCTGATAGGGTGACATTCTAGTCTGGATTTGGATATTCCTTATTCCATGTATTTTGGGTTTAGCCATTACAAAACTGTAAAAGTGAAGTTCATATATGGTATTGCTAAGGTATATTTGTGGTCATTCACTTGTTAACATGAAAGCATGTCTTTTGGGAACAGGCCGAGTCTAAAAGTGGAACAAGTGAATCAATTTTGAAGGTTGCTTTAGACCATGGCAAGGCTTTTGGTATCATAAAGCCACATGATCGAGTTGTTGTTTGCCAGAAAGTTGGTGATTCCTCAGTTGTGAAGATTATTGAGCTTGACGATTAGAACTTGGATCATTTGCATGTTTGAGTTATAAGATTTCTTTTTTGTATTTTCTGTTGTATGTTGTAATAGTAAAAACACTTGAAAGGTCTATTAATAATGTGTACCACATTGGAAGAAATGCACTTGGGGAATGGATATCATCCATTCCCAGCATGCCAACTGATTATAACATGATACCAAATGATCCTTGTCAGTACATGTGCGTGCCAATTTCCAGAGGATACAAATGAATGTAATTATTATTGTGATGTAAGTTGATCTATACATATATTGGATTAAGTTATTTTAGATAAAATTATTTTTTTCGAATACTTCTTTGAATATATTGAAGTTAATAAAAAATTGATATATCCATGTTTATATTTTTCTTTTAATCTCAACCTCAATTATTATTGTTTTAATTGTGATCCAAACATTATTACAAAAAGTTTTCATTTTTATCATTCTGTAAGAGTCTTTCATTTGAAACGCCCTCAAACAATATATTTTAGAGATGTCAATAAATAATATTTTTTTAATCCTTGGCTAAAGAATTCATACTTTTTATTTCGAAATTTTCCAACTTTGAATATTTCTGCCGTATAACATGTTTTATTACAGATAATACATAGTGAACAAAAAAAGAAGTCAGGAGATAAGTGAATTTGCTTAAACAAATTTAGTTTCTTAAATTAACTTGAAAAATAAGAATGAAATGCATTTTCTTAGAAGTGGATCCTTGTTTAATAATGTATCACTTAATTATAGTTTCTGTTGATCCAAATATCCAAAAACACTCCCAACAAACACTACGGCAAGTTTGCTTGAATTCTTTTATGCACACACATTCAAAGCTTCACTTCCCCTTTCACTAATCTTGTTGGAGTCTAGAAGCTCATCATCCACACACCCATTTTCCTCCTTGTTCATGTATTCGTCCCCAAGGTAAGGGGAGGAAATATATGAATCCTATATGGTTTGTGAATGAATGAATGTATGCATGTAAAGACTCCCATAGTCCTCAACATCGTACCAAACCAAGCAAAGTAGTCACTAATATCTTCATGAACTGTGGATTGGGAAAGAGATTAACAAACACTAGGCACATGCACATTTGGGATGCTTACCTAAACTAGGGAATTATAATTCCACTTACAAGATCTTTATGAGACAATGCAAGATTCCAAAATGCAAGTTTTATAAGTCTTCGTAGCCGCCACTATAATCATGATGTTATTATTGACATCATTTAAGGACAAGACAACCAAGCACCATCTATAGTTGAAACTCAAAAGTCTGATCAAGTGTCGTTAAGAAGCTCCACCAAACAAAAGAAAAGTGCAATCAACTTTAATCAAACTCAAGAACGGATGATTATGTCGTATTTCTCGAAGTTCATGAAAATGGAAATGGCATGGGTTGACTTAGAAAGATCCAATCAATGTTAATCAAGTTATGCAAAATTCTAAATTCTCAAAGTAGATTAATGACACGAATGATGATATGAAATCAGACCTGCATAGCAGTCATTAATCAATTTAAGCATGTTTTATTTGAGTCAAAGTCGTGTTAATGATGTTTTATAATTTTATACGAGGTATACAACTTGAAAATGATCAAATGAACAGTAAAAGGTGAACACTGTCCAGCACCGGTTCGTGCTGTTTTTGTGTTTCAAATCATGCTAAGTCATTTGGAACCAAAATCAAGACTTTCTATACATACCACCCACCATACTCGTAAAACAAATGTAATTATTTATATTTTAGAAAAACAGTCTATTGATTATATTTTTTAAGTACAAATAATCAACAAGATATACCTCAAAAGTTACTTAAATTAAAAATCAAACCTATTTTGGATAGAAAACTATTCATCACACCTCAAATATTATCTGAACACCTAAGAGAAAAAAAATATAGGTATTATGAATTATACAAAGTGATAGAAACAGAGAGATTGGGAGAAATCGTAAATGGTGTTTAGGTGCTAAAATAAAGGGTGTTCATGTATCATCACTATATATACATATATATATATATATATATATATATATATATATATATATATATATATATATATATATATATATATATATTTATATTTATTACAACAGAATTTTTTCATCAGTAACAGTCAGCTTCAGCAGCATGTTTTTTGCAAAGCAACTTTCCTTCACAGAGAAACCAGAAAAGGATAATGTGAGTGACTCAGAATTCAACTTAGTTGCAAGTTCTCTGCAAAAGGAGCAATTAATAATTCTAACTAATGAAATGAGAGGTTAATTATGTACCTGAGATTCACTTCAAAATCTAGAGGATTATGTCTTGTGCCACTGGAGGCATATACAACACAGGAGCCATCTGTTATAAAAGAAAACCAGTCCAAACACTTCATCATTTAACCTTTTTTTTTTTTTAATAATTTCTAAAATTAAAATAAAAAGTCATCAATCTCATTTACTCAAATATCATCACTTTTTCTTACATATATTTTTTCCCTGGCAATATAAACAAGGTTTTCTACTTTCAACCTATTGGATTAACTTCTACAAGAACATTTCCAATAAATAAATAAATAAATAATTTTTTTCAGGAGTTAAAACTAATTTATAAATAAATAAGTTTGTAAAAAATCAATCTTTTAATTATCTAAAGTCAATTTTTAATTTATGAATAAACTAGTTACAGTTTTTAATACAAAATCATTTCTTTTTTTTCTATTTATTTTATTTTATTTTAAGTTTTAGACTTGTTTGATTAAGATAATAAAAAGAAACGTTTCTAGAATTAAATAATTTAGTAATTTTTTTAGAGTTATTTTAAAATAAAAATGTAATTTATGCTTGTTTAACATCATAAAAAAACATTGTAGTGAAAAGTTGAAAACATTTTCTTATTGTAATAACATTTTTTTACCAAACAAAATTATATTTTAAATTCTTTTAAAAAAAATTATTTGAAAAAACTGAAACAAACATTGAAAAAAAAAACCTAAAATAAACTGAATTATTTTTTCCTTGGAAGGGTGAGTTATGGAAATCTGTGCAAAACCTGAACTTGAGTTGGGAAGAGCTTCTTCCATGTTTGAATCTCATCTTCATTGTGAAGCTTTCTAATTCCTCCATAACATCCACTTATTCTATCACCTTCTTCTCCACTTCTCTTTCTGCACAACTTTACTCGTCTCATGTTTGATTCTTCAGGGTATTGCCTGAACTCCACCATCAACGTATCTATCACACAACAACGTTAATGCAATTTAGGCTAAAATCTTGATATATGTTACAGATTTTTCTCACATGTTAAAAGTTTCGTATTTCTTAGAAGATTTTAACTTTTATTTAGATTTTTAACCATTATATCTTATATTATTATTTAGTATTTCATCGATAGATACTCAAATATGATGTTAGAGATAATGGGTAGGAGTATATACTTACACTCAATAAGTGTTTGAATTAAAATTTCACCTTTAACTAAAAAAATGTTAAAGTTGAATAATATATCTTTGTAATAGATGGAAACATCTTTTGAAATAATTTGAGTGTGCAGGAAAATTGAGCCTAAATAACCAAAGAGAATTTTTGAGGCGTCAAAGGCTTAACTGTGAAATCAGTTTTGTAGAGAAAAGAGGGAATCAGAAAATTTTCTTACCACTGTATTGACACTCACAACGATTCTCATTACATGAGTCCAAGTGACCAATAACAGCGTACCACCAATCTGCAACACATCTCACAACTTATAACCTTTTATTTTAATTCACAAAAATGAGATTCTTATTATGAGAAAGATAACAGAATAAACTTGAAAAAATACTTAGAATATTATTTTCTAAAAATAAGTAGATATGAAACAATATTTTTGAAAAACTGAAAGGAAAATTGTTACCATAAGGACACTGTGTACTTGGCCTCCACTGAATCTCAATATGATCCTCTGGTTTCAAGTTTTCTAAACAATGAGAGACATGCATGCCATATGGAGATGAATCAACTGAGGGAGCTCTCACCATATCCCACTCAATGTTCTTCCCTATACATCTCCAACCTCCACTTTGATACCTGGCATAACATAACCATCCAAATCTACATCATAATTTCACTCTCTTTGCATAACAGGTCAACATTATTGCACTTCAATACACTTCTAAAAGAGAAAACAGAAACAACAAAAATAAACTAGTCATTTTCTTCCAAAATCATTTTGCATACCTTGCTTGAAAAGTATTAGATTGTGGGTCATAGTTAACCAAGGCATTGTGAATCATCAGACCCTGGAAAGACATAATATTGATTAATATGTATATACACTTGAAATATATAATCTAGTTTAAGCTTTTTACCTTGTAGACCTGAGCAGGAAACCAAAACCTACCACTCTCAAGAGAGAAATACAAAGACATCATGAAGTTGTTTGACCGTTGACCATTGAGGACCTTGCAGTGTTCCAAGTAAGAACCAAGGTATAGATTAGGCCAAACACCAGTGAAAGAACCCATTGACCCAGTTTGATTGGTGTGTTGATTCTTCAAGAGAATTCCATCTCTGGCAATTGTTATGTGCCACAACCACTCCTTATAAACAGCATCACCAATCACTCTTCCCCATTTGTGTTTTATGTGATTTTCCCAGAAGTGATCACTTTCACATTTACCCTTCAAGGACACACACACCTTTGACAGTGTGCTAAGGTCTACTGGAGAAAGGCACTTGAGAATGAAATCCAAGATGGATTCAGGCAAATCCAAGAGGGAGATCGGAGGACCTTCTTTACCCTTCTTCTCCATGTCTGAGATTACATTTTGGCTAGTTATAGTTTCTTTCACATGAGAGAAGATGAAACAATCTACCCCTGAAGATTGATAATATATATCAAGCAAAAAATTGTGTAAAGCCAAAGATATGATTATATCACTAAAATACGCGATAATTTCAAGGTCTAATGTTTGGATATGTATTTTGTTCATGTTTAAGAATAATTCTAAATTACCAATAAAGCATGACATAAAAGACAATGTTGCAACCAAGCAGCATATCCTGTTTAATTTTTAAGTGTGTAAGTGAAAAAGACTTAGTTGAGAGTGACAATATCTATTTTTGTGACTTTTACTGATGAAAAAAAAATAATCTTTAATTGTTGATGTATAAATAAATAATTGAATAAATTATACTGGTACTTCCTCAATTTATTTTCAAATTCATGTTATGCAATTATATTCTATTGTTATGTTTCGTGTTATGTTTTGTGTGACTATTTTGTCATTAAAAAATATTTTTAATGACTAATTTGCCAATAAATTAGAAACTATCTTATTATTAAACCGTAAAATCATGATTAATTTATTTTTTTCTTTATATATTTAGAGACTAAATTAAAGTTTTTATTCTTTTAAAATTAAATTAAAGCACATCCTATATTCAAGAATTAAATTAATGGTTTCTCTTTTAGATAAATGAAAAATAAAAATTTTAGAAATTGGAGTGATAGTGTAATTTAAGAAAAATGGTGTATGTGAAAGTAATTTATTCTACATGGTTCTATAGATATATTATATACGCCGTGCCAGTTTGGTTAAACTTTGAATTGACTGCCACTTGTTTATTTATTGAGGAAAATAGTTAGTTAATAAAATGGTACCGTGAAAACTGAAAGGTTTTATATATACATATAAAATTGCTACAAGACAATAAAGAATAAAAAAAATCTCTCTATCACTCTCCCTATCTATGTATCTGTATATAGTTAAATTATAGATATTTAAAGAATAAAAAATTAAAATTGAAAAAAAAATGTAATAACCAACATGACATATTTTACAAAATATAAAAAATATAATTATAATTAAATAGAGGTGCAAAGGAGTGAAGAGAGTAATTTTGGAATGTACATTCCAAAATAAAGATGGTTCAGAATGGAAATTCAGAAAAAGTAATAAAAGCAACTTCTAACATGCATGCAATCTGAAACAATTTTTTAACTTTTGAGGATGGTTTCAAAATGCATTTTCTCCGCAAAGTGAATAATACAGAATTGGTTTAAACTATTTTTCATTATTTATTGTGAAACATCTTATAATGAGATTTATAGTTTAAAATCTCCCCTAAGATGTTTCAATCAATCATTTAGCCTATCAGACCTTGTCTCCATTCCGATCTATCCACAATTATTATTTACCATTCAATTAAACTCATTACTGTGTTTATATGTCTGTTCAATTGAATTGAATAGAAATGATGACCGAGAAAGAAGTATATGGTTAGGTTACCTGGAAAACAGAGAAAGAAGCCACATAATCTCTTCGGTGGTTTCGAAATTTTCGATAAAACTTATCCATTCCTTTGAGAGAGGATGCATTTCAAAATGTTTTTCGGAGCTATTTATTACTTTCCGTAACATCCTAATCCTATCCTTATAACTTTTGTTTTGGAGCTACTTTACTCATTCCCTTGCACCCCCATTTTATAAGCAAAAGAAGATATAATGGATAGATTAAGATTTAGGGTATATGAAAGGCAAGATAATATTATACAAGTTAATATCATCAATTTATATATTCATTTGACGTAATTTGCTAATGAACTTGTACAAACATACATTTTGGATATTAAGAAAAGGGGCTTATAATAATGACAACCCTCATTGCACACTAACTGACTATTAACCAAGGATTTTTAATTTAAATATTTTTAGGAAAAAAAAAAATAGACAAACTACCCGATGAACACAGAAAATGTACTCGGAAGCCCCATATCAAGATAGATATAATGGAGAAGAACTTGGGAGTCAGCAGGGATATATATGTCAAGGCTTCTCCTATCATTGTAATTTCTTCAACCTGTTTGTTTGAACCATTAAATAGTCAATTTCATTTCCAAATCTTAACAGATTTGTCATGACTGGCAGAAGCAACCATCCCTGTCACTGGTGATTGAGCTAGCGCAGATATCACACACTCATGAGCTGAAATTGTCATACATCTATTCTCAACCATGTTCCATAGCTCCAATGACTGCAAAGTATCAATCAATCAGAGCATATAATTTAAAAAAATTTTACAATACACTAGATAATAACAAAAATTCAGGAAAATAAACAACAACATATTTCAAATCAAGAGCATATAAATTCATGTTTATAATTCAAAAATAATTAAGAAATATTTAAAATTTTAATTTTTAAAATAATAGTTTATTTTACTTTTAACATATTGAATAGTTCTACAAAATATATTTTTTTATAATTTTTTAAGAATTCTCATAATAACTTCCTGATAATAATAAGAATATTAAAAAAAAATCATTAATATATTCTATTAATTATTTTCAACCATTTCTTTAATTTTAATGTATATTTGAATGACATTTAAGAAAAAAAGTTTTAAAATGTGAAAGTATGCAAGAAAGTGACACGTAAAAATTAATTAAGAAGTCTTCTTTAATACTAACAAGAATTTTATCATTAAAATAATTTTTATATTATTTAATGGAAATTTTAATAAAATTATTAAATTATATAAATCAAACTTCATAGTTTAAAAAGACTTTAAAAACAAAATCAATTAGAAAAGTTAATTTATATGCAATGCAAATTACTATCACGTTAGAAAGATATCACCTAAACACAAGACTCGATGCTCAAAAAGTTAAACTATACGGTGAAGCATGGAAAGCATTGACAATGCAGCAAAAAATTGTGTGAAAGTTTTGCTACTTGAAACTGATAAAACAAAATGAACACCTATATTTAAATAAAATTGAAAATCGGCATAAGCATGAAAACAGTCCAATTAAATAACATCAAGGACTGGTATGAAATAATTGGATTTTTTTTATCAGCCTTAAAAGTTTAACCCATCCTTCTTTTATCACCAACAAATTTTCATTGGTGATTGGTCCACCAGTCTCCATCATGAAATCCTCATTTCTCACAAACTTATCAAAGCTTAATGCCTTTCAATTTAGTTCTCACAATTTGATAACCCGAAAGAAAATTACACTAATATTCTACATCGTAAGAAGACAAAGTTTGTTGTACATGCAATGCAAATTAAATCACTGTCCCGTAAGAAAAATATCAGCTAAACAACACTCAATGCCCAAAAAGTAAAAGAAAATGGTCACGGATGGAAAGCATAAGGGCAACAAAGCCAACAATGCAATTTTGTGTGATAGTTTTTCTACTTGAAGTACAAATAAAATGAATGGACTCTGTCTAAGTAAAATTAAAAAATGGAACTAGACATGAAATAAGTCCAATTAAATGGATATTAAGTAGTTTGAACTGATGTCATCATGGACTCGCGAGATAATTGGATTGTTTTATCAGCCTTGAAATAGTTTAATCTATACTTCATTTTTAGGCTGTTGCTTTCACTCCATGTATTTTCATCTTACGTATTCATCCAAAAAGACAATATTATTACCTCTATGGTAAGATAGGTTCCAGATGGAAGATTTCCAAAATCAGCTTTCCGAAAGTATTTTGAATTAATCTTTCCAAAAATTTTCCAAAAACATTCCAGAATCAACTATCTGATAATATTTCAGATTAACCTTTTTGAAAGTTTTTCGAAAGCATTATAGATTTCGCTTTCCAAATATTTCGGATTAATCTTTTCAAAATGAAAAACTTATGTTTCAGATTTCATAACCTTAAACTTAAATCATACATATGAAAAATCATTTCCATTCATCCGAAACTTTTCCGGATAAAATCCAGAAGCTTGGCCCAATCTCTATCACATATTCCTATTTTTTTCACAAACCTAACTGTAATGCTGTTGAATTTAATTTTCACATCTTGATAACCAAAAAAAATGGCTTAGAATCATCTGTAAGCGCGCCAAGTATGTTGTAAACAAAACCAAGACTACAATGTTTATTTTTTAATTATTGAATAAGGATTTTATTAAATAATTTTTATATAATTATTTAATATATTTCTATTATTTAGTGGAAATCAAAGTAAAATTATTAATTTATATAAATTACACTTAATATTTAATAAAATCAACTAGAAAAGTTAATTTATATGGAATGCAAATCACTGTGACAAAAGAATATCACCTAAAGACACACTCAATGCCAAAAAGGTAAACTAAAGGTGAAGGATGAAAAACATATGGGTAACAACTGAGCTGCCAACAATGCAAATAGTGTGTGACTATTTTTCTACTTCAAGCTGTTTAAATAAAACAAAATGGAGTCTATATTTAAATGAAATTCCAAAATGGACCTAGAAATGAAAATCAGCCCAATTAAATGAATTTAAATTGGTTTGGACCGATGTTGTTATGGAGAGATAATTGAATTTTTTTTATCCGCCTCAGAACAGTTTAACCTTCTTTTTTTTTTTTTTCAATGCTCATGAAATTAGTTCTTACAGCTTGATAACCCTGAAAATAAACTTATTCATATCCTACATAGTACACATACAAACACATAAGGAAGGATTACTCGAAGAGTAACTATACTAGAGTTAGCTTTAATCTTCGCCTTTTATTTTTTTCTTAATCTATTTTTTATTTTTTCTTAATCTAATGGTTTTAAGGAGTAATCACTTTAAATAGTTTGATTAAGAAAAATAAAAAATGATGGGCAGAGATGAGAAATAAACAATAGAACATGCGAAAAGGAATAGCAAATAATAAAGTTTCATATGCACATATACCTGGTATCCTCCAATAACCAAGAGAGTTGAGTAGCTTGGGTGAAAAACACAAGAATGATACATGTTTCCACTGGAATTAAGTTCATGTATGCACTCCCCAGATGTAATTGACCACACTTTGACAGATTCTTGACTCACAGATGCCAAGTAATCTCCAGTTGTATCCCAACAGACACAATGTACGTCTGCAGAGTGTCCCTAGAAATGCATTAAATTGTAATTATTACAATATATTATCATAAATAAAATAAGGCAGAATAATTTTATTATTTTGCTTAGATTTCTGAAGTTTTGTGTCCATGTTAACACCTGAAATGTGTGCATCTGCCTGTCAGTCTCAACATCAAAGAGAGACACAATACTTCCACTTGCTGCAGCCAGAAGGTGGCCAACCCTAGGCTGAAACCTCACCTGGGTAGATCCTCCCTGCTTGATTAATTTAATATCGTTTAAAATTGAATATAAGTAAAATTCATAATATCTAGATGACTAGAGTAAAGTTTGTATGTGACCTTAAAAACGCGGGTACAAGAATATTGGCTAATATTCCAGAATCGAATCTCACTGTTATTATCACATGAACAGAAAATATCATTTTTCTTTGGGTGAAAATCAAGGGACACCACTTGTGAAGTATGACCACTAAATGCCTGTAAACAAAAGGTTGGCTGCAAAAGTAATAGTCAAAGGTAAGTCCAGTAGCAAGTAAACCAATACTTAAAGCAGAAACTGATGTTTTCGGTGCAAGGGCTATATAAGATTTCACACCTAATTTTCATGTACAGGTTAAAAGCACCAAAAGATAAAACTTGAAAATAGAAACAATACATTTCACATAGAGCAACACATCTTCAAAACAAGTTTTATCCACAGGGTAAAAAATAAAATTTCTAACGTAAGGCCACTTAATCATACAACAATAACAATAATTAAAGCAGATCCTATTAAGTCGTTAGTGCTTATTTTTTTGAACTAGGGGTTCAAACTTCAATCTTTTGGAAAGCTGGAGACCATATGAATAAACCATTAATCTGATTGCCAAAGAGTTCTAACTTCCAAATATAACTTTCCAACAAATACCAGGGGTTCTAAAGTTTAGCAATCATTGGTCAAGAAAGAGATATTTTACTGAAAGCTGTGTATCTTGACTCGCACACATGTATCTTTTATTTAGTTATTTATAGTATAATTAGAATCAATCAATGAGCTCATTAGCAACCAATTTTAGTGGTCCCCATATTTACAATCCACTATCTATTTATAAATGTGCAAAATATGTTAATATTTTAACTACTGATATATAGGATCGGGTCCATAATACTGGACACAAGAACTAATGAATTATATTTTGCTTGAATGTTTGGAGGCTTGGAGCCAGGCTAATGGACAGATAATTAAAATCAAGGCTTTCATACAATCTCTTTTAGTTGTTGACTCTGAAACCTGAAGATAAACAACCCTTTCCATGACATAAAATGATATAGAGTGTTTGTAACTTTTGAGAGGAAGAAAATAAAGAACATACGTTGAAAATCTAAAGTGCAAGATGGACTCAATTGAAAAAATAACAGTGAATACAATATAAAGATATAATTATTATAAGGGAAGTGTCTATTTATTTCAAAAGTATTATTAAACAACAATGAAGAACACTTTAAGCAAATTGAATCTGATGAACTCAATTGTTAGATTAAGAGTTTTAAGTGGATCAAGTGTAAAAAGTTTAAAAAAATAAAAAAACTTGCGGATGTTTTATCAATTAACCTCTTAATCGATACTTCACTGTTTAAAATATAAGTTAAAGTCAGTTGCAAGGTTAGATTCCAACAAATGTTTAATTTATCTAAAATTTTGTTATCATCAAAAGATTCACATTGTACAAAAAACAAAATTATTACGTAAACATTCATGACATACACTTTTCGTGGAGTAAATGAATTCTTTCTTTTTTCCAAAGTGATGTATAACTATATTTTCACGTACCTAGACATATTATGGTTTCAAACAGTAACCAAAACTATAGTCTCCATTGACAGGGCATTACGTTTAACAGAAAGCAGATCTTATTCTCAAACCAAGGACTGGTTAGGTTTGCAGTCAAAAAAGAATAACTAGTAAAAAGAAATTTACATTTGAAGCATCCCACAGCCGAACAGTTGAATCAAATGAAGAAGTTGCCAGCTCAGTTGAATTTGGTCTGAAGCGAACATCAGTAATGATCAGACTGTGTTCCTCCGGAGTACTTTCTGTATCCAGTGTCTCCATGTTCCACAGAACAACCTAATGACAAGAAAAGGATAAGCATCCATATCTTTAACACAATAAGCGTCAGTCCACTAAGGCGAAAAATAAGGGTGAAAAAATATGGATTTGTTATAGACTTTAATAATAAAAGAGTATTAAAAACTGACTCATGAATCTTTCCCACCCATTTTAAATTTATACCATGTTCAGATAAACAAGCAAAACATGCCAACATAGGAAAACCAGACAGAGAGAACAAAATCATGATTTTCGTGCAATTAAATTCAAACACTTATTTGTCCCACTCAACATAGCCGCCTTCTTTGGAGTAACCTTTTCCAGATTTTTAAAAGTACTAGGTGTTTTCCTCTCTATTTTTAAGAGTTTCTACTGATTTGTTTTAAAAGTTTTGGCGACACTAGGGAGGCCAAAATATATTGATGCATTGAACCTTTGCTATAATGTGGTGGATTTGGTGAGAGGCTCAATACATCCTGAGACTACCTTGTTCTTCATCCCGAGGAAAAAAATTTAAAATTCATCAAATAATTTATAATAATTAATTAATCTTGTTAAGTTTTAAAATACAGAAAAAAAGAAATATATTTAATTTTACATTTCACCAGAAGAAATATAATTGATTATGCTGGTGTCTTGTAACTATTTGAAGCTCTGCTATTTCTTTAAAGCTGTTAAGTTAAAGAATGAAATATGCTCTACCTTTTTGTCATGTCCAGCACTAGCTAATAATTTCCCATCTGAAGAGAAATGACAGCAAACAACTTTGCTGTTGCTTTTGCGTATAGAACTAACTTCGCTAAAGGAAAAGCCTGAAACAGGAAGCAAGAAAGGCAGCAGCAACCTGGTCAACTTGAATGGTAACAATTCACAGATGCCTAAGAACATGAGATTACCTTTTGAAGCATCAGTAGCATGCTCAGAAGGGTTCCGTTTCAACGTGCCAAACAAGTCCCTTCCATCACCATCATCCTGTGAGAGAAATGATTCCACATTATCCTCTAAGGAACCAACATCTCCAAAATGTTCCATGTCATCCTGCAACTAGAAGGAATCAAATTATTAAGATTCAAGAACTATGATCTGTAACTTGAAGACTCAGCAGATGATATACATTAGTGACACATAATATTCTAATGATACACTGCAAAAGTTTAAAATTACATACACAATACAAAAATTAGTAATACAATTATTATAATTCTTGTCCTGAGAATGAACGAAAGCAAATGCAGTCCACACAATAATTATGAGGTTCAAAATCGACCATATGGGAATCATAAGGGTAAATATTATATAAAGCAAGTATCTTTTTTCATCAACTATAGTTCATTCTCAAGCTGTTCTAACATAATTTCTGTTCCAGTATATGCTCGATCACATCCAACTTAGTGCAGAGCATTTGAGCTGATTACAGGTGTATTCCAGGCTCAGTTTTGCGTATTTGGTTGGGTTCAGCTTCCTAGGATCTCACAGAGTATCCAAAAAACCAATCATGATGCACTAGTTTGTTAAATCAGAACATAATCTGATCTCCCTAGGAGGTAACAGTTTCTAAGAGAAAATATTCTGAGTACTAAATTATTAGCCAAATATGGAACAACACCTGTAGTCTCATAAGGGTACTTAAATAATTAAAATAAAAAAATACTATAGTGTTTTCTCACGATAAAATGCTTAATTTGGAAACAATATATGCAAGTGAAGTAGATTGCATGCTCCCCAGGTAATACAAGTTATAAATTTATCAATTTGATTTACCAGCTGATTTGTGGAAGATGCAAGACCACCAGTTCCATCAGTACCATACATCATCAAACCTTTAGATACGCCAGCAACATTCTGCAAGTTAACCGCCATAGCAACTCCATCACCGGGAGTATGAGTGGATGGAGTTGATGGCTGAGAATTAGAAGGGCCAAGTGTATTTCCTGTTCCAGTACTGTTTGCAGGTCCTGAAGATGTAGGCCCCTTCCTTTTCCGGTTATTCTAAAACATGGTTGGCAAATGATCATAACATGCAAGAGACCCTGCTAGCTTATATAACTTTGGTAAATAAAAAGTAAAAATATCTACTACTGATATCACATAAAAGCAAAACCTGCACCAATTGTTGTGGATGCAAAGGATCCTGCTGTTGCTGGGAGGTAGATTGTTGGATCTGTGGCATGTTGATCTGCATAAAAAAGTCAAACTAATTAACAAAGAGAAGAAATGAAATGTTTATTATAAAGCTGAAAAGGATTCTTGTATCTAACTTCCATAAACAAAATTTTCTATTTATGTAGAGTAACAAGCTAAAATATTAACAATTATGGGTTCCTTAAATATAAAATTCTTTAAATTTTCTCGTGTCTAGAGCATACCAGGAAGACAGAAACTCTGATTTGTTCTACAATTTGTCACTCCAGTAGTAAAGTGCAACTAATGGTTTCAATGGAATCTGTGTCATGCCATACAACATGACTACAAAGAATATTTATTTAATTTTCAGAAAAATGAATAATTGACTACTTTAGAAAACTATTTTCGCTAGTTATTTTAGGAAATATTTTGTAACAAAGTGTACACCTATAATTTGGCTCATTTGATTGTATTTTTTATTTTGATCAGAAATCCCATCAATCATGGGATAATATGAATCTAGGTTCTTTCTTTTTCTTTCAAGGTTTTTTCTGTATATAGCTAACTCATTTGTCTATTATCTGAATTGCCAATAATATTAAATATTTTTCAATTTCATAGATGGTCACAGCAGTTCAGCTCAGATATGGGACTGCATCAATTTTTATAGAAGCTACCTGAATGCCTTCTCAGACATACTATAACAAGAATTAGAATTTGAGTTTAGAGCCTAACTCAACACCACAAAAATCTCTTGTAATGTGAGAACTTCCCATGTTTTATAATCTCTCCTAAAGCCACATCTCTAACACTCGAGGTTGCAAATAACATAGAGGCCACAACTACGGTGAGCTAGGGGTAGGCTTTCCAACACTAAGAAAATCATCTCTGGTGAGCTAGGGGTAGGCTTTCCAACACTAAGAAAATCATCTCTAGTCAACACGGATTCTACCTTAATTGACTCATCTACCTCGGTCTATGTAGTGGTGAAAGCGATCAGTAGGGATGGGAATGGATTGGATTTTTTAAAATCCAACCATATTCATATCAAATCCAATAAAATAGATTGAATTTGAATCCAAATCCACTTAATTAGATAAAATTTATTTGATCACAAAAACTGTCTCAGCACCTTGGGACTGGTTATCTCCTTCCCTCTATATTGACTTTATGTTCCTTGGTCTCCCTTGAACTCATTAACCATTAGTTGTCTGACTCTTTTTTCATGATTTTGTCAGTTCATTCACTAAACACTCAGTTGGTACAGTGTCTAATTTGGAGTCAAAATATCACTACCTTTATTAATGACCATTCTAGTATGTGGTTTTTTAATGAATATTAAGCTGAGTTGTTTTCTATTTTTCTATCATTTTACATTAAAAAAACTAATTTTTGTTCCCATTTGCCTTTGCACAGTGACAATTCTTGTTAATATCTTCCTCAACTATTTTAAAATTTTATGGTCACAAATGACATTCTCCACCAAGCATGTACTTTAATGATTGTGCTCCGTTAGGAACCCAAAAATTGAAAAGGAAGAACAATTTTATCAACTAAAATAGGAGATAATCCTCCAAAGGCTTCCTCATTTTACAACAGAACCACTGCTATATTCCCACAAGGATTACAAATCAGAAATGCCCGCTCTACCTAAGTAATCTCCAATTTATACATATGATGAACCTGTCCAAATACATCCTCTGAATAACCTCTTTTCCTAACGATGAGGATAGATTATAAAAAAGATGAGGACAGAAAGAGATAAAAGGATAGCTAACTTATTCCTATTTTTCTTGATAATGGTAAATAAAAAGGAAAATTAACTTACTCCTATTTTCTAGGAAGTCTCCTAACATGTTTAGAAATCTTTTAACATCAACAATGAAAAGTATCATTCTTCAGAGGAGAGTAGAAAAGACTTTCTCATTGAGAAGTAGTACTATAATCTAGTCAATTGAGTATATAGTTGTGCATATGAAGACAGATATACAGATTATCTTTATTTCTATTTTCTAGGAAGTCTCCTAACATGTTTAGACATCTTGTAACATCAATAATGACAGGTATTATTCTTTAGAGGAGAGTAGAAAATACATTCTCATTAAGAAGTACTATTATCTAATGAATTAAGCATATAGTTGTGCATATGAAGACAGTTATGCAGATCATCCATAAAAACATTAATGCTCTAGCCCACATTAGCATAAAGAAAACTCTTTGATTTAAATCATGTAAACTGCTCTAGGTTTATCACATTCATGTAACATGAAATCATGAATGTAAAATAAGTGTTACCTTAGATGAAGTAGATTGCATTGGAGAGCCTATTGATCCATCATTTGCAATTGATTGACCCTCTTTAGCATTCAAACTTCCCCTAGTTAATCCCCTTAATCTTTGTGGATCCATATCTCCATAAACTGGTGAATTGCCAATGTTTCCTTGTGCCTGTACCTGTGCAAGGAGCTGTTGTTGTTGTTGTTGCGGTAAAAGCTGAAACTGATTTGTGCTCTGAAGGAGAGGCTTCTGAACTGGTGCTCCAAAACCAGGACGAATTTGATCAATGCCCTATATCGTATTACAATTCGTTTAAATTGGATCACATATCTAAACAAAAAGTGAATTCAAGGTTCATAGCAGAGCTTACAGTCAAAGGCCATCCTTTCAACGTGAGACTACCAACTCCAGCATTTAATCCTGAGATGGGAGATGAAAGAGAATATTGAAATCAAGCAATATAATTAGCCAAAGCGAATACATAACAGTTATATGAACTTCGTAAAATATTATATAAGTAAATGATTCTGAAAAACTTTATGAAAAATGAACCAGTGCAGAAACCCCAAACAGTGAAAAGCATAATAAACTAAAGTATCATACAAGATCGTGAAAAGCATATAAGTCTAGGTAAATTGGTGAAGCTTCCATAGACTCAATCATAAACTCCTAAGATTACAAGTTAACCCAATATAAAAACTAATATTAAAAAACAAAACTTCAAAATGACATATAGGCATAATATAGTACTCTTAACACATCAACAATTCAACATTTCAACTTCCGTACTAGAGCAAAGTAACAAATCACAATAATAAAGTGTGATAATACATTAGTACTAAATAAATCAAACTACATAAATGAGCAAATCACACATAAATTCATAAAGGCATAGGTCCTCAAAGTGAAAAGATTTTGAAAAAACATTAATTTCTTCCAATCATTCGAGACAGTAAAATGTTACATTTATGTTGTCTTTAAAAATCATGCATGAGCAACCTAAAACAACGTTACTGCGGGGTCATTGGGAGACAAAAATTACATTTGATTAGAAACTTGAGAACTCGCACTTGACTCCATAGTTTATGTGATTTTACATTAGTCTAGTTCACCTGAGTTTATCCAAAGCAGAGGTTGACATTGAGTTAACTTATTTTCTCCAACTAGACTCGCAAACTTGTAAGAGTCTTAGTTAATTAGAGAGTTTGATAATGGTAACCAAGTTTTGTTGCCTGTTTTACACGATATAAAATGGTGGAAATTTAATCTATTTTAATTTATCCCATCTTTAAATTGTTTTTCTCTTGTGCTGATTTTACACCTGAATTTGCAATTCCAGGCTTTGACTGCATTCCTCCCTGCCCGTAAATTGATGAGGGGTCCATTGGCAAGGATCTCTGCATGGAACCCATGTTGACTTCACCTTTGATATCCTGCTGTGGAAAAAATGGAAATCAGCATCGGAATCTATAGAGAGAAGAAAGGAAGAACGAAGGAAGAGAATTCAAATGAAGACTGAACAGTAGAAGCATATACAGGGGTTTGCTGAGTTCGAGCCTGGATTTGCTGCAAAGCTGCGGTCACACTTCCTGAATTTCCTTGAACCATCTGACTGTTTGGGAAAAAGGCACAAAATTAGTAAACATGTACAAGAAGATTACATTTCCAGTTAAACAAAAAGTTACCAATGATATTACCCAGGATGATTTGTTGATTTTAAAAGGGCCATTCTAGCATCTAAAAGGGGTTGGGATGTTTCTGTATCCATGGGGTTAGAGTGCTTCATCCGTTCCTCATACATTTTTGCAGCCAAAGCGCTTGCAGTAGATTGCCCAAGCACTCCTTCTGTGGTGATAGTATTTACAGGACCTCCAAGAGGAGGATGATTAGAATCCCTTCTTTGAAGTTGAGCTTGACGAATTAATTGCAACTGCTGCATTTGCAGTTGATGTTGTTCTTTAACTTTAATCTGCTGTGCCTGCAAGTCACCAATAAAGGAGAGGCAATTACTCTAACTGTTATGAATAATATCAATAATCTACCAATTAGATGAAGCTCATGAATGATTTTATATCTACAAAACAAAAGGAAGCAAAGGAGGTACCTCCAAATATGCTGCAGCAGTCTCTGAATGTTTCTCATTTGTCCTCGCAATAAAAATATCCCAGAAAACAGACCACCACTCAAAAAGAAAACCTCCAGGAGCATCGATTGCTGCAATTGCAGAGTGTTAGCTATAATCAATCGCTGTATAGCTACCCTAAAAACATCCACCCAGTACACAAGCACTATAGCTATTGTTGGAATCAGGGTATCCAACAATGTCACAAGTAGAGGTTAGGCACAAACTAATTCTTAATAAAAATAACTAAACAAGGGAAAAAAAAAGGTAATTAAAAGCATTAAACCACTACATTCATTCGCTCTTACCAACTGGATCAGGAGAAACTTTCCCTTCTGTCATGAATGCTTTAGCAGTGTTATGCAACTTCTTTTTCACCAAATAATCATAAATATAAACATCAAGCCTAGCAGCAAAAACAAAAAACACGATATAAACAGAAAGAAGGCAAACTAGACATCAAAAACCACTAAATGCAATCAGTCGCGCGGATCCGTCAACTCAATGGCTCTATCAAGCATAACCTACTTTACTCACATCTTATCTGCTTCCCAATTACTCTGCGCCATGATATCCCGTTCAGAAGCAAAATTAACTGTCAAATTTGACAATATATCAAACAAAATAAATTCAACAAAGTCTCAAAGCAAACAAAAGCAAAATTAACTGAATCACAAAAAATCAAAGAATAACAGAATGCACGTGAATCGCGAGAAACCGACCTCAAAACGCAACAAATAGATGGATCAAACTCGTACATTACCAATCCGAGACTGCATGCACCAACGATCACCGGCTAAGAAGAATTGCGCTCAATTTCTGAAACCTTGAACCCTCAGCAGTCGTGTCCGATTCAAGGAAACGAAGCCACTCACAAAAATCACGAAAATTCTACACCTGCTGTCACTGAATCGCGGAGAGAGAGATCGAAAGCAAAGAGAAGAGAAGAGAAAGGGAATTAGGGTTCATGAAGCAGTGACAGTGAGGAGTAGTCGAGTCCGAGCTATGAACTGGTTCCGACAAGCCTTTCAACCATGAGTTATGGTGAAAGATGAAAGAGTTTGAATAAACGAAGCTCCGAAGCTGAGGCTTGTCAACAAACCGAAGCTGAGTAGGAGGTTCGGACTTAGCGAGCATCCGTACTGAGTATTGATTAGTATACAGCTTAGAAATTGTAATTTGACAAAACTTTTAGATTTTGCATCTCAACCGTTGATAGGTTGGACGAACACGTGTACAGGTGATATTAGAAGTCGGTGGTTCCCATGCACTATGAAGTATAAGTATCACCATGTATAATACAGACCTCATGAATCAGGTTCGTCAAAGGGGTTAAAAGTGAGCAATCCTACTCACACGGTTAGTTCATCTTAGCTGCCTCGAAAATACAGAAGTTTAACTAGATTTACTTCGTGAATCAAAAATTTCACACTCAATTCATCATGGATTAGTAATTTAGATGAATTGAATTACTAATTATATATATATATATATATATATATATATATATATATATATATACTAAAATACAAAGATGCCATTACACAATAAATATTATAATATAATTGAGATATAATAAATATTATAGTATTATTGAAATATAATGACATGATACCGTGATTACATGATAAACGTTATGTTACAATTAAAATGTGATATAAAAATGTTGTAAACTACGTTATAAACATTATAATATCATAAATACGTAATACAATTAAATTAAAATATAACGGTGTGACAAATACAATAAATACGGTGAGTAGTAATACAACGGACAGATAACAAATAACTCAAATGTAACCATAAATATAAGAATGAATTGATGATAAATTTAAATATGAGAGTTTAAATTGTAATAACCATATAAAATAAAAATTAAAAAAAATATCAATTAAAATTATTAAATTATTATAATTATTTTTAATATTTAAAATAAATGATGTTATTATAATTTAAATTAAACTCGCTTAATCATTGCGTTAAGTAAATCAGATCAATTTTAACTCATTATTAATAAAAATGAAAAAAATTAAATTTAACTTAAACTCATAATGAACCAGATTACCGTGTTACAACCAATATTCATCCCTCCAGTTACACCTAAGTTTTGAATTCTAGCTGTCATAACCTACTGCCCAAGTAAACGACCTGATGAACCAATTCAATTAATATTTAATCTTAAATTCTGTTATAAAGAATTAAAAATTTTACATAATAAATTAAATAATTCAAAATACCATATCAATTGATTTTTAATAATTTGAAAATTTTCAAGTTTAATTTTTCTTTTATTTTTTAGTGTGAGAATGAACTTTGTTCAACTTTTGATAATGATATTAAAACAAAAGAGGAGACTATAAAAAAAAGTACAATTATGCACAATATTAAAATATATACACTTAAGTACACCTGTTACAAACTGTATCCAATTATGAAATGGGAACCAAAAAAAAAAAAAGATAAATTCATCTGAATAAAAAGTAAGCAAATTTGTAGTGAATTAATGGCTGCAAGATGCAGATATTCAAACAAAAAATGGGTTTATTTGACAAAGGTCAAATGGGCAAAGAAACACGCCATGTATGTAAAGGATCTTGGGTTTCAGCTTCAGCAATTTTCTGCTGGAAGTATTTGATCCATGACCATATATTTTCATCTCTTTGTCTGCAAACCAATGTCATTTCTGAGAACCACCACCTTCCATATTTTTCAGAAACTTGAGAGATTTGGTTTTCTGATTCAAATGAGAACTCTTTGTCCAAACGAGTGAATGTATTTAACAACATCAAATTTCTCTGCTACAACTTCAAGTAGCTGCATGTTTTCTGAATTCACTGTTCTTTTATTCAAGCCTTATTCACTCCCTATCCCTTTCTCTCACTACTTTCTATCCATTTTGTATCTCATTGTTTTACACACTGTTGATGAATTCAGAGGTGAAGACCTTATTTTTGAATAGTGAGAAAGATTGACCGAAAACTGAGGCAAAAATGACGATTGTATCTGCTTTCACAGGCAACATGAAGGTGATTAAGTTTTGGTAGCGTGTGTAAGTAGCTCTTTAGACTATATAAATTTGTAGTGTTTCTTACCCTTTTCCCAAGAGGTGGAACTACTGAGTGAAATTTTTATTTTTATGGTAATTTTAGCCTGTTTTATTTCAGATCACTCTGTATCATTCTACCCAAAATTAGGGAATTAGATATCCGAGCGTAGCCTTTGTGGTGAGGTATGTGTAGTTTTACCACTCGTAGCACAAGAATAAAATGTGAGAAAGTAGGTTAATGAAATGCTTTGCAAACATTCAGCTTATTGGGCTTGCATATATCATGTATGATTAGGACGATACAAAAAAATTTCTGAAGATAAAGTATTCTTATTATTTGTCATAATTAAAATCAGTATTCTTATTATTTGTCATAATTAAAATCAGGATGGTGTATTTACATACTCCTCTTAATATTTTAGAAACCAAAACATTATTTCTCCATAATTGAAAACATTTTATAATAATGGTATTGATAACAACAGTTACAAAACATTCACCAGTTACCTAACCTCCCAACTCTCAACTCTCATCAAGCTAATTATGTGTCCTTATTTTTTTAGTACTTCGAGTTCCTTTCATCTTTTATCTCGATCAGTCTTTTGCAGTTTTCAAATAATATAGTAGGAAGTGACTTCGTAAAAATATCACACCAACTTGATCTCAACTCGCCACATATATAAATTACACATTCTCTTCCTCCACATGTTCTCATATGAAGTAAAAATGCACATCAATATGTTTGTTTCTTTTATGATTGATCGGATTCTTAGTCAGTTCAATGACAGACTTGTTATCAACTTGGATTACAGTTGCACCAAATTGTTTCTCATCCACCAAGCTTAGCAAATTTATGAGCCACATTGCATAACACACACTTCACAATGTTGTTAAGTACTCACACGTTAATAACGTTACTATGGGTTATTTCTTCCCAAGTCAAATAAACGTTGTTACCCATGAAGAATACATATCATGATGTACTTTTTCGATCATCTATGTCTCCACACCAATCACTATTTGAGTACCCTACAAGTTAGTAATTTTTCAACCTCTTCGTCCCTGGTTCCATGGAGGTTGATACTGAATTGCAGTCGGTCATCTTGAACTTATTTAGAATCTCCTTTGCATATACCTTTTGGCACATAAATATCTCTGACTCCTCCTGTCTTACTTCTAGACTAAGAAAGAACTTCATCATTCTAAGACTGGTCATCTCAAATTCAACTGTCATTGCTTGCTTAAATTCTTGAATCATTCTAGGATTATTTCATATAAAAATGAGATCATCGACATATAGAACAACAAACATTGCATTGTCTCCATTCTTCTTCACATATAGATCATGTTCACAGGGACATTGTATAAATTCGTTCTCCTTCAAGTAAGTGTCTATCCAGTCATTCCAAGCCCGAGGAGCTTACTTTAACCCATAAAGAGTCTTCTTCAGTCGTAACACTTTCTCCTCCTCGTCCTTCTTCACATATCTAAGTGGTTGTTCAACGTAATCTTCTCCTTGAGCACACCATTCAAGAATGCTGACTTGACATGCATATGCATGATTGGTCATTTGTATTGTGCTACTAAAGAGATCATTAGCAGAACAATCTTCATTCTCGCTATCGGGGCAAACATCTCCACATAGTCAATATCTTCCTTTTGCTTGTATCCTTTGTTGAGCTTTGTACCTATCTATCTTTTCTTGGCATTGAGTTTTTTCTTGAACACCCACTTTACGATAATAGGTCAAACATAGTTCGGTAGCTCAATCATTGTCCAAGTGTCATTCTGATCTGTGGCTTAGATCCCATCATCCATGGCAGTTCACCATTTCTTATCACGCACGACCTCCTCAAATATGATGTCCTCGAAATCTGCCAAAAGACAAATATATGAACATCATTAGTTGCATCATATAAGTCTCGCAAGCTCCGTATTTTAGATTGTGGTTCATGTTCCTCCCCGCCTTTCGTGTTGTCAATAATTGGTGGTGCAGATGGTGCAACAGCTTGGCCTTCTTCTGAACTTGCTACTACATGTGGGATAGAAGTTCGGTCTCCTTCCAATTATCGCTAGTTTCACTCAATTGCTTCATCAAATCGAGCATCCCGTCTTACAACTATCTTTTTGCTTATCGGATCCTATAAGCTTTTGATGCTTCCTCATAACTGATGAACACATACTTCTTACCCGTGTCTTCAAGTTTAGTTTGATGCTAAGACAGAACTACTCCATAGGCCAAACATCCTAACACTTTGAGATGAGACATAGTCGATTTCTGACCGCTTCATGCCTCTTATGGTGTTTCACCATCTAGCTTTGCATGCGGACACCTATTCTACACGTAGATAGTGCACTGTACCACATTGATCCAAAACACTTTTAGCATATTCTTAGACTTCAACATAGCTCGTACAATGTCAAAAACCATTTGGTTTTTTCTCTTAGCCACACCATTTTGTTGTGGTGAGTATGAGATTGTTAGGAATCTCCTTATTCCTTCATCTTCACAATACTTCATGAGAGCATCGACATAAATTTTCTTCCACTATTAGATCGGACTAATCGGATATGTCACCCGGTCATATTCTCAAATTAAACTTTTTAAACATTTCAAACATTTGGATTTCTCTTTCAGCAAGTACACACATGTCTTTCTATAAAAATCATCAATAACTATCATAAAATATTTCTTACCACCGAATGAATCAAGGATAAACAGTCCACACAGATCGATACAAATCAGTTCAATTTATTTACTTGCTCGATATTCAGCATTTCTCAGAAAAGGAGTCCTCACCAATTCTCAGAAGAGGAGTCCTCACCAATTTTTCGAGAACTTCACATAATTTTTTCCCACTCTCCAAACTCGGTAATTTGAACACCATACTTTTGTTCGACTTCCCGGCTAGCCCTCCAAAACTCAAGTGGTCAAATTGATGATATCAAATCAACGTTGTGTACTCCACGTTAAGTTTCAAACACTTCTCATGAATACATTTCAATTGCAACTTATGCATCTTGTTATTCTTCATCTCAACCTGAGTAATCAGTCTTCCAAGTTTGTCCCTCAACTGGAGCACTTAGTCTTTCATGAAAATTGTGTATCTCTTCTCCATGAATTATTTCATACTCAAAATGTTACTTTTGAAATTTGAAACAAAATACACATCTTGGATCGTTATAACCAGCTCATCCTTCTATAAATAGTCTGTTATGCATCAGCCTTTTACCAAGACTCTCGAAGCGTCTCCAAACAAAACAATATCGACATTCGTCTTCTTTAACTATTTGAAAAGATGTTCATTACCATACATGTGATTACTCGCCCATGTATCTAAATATCATACCGATGGTATCTTCCCAAACTCCACCACTGTAATCAACTCTCAAGTGAAAGATCGAATGTAGATCAGTTATCATGAGCGTTGGTTATTCTTGTCCTTCTGTGAGATAGGTCGCATCCATCTTTAGCATTCTTTAGCAAAATGCCCCTCCTTTCTATAGTTAAAACATTTTTCCGAATAGAAATCTTTCACATAATGGTCATACTTGTCACACTTGAAACACTCAACATTTGAGTGATTTGACGACCAACCTCTTTTTGGTCAACGTCCTTTTCCTTGCCAGTTTTGCTGAACTTCTTCTTTCTTGTCACCTCGATCACCTCGGGTCCGACCACCATGTCCTCGTCCCCTTCATCTATTCTTCTGATAATAGAGCGTCTTCTCCTTAGTCTAGAGCAATTCACAATCGTCTCCTCCTTCTTCTTTTTCATTCGGTGCTCACAGGCTTCAATGGAACAAACCAACTCTTTTATTATAAGATCGGACAAGTTCTTTGTTTGCTTTATCGCACACCTTACATTCTCAAAGTATACTCTTCATCTCGCTATGTAGTGTTTGTCGCCAAATTCGTGTGACTCGGTCATCTTGCTTATGCTCTTTTTCCAACTTGTTCCACGTGTTGGATATCGACGTAATTCCTACAATCTTCTCAAAATCAAAATCTTCTATAACTCAAAACAATAAAAATAGAGTTGCATTATTCTTTGATCATTTTTCTTTAAATCTTTTGAGTACGTTGGACGACAACCTTTTAGTGGGTTTCAAGTTCTTCATAGTCTTCTTCTACTATATCCCAATAATTTTGGACTATGAGCAAAATCTTCATCTGAATACTCCATCTATCATAATTGGCATCCTTCATCAGTTGAAGTATAACTGCAACAATATTCGTCAGACTAACAATTCTTACTTTTTTTCTTAACATTCAAAAAACAACTTGAGCTCTTCCGAGCTCTGATACTAATTTGATAATAAAGAATTTGTAAAGACGAAATATTATTGATTCTTTGTAGTACTCCAACCAGGATTAGAATTGTGTATTTAAACACTTGCAAAAACTCTCTAGAAATTAAAATATTAATTTTCTGAGAATCTAAAATGTTGGTCTTTTAAAAGTTATAAATGTTTCAATAAATGCTTCAAAGCTAATTAACTTATGATTGAAAGTGAAACAATGCGAGGAGTTATTAATGGAATTAGACAAGTCAATTTCTTTGAGGTTGCATTTGATAACCATCCAGAATGAAAATTGATCTTTTTCAATATCTACTTATAAAACCATCTAGGGGATCATATGTTTGATTTAAATTATGGTGAGCTAATATCACTGATCAGCAAATGCTAGTTGAGATCATGCTGAAGGTTAGCGAAGCTTCTTACTCATACACTTGCGATTGGCATTTTGTAGCGCGGTCGATTGCAGAGAAGTTTGCATATTTGAAATCTTGAGACTATTTCGCTAATACAAATGTTCCTTTTATGTAGGTCCTTGGGAGGTTAGAATGAACTTACACACACCCCTCATCGTGATGATGGAGATATGTGCATTGTTCTTAATGCAAAGGATGTTTGTGTGACTGGGAGAAAACTCACAGGCTTCTCCTGTGAAATAAATGGTTTTTTCTGGTTAAGATGGCATGCCAATCTTCTATGAAATTCTTCCAATTTTACTGTCATTGTTACTGGTTATTTGATTTCTAATGATTACAAAGAGATCGAGGAATATTATTTTCTGTACTCTAAAAATTGAATACAATTAGGTATTCATAGATTAATAAATGGACTTTTTATTTTAATTTCTCAAATTTATCTACTTAAACAAAATATACAAACTAACATAAATATATAACTTAAATAAAATATTGGATCCAAATGCTACTTAGTCTCCAATATTATCCTGTCTATTAAAGTCATGATATGTAGGTATATTGGCCACCTCAAGGAAAGGCTCTAGCCAAAGATCCTGCTGAAGTGATTCCGAAAGCTGTTTTGCGTATGCTGCCCAGAAACAAACTACGTGATGTAAGTGATAATTTGATCAATGATTTTGGGAATTTTAAGCTCAATAAGAAATTGTATTACTATAGTGTCCAGTAAGAGGTTATTTTATTGTGCCATGAATGACCAAGAGAAGGAGGAAGCCATGAGAATAAGATAGGCTAAGAAGGAGAAGACTAGGATTATATTTGGTGATCGGCCACTTGAACCTTATCTGATGCCTCCGAGAAGTGTACGGGAAATGAGACCACAAGCATGGCGTGCCATGATTCGAGCACAGAAGAAGGGTGAACAGCAACAACATAATGCTGATGGAAAGAAAAAAAAAATGGAGAAACCCAGGAAGAAAGTGCTTGAAGATACAATTTTGCTCAAGGAAGATGGTGCAGATCCTACAGTGTCATTGAATTGTGTTTGCAAACTTTTACTTTACAACAGCTTCATGGTTCAACCTTCGCGGTTCAGGGTTTCCTGTTCAAGTTTATGTGCTAAGAGGTTAGGGTTTACTATTCAAGATCATGGGTTAAGGATTTAGGGTTTTCAGATTCAAAATTCAAGTTTCACGGTTAAAGTTTCAGGTTCACGATTTCATGGTTGAGGTTCAGAGTGAACTTCTTCTCTTCATTGTTTCTTAGTTCCTAGGTATACTTCTATAATTCATAATTTCATCATTCTAATACTGAATTGAACATATATTACTTATTAATTGTTTTTTCTTTCTATTAAAGTTCTTAATTTACAATATAATAAGAGAAATCACAAATAAACTAATGATATGTTAGAAGAATTTGAAGCAATATTTTCAAAATTTAATTAGATCAAATATTTATAGTTAATCAATTAGTAAATTCGTTATTTCTGTACTATTAATCTATAATATATAATTAAATTATAAATTTCATATAAGTCTGGGAATGAGGGAGACATTTTAATGTTAATATATAATATTATAATTTTAGGATACTAAAAATTAAAATAGCATATAAATTTATAGTTTCGTGGTTAACATTTAAAATGATATAATACGTATATCATATTTTAATTTTAATTTGAATAATATACATAAATATTTATTTAATAACAAGTTTATATGTAGAACAAATAAATTAGTAATATTTTAGGATATTATTTATTTTTTAAGATAAAGATTTAAAATCGTAATTTACAAATTTTTTTAAGTAGCTTTTTTTCCTGATTATTCAATTTTTGGACCAATTTGATTCTAGTTTAGTGTATCAATGACATTTTATAATAATTAAACTGAAAAAAAAAATCATGATCGAATTGACTAGTATGGTCCAGTTTTAAAAACTATGTTGGAAGAAAATGATATAAAATTAAGAATATTTTCAAAAGATGTGGTTTTGGTAGATTTTAATTGCTAGGGTTTCAATTTTGCTTGGACCATTTTGAGGTGCATACTTGGTAGGGATGATATCACATTGAAAAGTAAATAAAATGATAGGTTTGACAAAAGCGAATGCATAGACCCACGCACACCAAAATATCAACGCAACAAAAGAAAAGACAACGTACCAAGAAACATGGAACCTACACTCTGACTAAAAGAAATATAAATAAAATCAATTTATACATTAAATACCTAATAAATAATAATAAAACTATTTATGAAAATATACCTAATTTTCTATATTTTATGAAAATTGAACTATTTAACTTTATGTTAATAAAACTTTTAAGTTGGTCAAACATATTTCATTTCAAAAGAAGAACAACACCATTACACTTTTTATTATTTTCTTTTCGCATATATAAACAAAAAATCAAATATATAAAAGTTCGAAATTTAAAAGGATTGGTATACATGGGAATGTAACCACAAAATGTTCAAACTTTTCTAATAATAAATTCAAACTTAAAGTTGGAGTCTCAAGCACGTGACTAGAAATATTCATCAAGCAAATTGATTGTGAATATAATGAGATCATTTGTACGTCATTTATCATGTCATTACAAATTATTTTAAATCTTAATAATTCTTTAAAATATTGTTTCCATATATTTTCTTTTGATTTTTTTGATAAAATATTAAATATGAATTATTGTTTGAAATAAATTATTAATATCATTAATAATATATAACATTTTTTTAATAAATATAAGTTTATCTACGAATTATATGCCTAACTCAAATTTTTTAGCAAAACAAAATCACTCTCACTCAGCCATGATTTAAAAAATTAATAGATGTTTCTTCTCTATACAAATTCATTTTAATTATAAATTATTATTCATTAGTCCCGTGTTTGCTCGGTATATCTGAATAAAATAATCAATATATAATTTTAAAATAGAAATTACATGTGAAGATTTTGTATAATAATAATATATTAATATACAAAATTTAGACGTAATTATTATATTTATGAATATTGAATATTTTACTTCATTGGTTTATACCTTCAAAATAATCTGTGTGTTTTAATTAATATTTTATAGTTTCGATATACTTAACAATATAATATTAATAATGAGTACTAAAAAAATGCAAATAAATGTTATAAATATTAAAAAATAAGACAAAATATTTGCAAGACGTAAACATACTAAAGTTAATATATTATAACTAGAAATTATAAAACGATAAAACTTTTTTTTCTTAGAGGTAAAATTTGTATGTTTATGACATTTTATATTGATTTAGTATTATAATATTAAAATATTAAGATTAGAGAGAGAAAAATTGTAAACTTTAATAATTTATAATTTTTTAATAAAAGTACAATGCTAAAAAGTAAATTATTGAGTGAAAAATTAAAAATCATATATAATTACTTTATCTATATTAAATAAAAAAAGTACTTAGTTAAATTACGTACCTAAACATTTTACCAGTATTTATTACCTTGATTACATCAACTACAATTTTCACTTTTGGCATTAAAATAACAATAGCGATAAAAAAACCAAAAAAGAATAATGAAAATGTCAATAGCTTAAAATCAATATATAATTTCGTAAAAATAAAAAACAAACAAACACATTTATAGGAACTAAAACAATACTGAAGTCTTTAAAATAATTATTCTTTTAATTCGATCAATCAAAAAGTTATATATTTGTAATATGTTTATTTTAAAATTAAACCAATAAATATTTTTTAAAAATTAATTATTTCAAAAAATTATTTTTATGTTTAAATAACCCAGGTCATGATTTTTAAAATAAAAATTACTTATAAAAAAAATCTTATTATAAGTTTTATTTTAGTAGAATTATTTAAATTTAAAGACAGTTGTTTAAAATAAAAAATATTTATATAAATAATTTATATATAAAATTCTTAATAAAATATTTATTTTTATTTTAAATTTTCTAATAACAGATGTACAAATAATGCATTGGTGTTCGTCTTCCTCAAATATTTGAAAAATAATACGTGGCTTCTAGAACACCAAAATTTATGGTGTCATTGTTTTACGGGTGTTAAACGTTCATATTGCAATAGTGCATTTAGTACGGGTCCCTCATGTTCATAATTTAAATATATTATGATTTTATTTTTAAAAAATTAAAAAATATTAACAAAAATTGAATTTATTCTTTTATGGATAAAATACATCTTTTTTAAAAAGAATTTTACTTCATCCATTTTAAAATATATAACGATTTATATAGAAAAGATTATTTATAAATATATAATATTTATAAATTTTAATATTTTTTATTAATTAAATTTATTATTAAAAAATAATAAATTATTTAAGAGTATTTTTATTTAAAAGTTATTAAGATGATAAGAATATCAATGAAAAAAATTTATTAAAAATAATAAAAATTAATATTTGATATATGTAATTTAATATTAAACATTATATATAACTATTTAATAAAAAAATAAATTGTATACTATAATAATGTAAACATTATTTTTAATCTTTCAATTAGTGATCTTTATATAAATATTTTGTTAAATAAGTAATTAAAATAAAGTTGATGAAAAACATTAATAATTAAATATTTGATTAGAATTGGATTTTATCTTTATATCCTTTTATTTATATTTATAGAATTAAATATGTTTTATACAAATTATTTTTATTTAAAATTATATTTTACTATAAAACTTATTATTTTTTTTAGAAAAACTATTTATGTAATCTTTTCAAATTTTGCACACAGACAATTGACACCAACGCACACGTTTCTACTCAATAAACTAAGTTAAATGAATACAATTTTATTTGTATTATATTTTAAGAAAAAATGGTTAACTTGAGTTTATATTTTAAAAAATTAGTTTCTAATTTTTTTATTTTAATTTAAAAAAATATAATTATCATGATTCACATTGAAAATTATAATATGTGTTTTAGGGAAATTAATTCTGCTTACAGTACTATGATTTATTGTCTTTAGCAAGAGTGTTTCACGCTCTAAAAAGCAAACCTAGTTTTCCTATAATAGTACCCATAATAAATGACTTTACTATATTTATGGCTTGTTTATATAATTGATTTTTAAACTATATTTTTTTATAATTAAAAATATTGATATATGTTTGCTAAAATAGTTTTTTAAAATTAACTTATATTTTTCAAGTAAAACTAATAATTTTTTAGTTTGATTATTGATATTCATATTTTTATTAATAGTCGCATAATGAATAGTAAGAATAATATATTTTAAAAAAATTATTCAAATAAAATTTATATAAATTTATTTATTAAATTAAACTTATATATAAATGTATTTACCAAATTAAACTTATTTATTATTTATATGTAGTTTTTCTTTTTCTTACCATAAATTTTTTATTTTTATTTATTTTTTATTTATTTGTTTTATCTTATTTCTTTTATTTTTCTTTTTTTCTAGTTATTCTCTTAATTGAACTACTATATTAAAATTTAATATATATTAAACAAATATTATAAAATATATCAAACAAATATTTTAAAAATAATATTAAAACTAAAAAAATATTAACTAAATATTTAAAATTACAATGACAATAAATAATTTTATTTATTTTAACAATAAATAATTTTATTTATAATGTATAAATAATTAATTTAAAAATATTTTATTATTATAAATAATTATCCGTCTAATTAAAAAATATATCAAATATTTATAAATTAAATATATTTTTATTTAATAATTACATATTGTTATACTAATTTTGAGTTATGGTAATTAATTAGGTTAAGTAATTTTTATAAATATTTATTGAAAAAAAACTTTAAAATAAATATTTATTTTTTCTTAATATTTATAACATAATAATAATATTTGTAATATCTCAAATTTATCATATAATATTTTTAAAATATAATATTAAATTATAATATTTTTGGATTATTGAAATATTTTATTTTTCAATAATAATAAAAAAATATATTATCAAACTTTAATGTACTGATTTTAATTGAAAAATAAGATGGAAAGAGAGAAGAACAAGAAAAATAGGGAGAGAAGAAAAGAAAAACAAACTGAGTACAGGAAAACATCTATATTATATAAGATAAATTTATTTTTTCTTATTAAATTTTGTGTATAAATAATACATAA